CAAAAGTCCCGCTAGATAATGCGCTCATATTGCGTTTCTATCCCTGTTGTGTCCGCGTGTGTATGTGTGTGAAAAGCATCCTCATTTCAAGCAAAACTTTGCAACTTGAAGGCAAACCCATGGGGATGACCACTACATTATCACCCACATCAAATACTCTTTTGGATTTGTGTCTGTTTTTTATGCATCCCTTCGCTTCTCGTTTTTTTTTCATGATTGCGGCCCGAACATGGAATTGCTCGAGAAATCAAACGAGAAACAACAATTGCCGCTGCTACCTTTTCATTAACTCATGGTCACTTTGTAATTAGCATTGTTCATTAGTCATCTGTTGTATGCGGGCAATTGAGGGTCCAAAACATGAAGGGGGGATTTTTTTTTGTACGACACTATGTAGTCCGCTAATTATGGTGCACCGCGCGCGCCTAACAATTCATCTTTGTTGTTCGCGGATAATTCGTGATTGTGAACACTACGCAGTTGTCACACGTGTGACCTTGCTCATTCGATGTTTTCGCGCACTTTGCTACCTGTTGGGCACTAGACCAAAAAAAACCATGTAATATGCTTGTTAATGAATTCTGGGTCACAGTCCTCAAATTATTATTACATCTAGTAGTGTATACAAATGAAAAAACTTTGCGTAATAACCCTGGAAGGGTGTAATTAAAACTTTGTCGGAGCCCAATTATCTTCATTTTTTTGCCTTTTACAGTATAAATCTAAATAAAATCAAAATATTAATAATAATAATAATAATATGATTGTAGCATGTTTCTAATTATTAATGTCCCTTTAAACTTTTCAATTGTTGATATTAGTCACACCAAGAGGCGGTGTGGAAATAACGCAAAAAAGGTTTGATGATGATTCGTCATTAGTGTCCGCCGGCTTGTAAACGCTAGTTGTCGAGCACTCAACAGTTTCAAGATGCTCGAATAACCCCTCAATCGTTTCGGAGCAAGGGTTGTGTTGTCCTTCTCTGCCGGTCAGCTTTTGTTTGTTCGCGACCTGTCCGCCTCTGCGTACCTACATTCATTCGCAAAAGACCATAGAGTTCCTCTCAATTTTTTCGATCGCTAGCGTTAAGCCTTTCCCCTCTCACTCTGTTTTTGGAATGAAACACTGAATAGAGTAGGTGGCTCTTCATTTTTGTGAATTTGTTTTTGTTCGCCAATCCCTTTTGAGTTTATCACTTCACAATAGGAAAAAAGACAAGCCTACAATTATTTATTTATTTCGGTCACACCCTTCGGTTTTTTTTGTGTCTGCTGTCTTTCCTCCGTATTATCAAACTTGAACTATTCGAGGGATACGACATGGTCAGAAACAGTGGTAATTGGTTTTAACAACTTGTCAATACACCTTGTTAAACCAAACGACCTCCGGCCAATAGTTGTTCTTGCTATTATTGTTATTATTATTAGTAATATGATTGTTTTTTGGTAGTTTTGCTTTCACTCAACGAGACCTCATATTTCAAATAGCTTGCTCGTTTTTCAAATGATTCGCGGGTCGTAAAACACAGAGTGAGGCAAGAATATTCTCATCACTATGCATTAGTAAAGTGATCGTATTCTGCGTGCAACCACCTACTGCGTTTTCAATAAATGACTGAAATTTTCGGTGTACATGCTTTGATCGCCATCATAATTTATTGCTTGAAATCAAAGTCGGCTCGTAGCGTAGCACCGGATGCATTTTCTCCATATTAATTATTTTTTCAAACAAGCTGTGTACAACAATTGTGTAGTGTAAAAATGCATCGATATTACTGCATGCGAGAGTATTACAGATATGATTGAGTTTCAGCTAAAAAAAAATGAGAATCCTTTTTTAATTAACTAACATATTGCTAAGAAAGAAAGCAATTGACTATAAACATCTTTTGATCTACCATTTTTGGTGGAAGAAAAATTTTGTTGTGACGCTAATTTTGACATTTACATTCATTCCGCTTTGCCTTAATTTGATTTTTTTTTTCGCGTCTGCTTATTTGATTGGATTAGCCTATATTGACTGATCAGGCGCTTGTTGGAAATACCCCATCATCACATAAGTTCTTTTTGAAAGAAGTTTTTCCGAGGTCAAATTTGTAATAATTGGTATGATGTTTCATTCGGAAGTGAGTGGTGTTTTCGATACGCATACAAAACGCAACAATTAATATGTTCGCATTTTGAGACATTATTTTAGTTTACACTAAAGTATTGGTTGCTTGTATATAAGAAATAAATTGACTTGAAGGCAAGCGAAAGTGTGATTCTTCCAAATTCCATGACTTCTGCACCTTTCGACACGCGCATCCGCACTTATTCATATCCTCCATCTCGCCGGCCCTTCGACAGCAATTATTCGCTCATTATTAGCAATAGTCATCGTGTTCCTCCTACCTGTTCCATCTTGTACGAATGAATGCGACGCTGTCGGCCGACGTACGGATGGACCGATGGTGATTCGAATTTGCCCAATTTTCATGCCGCTTGCCAACAAAGGAGTGTCAAAGGTCTTCATGCCATTTCAACCCATCTCCCTCCTTTCATTTCCAAAAAATTGTTGCTCTACCAGCCATTCGTTGTTCTTGTGTAAAAAATTGGACATCAGCGGCGAACGCTTGATGTGCAAATTGAATTTGTGCAAAAAAACATATTGTCAATATGCATCATTTGTAATGATGTGATACTTTTTTTAACAATAAATTTAGTCATAAATTTTTTTCAATCAAAAACAAACCAGTAAAATATTTCGCAGCAATTTTGTGAAATTTTCCCCGTAGTAGACCTTTTCAGGACAACACCTCAAAAAGCGGTTTCGTCTTTGATTCGTGAACGTCGTAAATTCAATGAAAAGATTTGGTTTTTCTCGACCACCAACTGTGCTCGTATGGGGCGTCGCCTAGAAAAGTTAAGTCGGCCGGTTATTTCGATTTTCAAATAGCCGCATCGCAATTCCTTCTAAGGCGATACACAGTTGTCTGTGTTGATTCTTCTGCCAATTAAATGGGATCTATTTTATGTAGCAACCAACTAGTTTAGTCCAGCAACAGTTCCTCATCGATTCATTTATCTGCCAATGAGGTGTCGTGATACATTTTTTTTCTCAAAATCAACAACGAATTCAATCGGCAATTTGTCATTGTCACAATTGAAAACTGTAAACACAGGAAAATAGTGGCGATAAATTCATTGTTTTTTTTTATTGTTTCAAGCATTTATAAATTGGCACCGTCTCCACCTCACACCAAACAGAGCAGGATAAAAAAGTTCTCATATTCCATTCACTTCGTCGAAGTGTGTGTATGTGTGTGTGTGTTGTGTTTCTTTGCATAACCAAACACGATCCGATGAATTGTACCGGCATGCTCTTTGATTGGCACTGGCGGGCGGCTAATGAGGCGGTCGGCTGCAACTTGAGCCTTTCCTGTACGCAATATTTGTGTCGGAGGGTACGCACACATATGGTACAATTCAATCGCTCGACCATACCTTTTTTTATGCTCTCGCATTGTTGCTTAATAACATTCTCACGTTTCATTGCTACTATTCATAAAACGTGAGAAATATGGCTAAAATGTGAATATTGCACCATTAAATGTTCCATAAAAGTTTGATCATCTTGTCGCTTATAGTAAGAGCCCTTACTCATCAACAATAGTTGCTATCGGCTAACCGCATGCTCACCATATGTCACATTCCTTTATCCGAACGTTGTTACTAATACACATAGGTTGTAAATAGTCATAAAAACAATCGCATCAGATGTTTCTTTGTTGATGCTTGCAATTCCGACGTCTCTCGCATCTTATCTTTTTATCCTCTAAAAGCAATTAAACTTCGACAAAAACGGCTCGATGGGTTCACACATTCGCAGTTTTATTGCCAGCTTTGGCGTGTTGTTCCGAGGGTGTCAGGTATGTTTGTATCTCCGGTAGATATCATGAAATGATTCCCGATATATATCGGATAGCATATACATATACGCATGTACATAGACACAGATTGGTGCGTCTGTCGCAACAAACAAATCGGTTTTCCACTGCGCGTTCAATCCGTCGCAAAATGTTTATGCATTTTCTGGAGAAATTACCCAACACCAATATTTTGGCGATGACCCACAGAAACGCCACCATTCGAATAATACCTACAAGACATTCTGGTCCGCATTCCTGCTGTCCATCATTTTATGCTCACTAGTTCTACTTTCATTAGTTAGCCATTGAACCGCCGGTGCCATATGGACTCGCAAATCTCGAACGAATATAAAAGTTGTTCAATGCAATCGTAATTTGTAGCGCCTATAAGTTCTCACTAAAACGTTTCGCTTTTCATTTCCTCTTGTTCGTCGTGTCGAATGTAATAATTAGGCGATCAGACGGATGAAAGCGGTTTCTTGAACGTAGTAATTAGTCGATATTCTATTCTCGAGTTTTTTTTTTGCCACTCGCCGGCTCATTGCTTCTAACTAGCGGATCATCTCGCGCATTGGCCACCTGGAAGGTTTCGTCCTTTGCAATAATTTGGCCCCGTCCGTTGTCCCCCATATAAGGTTGTTCCATTAGAGGTTGTGGGCGGACCTTGATTATGGTGTGCGGTGCGCACCTGGCCTGGCTTCAATGGATTCCTGCTCAGGGTTATTTCCGCAAAACCGTTGAATATTTCTCACATTTTCTTATTTTTTTCTTTTTGATTTTATTCAATGATGTTATTGTTATGTTTTCAAACATAAATTAGTGCCATTCCAAGCTTAATAGGTCGTTTGACACCCAAACAGTTGTTGTAATGTCGCCGAGGTGTTAAGATTTATAGTGACTCTTTTCATTGTACATGATTATTGCTTGTTCCGACATCCAGTGTGTACACCGCTTTTTCAACCGTGAAATGATTTTCGTCAACTTTTTGTTGCAAATACGTTTATATGAATTTGATTTTGTTCAGGACACATTTACACATACTTGCGGATTATTTCCGTGGCATTCAAGAGTGGCTTGCAGACAGTGCACAATGGGCCGCGATGCCATGATATTTGGTTTACTGTTAGCAGTTATTTGTCACGCAGGTTAGTGTTTCTCTATTTGCTCACGAGAAAAATTTTGAACAGCTCGTGAAGTGTTGTTTTATGATAAAAACCGGTGTGAAGTGACCACCGCTTAACTTTATTGATAGAAAAAAAGAACTCGGGCAAATAGAGGCAAAAACGCACGCGCAAAAAAAAAAGTCGAGCTCTATCGGCGGCTAAAAAAGTGGGTAATATTTGCTTGTGAATTTGGGTAATCCGAAATTCTCGCGCCGCATTTTCGCACCCACTCGTCCGGTGTTATTTTCGAGCTGTAAAGAAAAGAAAACGATTTGTTATTATTATGTCTGCCGGATTACGGTTCCTGTGTTCTTAGTGTGGCCAGTTTTGACACATTTCGCGAAATGAAATTTGATACAAAAAAGCGCAGGAAGGAAGCGATCGTGAAAAATACTCGGCATTCAATTTTTCTATTTGTTGCAGACGGCTCGGAAGTGTTTTCATCGTCACCTCAAGACGATCCATATTATGTCCGTGATGGCGCCTCAGGACCAGTTTTGCCGTGCGCTCTAAATGCTCCGTATTCGGACCGCAGCCAGTATGAAGTGAATTGGGCGCGCTATAACAACGGCCAACTCAGGTGAGGAGGGGGGGACTCAGGAAGTTGCTGAAATATTTATGAATTCTCTGGTTCAGAATAATTGCCCGTAACGACAAAATGCTGGAAAAGAAGGACGCTCGGTTTGCATTGCTCAACGATCCCCTCACCGGAAACTATAGTTTGAAAATTGTCAATGTTCAACGAGAAAGTGTTGAGGGATCGTACCATTGTAATGTGATCGCCAACGATGATTCCGGAACTCAATATTCGTCGAAAAAGGCGACGGTTGTAGTTTTAGGTAAGGCGAAAACTTGTTGTTTATTTGACTAGTTCGACTCGCTGCCACTGACCTGTGACTTTATGTCAGAGGCTGCTTAACAAACACGGGATTGCAAAGGTTTCCTTCCAAATATGTATACCATTGCCACACTACGGCTTCCTAATTAGGGGTGAAAAAGATGGACGCGGATTATTGAAATCGATATAAGAGATACGCGAATAATCGCGACCTTCGGAATCATACGCGCCTATAAATATTATCCCGAGATCGTAAAATTGGATTTCAAGGAATGTTAAAAGAACTGAAGGGAAATATTGCAATATCACTAATATATCGCGGGATAGTGAATTACAATTCTTAGGTTACCCTAAGAAACAAATGCCGCATAACCTTCATCTTTGATAAATATCCGAAATTTTTTTCAGTGCCACCCGGCGATCCAGTTATTAGTGAAGCTCCAGATGAGCCGGTTGCTGAGGGTGATACGGTCACTGTCAAGTGCATGTCAATTGGAGGAAGTCCTGAACCAACATTCACGTAAGATTATGTTTGATCCCTATTGTTTTATTTGAGCTGTGTTGCGCAACCAGTATCTCCGCTTTTGATCTTTTTTATAGCAGTATAATAGCCAAGTATTGTGTAAATAATGTGATCTCTTTCAGGTGGACACTTCCGAATGGCACACAAGCCGACCAACGTTTATACAGCACCGTATTCCGCGATGGGGCAACAGAGAGTGCATTACAGTAAGGCTGATATAAATTTCAAAATATAAATTATCGATATTTTAGTTTCCGGGTAACCGCTGAAGATAATGGAGCATCTGTAAAATGCTCGGTGAACAACAAAGCCATGGATGACAATGAATTGAAAACATCTTCGAGCTCACGTTTGAACGTAATTTTCCGTTATTGTACACAAATGTTCAAAGAATTATTCATTTTAGGTATTGTTCAAGCCCCGTGTCCACGTGTCACCACTGGAGAACATGACACATTTGTCTGTCGAAGCTGGAGAACTTGTCAATCTGACATGTAACGCTGATGCGAATCCACCAGTTCATAGCTATGAATGGTATGCGTTATTGTGTCAATATGTTTGCGGCGTTCAATTTGCCTGCAGCCAATTAAGCGACCTTGATTTAGTGTCGCGCATAAATTGCATTTTGAGCAAGGCTAACTGACCTCGAGTTGTCGAATTTTCGACGAGCGAGGTTCGGTGAGTAAGCCCAATTATAAAACCGCAAATTGGCCGCAACCACATTTGAAATGTTGAGACGAGGAAAGAAAAATGTTTGCGTTTTTTTTTTCAGGAAACACCTGGCTTCCGGTGAAAGATACCAGGCGCAAGTCTGGCCGATGCACGCTGACAAGGCCATGAGTGGCGATTATGAATGTCGCGCAACGAATCAACTCGGAGATGGAAGTGACATCTTGAAACTAAATGTGCAGTACGCGCCGCAAATTTCCGTTCCAGTAAGCAATTGAAACAAAGCGTGCAAAATTTATGGCCATACCAATTCAGATTTCCGTGAGCCCCAATGAGAAGGAAAAGGTGGAAATTGACTGTCTCGTCGATGCAAATCCGGCCATTACGGAAATTAAATGGATTGGTCCGAACGGGTTCAAGATGGACGGCTCCGTGCTTATCCTCAAATCCATAAGCAGGTGAGAGAGAATGTTATAATTTAATGCGAAAGGGCGACTTAACACAATCCCATAATACTAGGAAATTAATTTTGGCGAGCACGACACATAAATAATTACGAAAGTCCGCAGCGTTTACAATTATACCTGCCACTGACAGTGACAATTAACATGTATACGCACCTATATGTAGATATGAATTCGTTTGCTCAGTGATGCGCATTAATCCCTTGCTCATGATTTTTTGTTCTTGGTTGCAGAGAGCAGACGGGAAATTATACGTGCATCGCTACCAATTTCTTGAACATTTATGGGCAATCGGGATCTCAGCAACGTGTTGGAACGGGAATCACGTTTGTTGACGTGAAACGCAAACCAGGACCGGCAAAAATTACAATAATCAAAGAGGATATCAATGTTGGAGATGTCATTGAGTTACGTTGCGAAGCGCCGGATGCTGGAAACCCAAAAGCCTCTTATAAAGTAACTTGAAAATTCAGACGATGTTGTAGTTAAGAAATCTCGTTTAGTGGGCTTCTCCTTCTTCGGGAGGTGAATATGGATCTAATGAACATGATCGGGAAACTCTTATTGTTCGAAATGCTCAGCTTTCCGACAATGGCGAATACCGTTGCCTTCCATATAATGAGCTTGGAGCTGGCAAAGAAGCAGTTTTCCGCGTTACGGTACTTCATTAAGCACAGATTTAAGTTTCTTATTGTGAGAGTTTTAGGTTATTGAACCCGCAAAAATATCTAGCCCTCTAACTACCGAACGAATTTTCTCTGCCGGTGAAGTCAAGAAAAATTTAGAATGTGAGGCTCAGGGATATCCTACTCCAGAAATCAGTTGGTACAAGGATGGAAAGCTATTGACTGACAAACGCTACATTGTCACTAGCAACGTGGCCAAATCAAGATGCGCAGATGATGATTATTGCACACAATCGACGTACAGCTCGCTCACAATGACCGGTCCTTTGAGGTGGTCCGACAAGGGCAATTTCACGTGCATTACTAATAATGGCGGATCCGCGTCATTGGAAGAAAAGGCATCGTGGACAATTGTGCGCATCATGCATTCTCCTGTTATGCTTAACCAACGATTTGGCGGCAAAGCTCTGGCAGCTGCCGACATTGGAACGCAGGCAAGACTTAGCTGTTTGGTGTCCGCCCGACCAGAACCAGAATTCCACTGGGTTTACAAGGGAGCTGACATCAAAGAAAATGAGAAATATTCGGTGCATATGGTGCCAGTTCGCGGACGACCTGATGAATATGAACAAGTTCTTCAAATTGAGAATGTTCAAGAGAAGGACTACGGAGAGTATCTTTGCCGCGCATCCAATGGAAATGGTGGTGATAATGTGGTTATCGAAATGAAGAAAACGGGAATACCGGATATTCCGGATGACTTGCAAAAAGTGTCGTCGACACCACACTCAATTAACCTTGGATGGAGGCCGAAATTTGGCGGTGGTTACCTACAAACGTTTACGGTGGAATACAGGTAAATAACACTTCATAAGGCGAGATGATTTTATTAATTGCCTTCAGAAAACTTAATCCATTCACCGGATCAATTGAAGAAGCAATCGCTGAAACCCTTGAGATTCGCAATGCCACCAAATTCAACGAATATAAGGTACAATTAAATTCATTAAAAAACGTGTTAAGTTGTTTCTTTTAGGATGATGGATCAATTGACTTTGGAATGCGATATAATTTGAGCGGCCTTACACCGCTATCCACTTATTATGTACGACTACGGGCAGTTAATGAAAAGGGAGCTTCTGAATTCACCCCAATGATTGTTGCTTCCACTAATGATGTTCACGAAGATAAAAACATGATGTCCCCTTCACGTTTAATTTATAAACAGAACAAACAGACCATTGAAATTGAGGTAATATTAATTTTGTTATTATCAGGTTTCGACATTTATTTTAGCCGAGACCACCCATGGATGCTTGCACACTTTTGTATGTATTGGTCGAAGATTCTTGGAGAGCCAGTGATTGTTTCGTTTCGAGTAAACCGATCCCGAACGTTTTGCAAGGAAACAAGTACAAAGCAAGATTCTGCATGGCTCAAGCTCCGTTCAAATGCTCACCAATGTCTCCCGTCACCGGTAGGTCTTTTCAATATCCCGCATGCAATAAATCTTTATCGATTTTTGCAAAGTAGTCACCTGTCGAATTTCAGAGACCGGCTCGTCATCGTCCTGGAAAGCAGGAACTCTTGTTCCAATAATGTTCGTAATCTTCATTATTCTCTCGATCTGCGTATTTTTCATCGTGTGTTGTCGCACTAGAGTGCCAACAAATAAATCGCTGAAGATGACGTGAGTGGAATATTCAAAGTGATATTGTGCAATGTGGTGCTGTTGTTTCAGACCCGTGACGCTTTCCGCTTTGCCAACTGCTGAAACTAAAAATGCGATCGTTCATGGATCGCAAGCCGATAGTGGTGTTTTTACGCTTGATTCGACTCGCTTGAAAAGCAACATTGCTCCAACTCAGCATACTTATTCAAGGTATCAACCAAAAACAATATTGTATGAAAAACGTCCAATTAGCTCGAACAGCGACGAAACGGCCGTGGAGAATTGGAATAATGATGATTCGCATTATGATGTGAGCAGTGATCCCTATTTGACGGAAGCTAATACTAACATTTTCCAAGGTTTGTCAGATTCTCAGCGGGGGATTCGATTAAATGAAATATTTATAGCTGGTGTTCTTGAAGACCAAAAAATGGACCGTGGGGATTCTCCGAGTGTGACTGGAACTGAAGACAGCGACGGTCGTAGAATCATGAGAGAGATTATTGTCTAAACGTTTTTCTCCTAAATGTTTTCTGTATTTTTGCATTCACTCATTTACATATTTGACAGTTCCTTCTGTGTTTGGAATGTTACCGTTGATAATTTCCGGGTTACGTGCGCAATATTTACAAGTGACTAGTCCTAATTTATTCTGTTTTCATTTCCGTCCCTGTTAATGTTTTCAATTCTTATAAATTGTTTAAACACTGTCGTCATTTAGGCAAAATTTTAATCTTTCGTGTCATTTTTTCACTTTTTTTTTTTAAATTTTTGTGCTTAATCGTCTCTATTCTACTTCATTGAAGTTTTGAATCAAAACCACTACACTTGCTCACAGTAAATTATAGTAGTTGCAATATATCATTATTATTATTGGAATGTTATGGTTAGTAGATTATTAAAAATGTGTATCTGAGCCCAGAAATCTTCTCTACTCACAAACCGTTGTATATCTGTTATTGTCGGCATTTTTAAAAAATAAAATCGATTTATTTCAATATTGCGACATGTTGCAGGGAAACACAACTGACGGTGGCAAACTGAACGATTGATGTGAACGCTGCACATCATTGTGACGTTTTATCAATGTTTCTATCATTTTCGTTTCTGCAAAGCAGAATTGCCCCGCTTCACAATTCATTATACCTATTATAAGAGTGATGTAGAGTTTATTGAGCTTGGATGAAAAACCGTACATGTTCACAAAAAGGATGTGTCTGATTTTTTCTTGATGATTAAGAACTTCCTAAGAATCAAATGCAAATGTATTTACTGTGGGTGATTCTTAATATAAATGTACAATTGAGTAGATTTAGAAATATCGTGAAGCGTTGTAGAAATGCTTAATTATCTTACTGAATAATTTTCCATGTTCCACATTGTTTACAATTCCCTTAGTATGCAATTGTTCCCTGCCTATTCTTGATACTTATGAATCTCGTGTTTTTCAATTAGAAACATTTTAGTAAGAATTACTACCACAAAATCGTGGATTATTTTATTTTTTTATTATTTATCTGCACGAAAATCAACTTTTTATTGAGGAACATTCCGGAAAACTTTTCTCAAAAGAACATCTGAGCAACAGCTGACGTGCACATATTTTCACTCAATTTAATCAGTAAAGCTCGCTAGTAGTTCTGAAAATTACATTACCCACCTTTTCAATTATCGTAGCCCACATTTTCAGTTGCTTGGACACTCTTTGAGATATCAAACATTACATTTCTTTCTGAACACGTGTAGCCCTATTCGGCCAGCGATGTACACAATTATTAAAATCAGGAGCCAACCCACAATTTTTTAGACAATTGTTTATCGCGTGTCAAATAACAATATTATTTCCGGTGAACACCATAATTTTGTGGAGTGTGATCTACTATTAACTGAGAAACCCTAGACGCAAAAACTCATAGAAGCGTGAGGAAACCTATTAGTAGTCTGTGCACGTCGAACACACACACACACACACACTTGGTTTCCGTGCCCTGCTTTTAAATCGGATGTTTGCAATTTCGAAGAGCCAACACCTGCGCCACCCTGATGTTATATTCGCCATCCTCAGCGTTTTCTTCCTATTTTATACCTCATTTCTCATCTCTCGTCTTTAGCGTGTGTATGTGTGCTTCTGCTTTTTTTTCGGGACGCTTTGAGAGCAATTTCACTACGGATAGCCGCCAATTTAGTTATTAGAAATGCTTTTGTGCACTCTTCTTAACAGCGGTATTGCGAATCGTGCGAAAATGACATACGGCGTGAGTATTCAATTTAATAGAGCATTTATTATCTATTCCAAGACCAGACTTTCAATAAGATGAGGTATATAAAAATCAATATCATTCATCTGCATACTCAATTGCTCTATTTGAAATAGTTTCACCTGCTGTTGGCGACAAATAGTACTAATATTTGAATTTCTCAGGCAATATCGTATATAATTTCGAAAAGCGTTTGCATTTATTTCAGTACTAATGAGAGGTGAGGCGAAGAAAAAATGAAAAAAAACGAAACAATTAAAGTTTACCAACTTTCTCTTTTTTTTGCTATAATTGTATGTGTTCATCAGTTTTAAAATCAATTCCGTGTTCGGACATATTTGTTGTTCTTAAATTTGGCCCATCGTGTAAGTTATGTTGTTTTTTTTTTTCGAATTTTTTGTTTATTTCTATAATCTATGTTTTTTTTAACAAAAAAGCTTTTAAGGTATTTTCTCACTTATTACCAATAAGAGTTGTGGAATTTATTGAGTTATTTGAGCAGAGTCACGTTAGCGAATTTGCTATAAGAACGTGTAAAACTAGTATACCTTGATTATGCAAATATGTTGTGCATATATATCTTTGCCATCCATGCCAGAAAATATTAAAAAAATACCTGATGTTATACCGTGAGACAATTTCAAGAAAGCATTTATTTTTTCGTATGAGATTTCCATTCATTTCTGTTCGACTACATTCATATTTTTTTTGCCAAATCTCATTTGAAATTGAATATAAATGGCCTAGCAACAACCAAAATTTTCCTTAGCTAATACTGAGGGCCCTTAATTTAACCAAACATTGAAAATGCTCTAAAACTTTAAAAAGTTAGCGACGCATTTTCAACGATTGGCCGTCGATTGTGCTCAGCAGACTGATACACTCAGTAACCGGAGAAGATCGAAAAGAAATAAGACCGCAGAAAAAACGAGAGAATGTAGATGAAAGTGTAACGAGCCAAGTTGCTCGAAAATTACATTTGTCTGCATTCTATTCATTCAAATAAAGATGGTGTTTTCATCACCTTACATCGGTTCTATTTTATCCAAAATTCATGCACGCTCGATATTTTGCACTTATATTATCTTACTCTACAACAGAAAAACTTCACCTAAGAATCATTGAAGCTAAATGTGTTGTCATCAGTTGCTCAAGGATTTTAGTTGTTGAACTCAGTGAACTTCCTTTTCGTTTTCCGCAACTGATTCAAGTTTGAATGTGGGCTAACGATTACAGATCTACTTTCAAAAATGACAAAACCCTAAATCATTTAAATAGTATTCATTTGTGAGAAAAATTTTCTTTTAACAAATTACAGAAATGTTAGGGGTTTCAGAAGCCTCTTTATTTAGCGTTAATTTTTTGTTTTAAATTTATTATACCGTAGAAATTTCGCTAACTTGATTCCAATAGAAGTAACATTTCCTAACGTACTCGATTCGCACTTCCGTTTTTCCTTTCTTTCAATACGTTTTTTTCGAAGCTGTTTCATGTCAAATTCGAGAAAACTAACTATACTAAAAATGACGTGAAAAAAGAGCTGCACTTCTTAACCGAAATTTAAATGAAAAAAGGAATGTTTCTTCTCATTTCTAGTGACTTCTTCGTCATTCATTTAAGTGACAACATCCTGACAAGTTCAGAAAACGTTGTTGTAAGACATAGATGTCAAATAGCGTATCATAAAGATGTATTCGGAAATTTTCAACTTTAAAAATCCATTGCAAATGATTTTTTTCATTACAAAATAAAACTAAATATAAAAGTTATATTTCTTGCACGATGAAGTTACTTACAAATCATTGGGCTTGCTACAAAAAACAACTCATTTTTTGTCCCCGTTTGCCAATAATTTCTGCGTCTCTAAGAAACATGACCCTCGGTCGGTCACATTTGATCCTCCTCAATTGATGACTAATGCACGTTGGATACGCCCCCCCGCATTACATTATTGTCAACACATTTATTTGCTCTTTGCGAGATATCAGCTTCTATCTACATATAGAATGATGATCATTTTAATTCGATAGAAAGCTTTATCGCATCACTTTTAAGCCACTTTCTCAATCTTGTCGTGTTTAGTCAAATTTGTTATCAGTTTTTATGGATGTGTGAAGAGGTTTGTACCAACATAAATTTCATTAAAATTTTTTGCATAATATTGATCCTAAAATTCATAAAACGTTCAAAATGAAACATTCACTTCGATACTTCAAAATGTTTGTTTTATATCTCTCCCAAACATCGCAAATGAAAACGTTAAGAGGAGACAAAGCCAGAAAAAAAAACGTGAGTTACTCGGTCAATTTATTGGTTCCTTCCTGGCTTTTGTCATATGTATCCATCCATCCTATTGCCACTTTTTCGCATAAATTGTGCCACAACTATTGGAAATATGAATTTCTCTCGTTCTTTTCATTTTTTTTCCACCGAAAACGAACTTCGTCTTTCCTTGTCTTTCGCCAGCATTTGTCATTCATCATTTCTTTCTTATTGTTTTAGCAATGGTTCATATGTTTTATTAGTTCCCATAGGAAATTTTGTTCGTCCCTTCTTTTAAGCAAAAAAAAATATTGAAATTGCTTCCACGCATGTTCTCGTTGGTTTTTTCATTTGCTCTGTTTCTTTTTCGGAGAGCATGGCAAGAATAAAAAAAAGAGACCCGGATTAAATTGAAAAACGCCTTTTGGTGCGGGTGTCTTTTTCAGTTTGTTACAAAGGATTATTAGTCTAATCCATGCTTCTAGGTCGATTTTTTCGATTCCGCTTCGAGAAAATACAAACCAACAAATCCCGGATTATCGCGAAAAGTAGGCAGAGGCTATTTTTCGGATGTGCACATTCATTTTTATCTAGAATTAGTCTTGATGCTAATGCACACTTTTCGTTTTTTTTTTTCACGCCAAATATGATGTTTGCTTTTTGAGATATGTAAAACGGAAATGTGCCATACAATTTCACACAAGCCCATTTATTTATGTTCATCAGACTTTAAAGTTTGCTTTTAAATATACCAAGCTACTAGTATATAAATAGGAGCAATAGAAATTCAAACAAATACAAAACTATTTGACGTTGAAATGTTGGCAGAAGATTGACAGGTGTGCGTGAATTCCGTAATATGTTTTTTTCTAGTTCTGACAATTCTTTTCAAAGACGACCTTTCGTTCGTGCATCATGAGAACTAAAAATCCGTTTTCAAATAATATATTTTAAACATTTTTATCATTGCTTCTATAAAAACAGTTTTCGTTCTTTGTAGACCTAAATTTCAAAGACGAGATCCTTCAATACACTCAATGTTGCCAATGCGTTCTATTAGTAATTTCTAGTCTATTTAAAATTTTTACCAAAACCTTATTAACATATTGACAATTCCAAAAATATTGAATTGTTAATTCGCTGTCCGAAGTGCATAATGATGCCGTAATATGCAAATCATGTCTAGAGCAGAGCTGTTCGAGGAAGACCCATTTTCGTTAAAACCGTTTTTTTTTGTCAAAAATTCCTGGAAATTTCGCAAAAATCGGAAACTCTTTGTGTTTTCATTTGATTTTTAGCACATTTGAAACAATTTATATTCATTTTTTTGTCAGAAAAACGTCGAACTGCACATTCGCTTTGTGAACGCAATGCTGAAAATAAAATGAACCAAACACCAACTTTAATTTTGATATTTTTTGGCGCAAATACAATAATCACGAAAATTTGTGGTATAATGTATGATTTAGTTTGAAACTAACCAAATATGTACTATTGGCTTCTAGCAGTTTATAAAGATGAACATATTTTTCAATTTTGATATTTTTTGTATAAATAGTACATTTCCACTATTTTTTCCATTTTGTTTTTCTTTCCATCAAGCAACACAAAATTCGCCTTCCAGTTGTGTATTATTTCAAACAAACAGAAATTTTGCAGCAAAATTAATGTTCAAATTAGAAACTCGAACAAGTAATTTGGTTTTGCCAATCTCCCGTTCATTCATGCAAATAGCCCATCTTTTTAATAATACTTTTCTCCGTTTGCTATTTCAATTGTAACTATTAAATCCAATTAAATGCAGGTACAAATTGCGAAAATATGGGAATGCCCCAAGTTTGACAAATTGCTCAGAAATATAGTATAAAACCAACTCTAGAAATGGTCCTCATGGGAGGAAAATGAATATACGACATTGCTTGCTCCTCCAGTTTATAAGTTTTCGTGCCATTTTCCAATTTCCGTGTCGACTTATTCGTTTTATCGATTCTCATCAAACAATTTGCTCTTGTTTCAGGTGAAGTATGGACAACCGTGAACATCGTGAATATTCGGTACCGAACGGATTGCGTCCGCTTCTAGAAGCATTGGCCCGCGAGACATTGCGTGCGCAGCCAACTGACGTCATCAGATTCGGATATTTTTTTTTCGATGAAGTCCAGAAACATAAACATAGTGAGTTTCAGGTCATAAAACAAATTTTGATTAGCTACTATTCAAAAAATGCATGAAAAATTTTATACAATTGAGTAATAGATTATCAAGGAGGTAATCGTAGCAATCATATTCAACGTTTTCTGGAAGCTTACATATTAGATTTGTTTCACGAAGTTAACACATGACACTTATAAAAATTTAATAATTTTCTATGCTAGACTATATATATATGCATAAGTTTATATCATAAAACATTCGGGAGAAACCTAAAAATGGAGTCCAATAAACCAGTTTTTCAAACAATAAAATTCAATAATTATGTAGTAGGCCCATGAGTTTGTCTCAAAAAAAGCAAAGAATTCAAGAAGTGCAGAAATCGTCATGCTTTGAGAATATCTTCGAATTTGACAATCTATTCCAAAAATCTTCTTCATGTTTTCAAAATATTTTGGAAAATCCAATTTAATCTCCTTAATCAAAAATGTCGTATTATTTCCAAAAAATGGTTTCTGAGAAAATAAGAAGGGTATTTGCGCATTATATCCTCCCCTCATGTTTTTTTGGTCGAAATAATATTTAATGAAACAAATTTCAATTTGAGATGTCGATGTGTGTTGTTTTTGCTTATTTTCACACATTCATCTAGCTTCAACGTTATTTCCTGTTTACAATAATCGGAAATTAGATGCATCCATAGTTTTTTTTGAAGAGCACCAGCAAAAAACAAGATCATTGTTACCATAATTCTCAAAATTTTTCAAGCGGTTTTCAAAATTGCGTTGTTAACATAAATTTGCATATAAATAAACTGTATCATCAACATTTTTTTCTGATGAAAATTGTTTTTTTTTCTAATATTAATTTTGAGTATTACAATTCCAAGAGTTTTGACATGTCTTTCAGTTTTTCTTATAATTTGAAATCGGCCAAAGTTCGAAAGCATGATCGTTTACTATTAACTTATTCATGTTTCCGCTCAGCGCATCAACACGAGACGAATCCCGAGATTCAAGTCGTCGTGTGTTTCGAATAATTAATGAGATCTAGTTTGTTTTTCACACGAAAACCTTTTTTTTTTTGATAATCTTTGCCTCTCTTCAATGTTTACAAGAAATTCCTCGGTGCTAAACAGCCGTTTTTCCGAAGATTATGTTAATTTTCCATCATCGCATATTTTCTGTTGGAGTCCCGCCATTATTTTTCTTCGCGCGCACATCGACTCCTCCGGACCCAATATTTTATGTGTCATCAGAAGCCATATGTTTGCATCGTTTTAAACCAAACGATGAGTCTTCACAATTAAAAATAATTTGAGAAGATATATAGTTTTGACACTATAAAATTTTACCATATGGTTGTTCTAATTGGTGTTTGCCTCCTACTAATCCGAATCCTATTTTTTTTATATTCGCCGGATGTTTTGACAAGATTTTTCTTTACTAGCTTTCAACTTCTCTGATCTCACATTTCATCGTTAATTGCCACTACGCTCAACGCGCATAACTTTTTTTTGATGAAGTTAATTGAGCATTTTACTGAGAACTCGCGTATGCAAGTAGACGCTTATTCTGGTGTCAACACATTAGGAAATTCTCAACTTTCAGATAACCCAAACGTCGATATCATTACCGATCCGGTTGCATACGAAATGTTCCGTACTGATCTTCATAGACGGGTGAGTTAGTTTTTAGTTTATATTTTCGTAGATAATGCGAAGTCAATATACAAATGACTCAAATCAATTTATGCATCGTTTTGAATTATGTTCAAAATTGGAATACGTTTTTGTCATTTTTGTTAGTTTTGACGTTGGTTGAACATAAAACCGGCTCGCATTTTTAGTGCTCAATTTTATGTTAAGGTTTTATGATTTCCGAAACTTTGTTGATAAAAATCGGTATGTGTAAACGATGCAAAAGCGATAGAGATGGAGAGAACATTCGAGAATTATTTTGAAATCATATTTTCTTATTTCTCTTAGAACCATAAAATGTATACAATGCGTAGTCCCGTGATTTAAGTGTATTTCTTTGAAATAATTTGATTGTACAATGTTAAACAAGAATTGTGCTAGTTGTGTCTACGTTTTCCGCAAGGATTATGTCATTTCTCATAAAAAAGACGAAAATCATTGTTTATCAGTTTGAGTGTCTGTATTAGAGGACTAATTCTCATCGAAATGATAACGACGTTGAACGCACATATTGTTTTGAGCAGTATTAAACTCACCATTTCGAATCCAGTGCCACATTAAATATTTTCACTCAATGTGAAACGAATCAATTGTTTTCCACATCGTAGTCAATGACGCACAATTCAATGTGTCGCTTTTGAACTTATTGATTGTTTTTTTTGTTTCTTGCAGTTCGCTGAGGACAAGCAGGAACGCTCGCGTCCGGCTAGTCCACTGGATCAAGCTGCTACTAAAATTCAAGCGGTTTTCAAAGGACATTTGGTAATATTTCCAATTTAAAATTTAATATTATTGTTTTTTTTAAGGTAAGAGCTCATCCGGAGAAGTTTGGAGTTCAAAGAACTTTGTCGTCGGAAAAAATGGCTTTTGACAACAAAAAGGATCAAAAGTAAAATATAATTGCCAATCAGTATCCAATACGGTCATTTCAGAAGACACTCTGTTGGCGGTTACACTTTAGAATCGGATTCGCCTGAAGATCGCGCCGCTGTCAAAATTCAATCGGAAATCCGTGGATTCTTGGCTCGCAAGCATGTCGAGAAGATGAAGAACGAGGATAATAATGCTGCCGTTAAGATTCAGGCTCATATTCGGTAAACAGTGGATATCGAACTTAAACTGATTATGAAAAGTTTTCAGCGGATTTTTGACTCGTAAACATCTCGATCAACAAGGACTCATGTCACCATCTCGTAGCCATTCCTCAATTCACTCGAACCAGTCCGAAGAAAATCATTAATTATTTATTTTATACCAGAAACATCCCTTTAAAATTACTTTAATTCACTGTTTTCAATTTTTATCCATATTTAGTAAAATGTTCAGTTAAATTTCAGAACTAAACCACATCTTCATGTGATCTTATCATAATACTTTTAATCAAAAACATGTTTTCTAAATTAAAATTTATTATTAGTAAGTATGCACTATTTTGAGAATAAAGTATCAACGACGCAAAATATATCTGTTAGTTTTTACAACATAAATATTTGAAGAAAATCTCAAAGATGATTAATTATTCTGATTTGGCAGCTGACTTTTTGAAAATTTTAAACGTTGATATATGAGGATGATCATAAGCGGCGATAGCCAGAGTACTTCCTCGGCCGTTTGTAAATTGAGCACCGACAATCGCGCTGTTGGAGTCTTTCTTCGAAAAGCGATATTCAAGCTGAATTTTGATTTTTGAAATACTAAACAACTATCTTTTTACTTGGTAGGCATGTGGTTTCCTAGTGTGCAATTTCGAGACAATGAACACTCCGTCTTCGGATGCAGTGAGGACATAAGCACTTTCCGGTGCAATTGAAATACTTGTCACAACTCTTGCATGCGCTGTGGTTTCGCACATTAAAGCTCCGGTCGCGACGGAGTAGAGCTGAACAATACCGCGCATAGTGCCAATTATCACCTGCTTTCGCAATATGTTCATAACGCTAATATGTTGTCTAAAATGAGCGGATGATTGAACTTCACAACTAATATTGTTCAACTTGGTCGCAATTCTTGCTTGAACTCCTTTAACGGGCTTCTGCCACACAATGACTTCGCCATTTGCAGAACCACTAATAGTGATCTCGTCGTAGCGACACGTTGCAATATCGGCTATTGGATGAGTGTGCTCCTAAAATAAAATAGAATGATTTAGAACAAAAACTTTAATACTTTTAAATTTCTTTTGGTTGAGAAATTGGAATCTCCATTACACATAATCACCACAATTTCCCCGGAATGAGTGCCGACAAGAATGGTGTTATCGTTGCAGGTAACGCCACGACAAAATGGGCCAATATCTCTGTTGATATCCATAGCTAGTTCCTAAAAACACGGAGAAGTAGTCAATAAGTCCTCACTTTTTTCAAACCATTTTTAGAGCCGTTTCAAGGCTAATTTTGAATACAACTTTAGAAGAGCATTTGCGAACGTCATAGATTTGAATGTCGCTAACAGTGCCGACGACGACAATTGGGTAGTTTCTGGCATTCGGATGAACAATTCCAAGCTGAAAAAAGGCGTGAGAATCTGAATCACCCAGAATTTTTCTCGCAAGAAAAATGGTCTCATTATTTTTTCTGAATGGTACGATACCGCGGTAATTTCGGAGCTACGCTCATTTGGTGAGGACGCAACAGCATGAATCGTGTCCCATGAAACAGGACCGTCAGTTTTATTGTCCCAATGCCCAATGTGGACCTGAAAATTGTTTTTTTAAACTCGACCATCAATTCATTTCCAGTTTACATTGTTCCCTTGAATAATTCCCATATATGTAATATTCCGCGTGTCTAACCAGCAGACGGCCAAATTTCCTAGCCACGGCGACACGGTGCCTGTTGGAATAGTGACGTCAGCAACATGCTCAAACATCGTTCGCAACTCTGATTTTGCTGAATTTCGAGACATTTCAAAACTGTGGTGGAGAGACGAGCGAGATAATCGAATATATGGACGGAAACAAAATAAAAATGATAGAGCATATTGCAATAGGTTGAAAATAAGCAGGTATGAAAGGCTATCGGGGGCTGTTTGGTGTAGCTATAGCAACGCGTTTTGTCCCATTTCGCTTTGTTAATTTCACCTGCATACTACGAGTTTGATTAAACAAAACTTTAATGTGGGAAAATAACAATACTCGGAAACATCAAAAAATAGAAACGTCGAAACAAGGAACCAGATATAACTTGATCGTGAAGTCATGAAAAAATTTTGGATTGAGGATGAAAAGAATGAAAAGACAACCCCCGTAAGCAAAAAAATTATAATTTTCCGAAAATCTTAACTATATCTATATTTCGTATATGTTTTTTTTGGCAGAAAATCTCCGAAGTCAATTGACATCATAACGGTCTAATAATTAAGAGTTAAAAGTATCAATTAGTCGATGCAGTTACCTAAAATCGAACCAAACTTTTTTTATTCTTTAGCATTTCTTTCACGGAAATTAATGTAGCTCGTGCAAAAGAAAAACTAAAAAAAACACATAGCCATTTAGTTATACAAAACCTCACATTTTATCAATTTGCATTTGTATTTATTAATTGCAAATTATTATATCATATTTTTTTTGAACATGAACACTAAGAAAAAGAAAGTAAATAATCAAAAAAAAACTTCTTAATAACACAGACTGCGTAAAATTTTCATTTGAGTATTTTTTTTAGCAATGTGTACATATACATATATGCTCTTAAATTGTGGGAAAACACAATTATCAATTTTTTTAAATCCATTAATCTGATTACCTTGCTTTTCAAAATAAATTAACAGCATTTTTTAAACTTTTAATTACTTTTTAATTTTTGACTTTCAATAACTTCAAAAAAGTGTTTGAACTAATAGTGAAAAAAAGAAATGAAATTGATTGGCAAAATATTGTTTGGCATCAGCTTAAATTTCATACGTTCCCTCACATTTAAAGATTGTATTTATGCAATTTTATTAATTCTTCTTGTTTAACAATAAAGGTCTACATTCAAAAACCAATGTGCAAATCTACTCGCTCTCCATGATCATTCATTGAATGAAATATCAACAATTCCCAAAGGGATTGTTATTAATGTTATCTTCTTGAAATCCGATAGCTGTTTCATTCTTTCCATATTACTTCATGCTGAGCACACGATATTATATAATTTTCAAACTTATTTTAACCTAAAATTAAGCTTTTTTCCTTGCCACCAGGCAGTTCAAATTATTTCTCAGACTATCTTCTGCTTGTAATGTCTCGATCAAGTTCAAAAACTGTTGGGCGCCGTTCAACATATGAGCATCTGATTGATGTGCAAATCCCACACGGAACAGTATCAGCGTGGAGCAATAACCTCGCAGTTTATTGCGATTCCAAAAGATCAATGACCTACACTGCCACGATTCAGGGAAATTATGTATGCTCGAAATTAATCGTTGCGTTATTATAAATTTCAATTTCAGGTTCAAGTGGCATGGTTCGATCACAAAACCGAAACAGTCGTGTCGTGGGACTCAATTCAAGGAGTCAAGATTGAGGATCGAAGTCCCGAAATCACCGCGGTAACAGAAAATGCACTTTTATTAGTACACTTGTACTTTGTTGGAAATAATTTAATTAGTTTATATAATTGTGAAAAAAAAAACAATTATTAGAACAAGTAAAATGTTAAAAATAATAGTTAATTATATAGATTGGAATAGTTCATCCCCCAATTCGAACTCATCCGGTCACAATTATCGGAACAGTGCGTGATATTCAAATATACGATGTTATGAAACGGTCGGATAAGCCAATCTTCAAAATAAAATTGGAAAATATGATCAAGAAGGTTATGTTATAATTATATCATGTTCAAATTCATTCATCTAATTCAGGAATCAGAATCAAGGGATAGCAATTATATTGGGGGATTCTGCAAAGGAATTTCTTTGAAGGATAATGCTATCCTCATCGGGACGCATACTGGCGAAATTATTGTTATATTGTGCCATGGAGAAGCGCATTTCACAACAAAGAAAAATTTGAAAGTGATCGATTGTCTCTTAAAATTCCAACGGGAGATGGTTTTGCAGGGACACACACAGGCGGTCGTCGGAATAGCTACTTGTGTCTACGATGACATTACTGTTAGTTGTTCGGCAAATGAAGAAATAATTGTGTGGCAGAAATCGCTGAAGGGAATTCAATCGAAAATTGAGACAAAGTGATAGTCTTATTTAAATTCTATATATTTACATTAATGTCTTCAGTGAAAACATAAGCGCGGTTAACATTCTACGAAAACAAATTATTATTGGGACTATGCGTGGAATTGTTCAGCTGTACTCTGTCGCGACCGGAGCTTTAATGTGCGAAACCACAGCTCATGCAAGAGTAGTGACAAGCATATCTGTGGCACCAGAGAGTGCTTACATACTGACGTCTTCAGAAGATGGAATCTACACCGTTTCAAAGCTATACACCCGTAAGCCCCATCCATACGAAGTAATTAATGAAAGGTATAGATTGTAATTCGACGTTATGATTACAGCTTGAATACCGCTTCTCGAAAAAACACCAACATCCAATGATCGTCGGTGCCCAATTCATGAATCCCCAAGGAAATATGTTTGCCTTGGTTGCATTCGATCATCCGCAGATATCGGTTTTCAAGATACCAACAAAGGTCGAACCCAGCAGCTCACAGAAAACATAAACCTCATAAATTAATTCTTCAAAATTTATTTTCGACAGTTTAACTTATTTAATATGAAATGTATTTTTTTACTGAAAATGTGAAAAAAAATACACGAAATGTACAATTGATGAAACACCTAAAAACCACATTTTCAAGGTTTCTCGTCTTCTATTTCTCTATTCTTTGTACATATTACTCTTTTTTTTTAATTTTTTGTCTGATTTCAAACTTAATTGTCATTGTTATTGTATTAATCTTAAACATACATATAACATAACATGTTTAGAATGAAAATAAAGATAAAAAACAGTGTATTAATTTCGAAGGTCAACTACAATGCAAACTTGTAGAATTTCACTGATTAGGTAAAAAAAAAACATCGAATATTCAATTTAACATTGCATATAGTTATGCATATCGATTTCAAATTAAAAAAAAATTTAATACGTTTCGCGTCAATCTTTTATAACATTTATTTATCGTGATAACAATAACCTTGCTCGCAATAAATGCAAATAATTAAACGTTTAATCAGCTAGTGAAAAATCTTGAGAATTTTATGCACATTTAAACAATGATTTGCAAGAAATAAGGGTAATCGTGAGGTAAACAAGAAATGAGTTTCTTGCGGTCAATAAATTATGAAATCGAGTATGCGATAAAATATTTCTTATTTTTATTCAAAATTCAACCGCAAAATTTTCGTTATAAAAACTCCAATGACTTTTCAGAATAATATCGATGAGTAATAGTGGCACAGTTTCATTAGAGCAATGCGCCAACGCTCTCTCCGTCTGCGTTTCGAACGATTGCATGAATTTCTGCTCTCTCTTGCAATTCGAACGTGGCGCTCGTTTTTCGTCTTCACATTATCTGATTTTGCCGAATCGATTGTTCAAACCCTTTGTTTTCCTTTCGAATCGATTATTTGCAGTCAAAATGATGAATATGAACTGGCGGGAAGCGATCAAGCAAGCACAACAGAAGATTGACAAGGTTTTGGATATTAGACCAACAGAAGAAGAAGACGAAAATGAAACATCAGTAAGATTTTTTGCTTAAGAAAAATCATTATTTTGCATTACCTCAGACTTCGAGGGGAGTTGCAGTTACCGACATTGATATGGGCGATGACCCAACAAGTTCAAATCAGGTTGAACATTCTCCTTCTTCAATTTCCCCGAATTCCGATCAGGAGCAACATGTAGTGGTTTGCGAGCCTTTACTACCTCGTAAGTTGTTTTAGACGATATTTTTCATATTTGAAAAGAAACAATTTCAGCTACATCTCATGGCCAGCCTACTGGAGATGATATTCAAACTATTGTTTCGTCCGATATTGAGATTTTACCCGGGTTTGGCTACAAAAAATGTCATTTTGCAATTGAAGTGATTTTCAGGACAGCTACGCCAAATACTTCACCGGAGATTACTGAATGCGTTGAATTGCCTGATTTGGTCAGTTTTTCAGCGATAACATTTCAAAATTACGACTACTTCAGAATGAGATTTTGAGAAACAATAAGTGGCTAAAAGAAAAGCTCGAGTATGAGCAAAAGAAAATGATTGATTTGAAGGAGCAAAACTCGAAGCTAAATGCAAAGTGAGCGTAATATTACCTTACAGAAACAATTTTTGTTTTTAGGACACAAAAGATTGAAAAGGAGTTTGATAATTTCAAATCAGAAGCGTCAAAGTTCAGCGAAGAAGCGTTCAAAGCTCGCAAGTCAGCCTTAGCTTCTCGTGCAAAAGTAAAAGAACTCACTGCTCAAGTTGCTGCATTGGAGGAGAAGCTTGCCGCAAAGGATTTGAAAATTAATGGAATGCAAAGTAAGAATTTTGTTATTATAACATTGTATACTCTGTTAATTGGGATAAATACTACATTAGTCGAAAATAATTCATTCAGAGCGGAGGTATTAATTGTAGAACGAGAGTTCAATGGAAAAATGTTGCTTCTGAGAATTTGTTTTCCAAAAAATGACGAAAAAGTTTTTCTAATTATGACTCGAAATACTCACAAATTTAAGCTTTATCTCACAATTTAAGCTTTATAATATACCATAGATTTCTCTCAAAATGGTTCAACAAACATTTGTTTTTCAAAACAACCCATAAAATATTAATAACTCAATATAACTTTAACAGGTGCAATGGAAGATAATCTCGAAGTAATCAACAAATATAATTCATCTAGTCAACAACAAGCCGACGAAATAAAGGTTTTTTTTAAATTTCAATGAGTTCCAAATAATGACTTTTTTATTTTTCAGAAACTGAATGCAAGTCTTTTGGAAAAAGAAGAGCGAATAAAAAATCTTGAAACTGTCATTGATGAGTTCGAACAAAGAAAACACGGTGAAGTGAGCTGATTCGTTGTTTCAAAATTTCTAATTATATTTCCAGCAAACGGGAACGCTTTATATGGATGATATGGTTGAGCAGACGTTAGCAGGATTGAAAGAAGAATTGGAAGAATACCGAAGAGCGAATTTCAATTTGAAGGAAGATTATAATAAGCTTCAAGAGGTTGACGCGTTTTTTGTTTCGGTAGATTAAATTTTACTAGTTAAGGAAATGGAACGAAAACAGTATGAATACGATAATCGGCTCTCCGAAACTGTTAATGCTGGTAATTAAGAAAATATTTAGCCCATTTTAATGTTAATTACAGCCCGATTCGAATTCAACGACGAAATTTTAACATTAAAAAACGACTACGAACGTGTTTTGGCAGCCAAAAATGATCTGGAACGAAAGGAATCTCGTATAATGAGCCAATTAGAGCTAGTGCTTAGGGAATCAATGGTTTTGAAAAAAGAGGTTTATCGCAACTCTCACATCTGAACTAAAGAAAATTTTTTTAGCTTTTGACAATTAACGATATTGTACACGACTTGAATACATATGCTGGTGTTGAGCATGAAAAATTGGCTAGGGACGTATCAGCTGCAGTGGCGACAATTCTAAAATGTCAGCAACTTAAACATAAAGAGGACTTAAGAAAAAGGGAGTCGACAAAGCGTGCACAATATCAAGAAAAATCTGCTCAGACAGAATTTAAGTTCAAGGTAAATTTTTCGTCAAAAACGCAAAAAACAGTTCTATTTTATAATATTCCGTGAGTTTGATTCGCATGTAATCTATAGTATGATACTCGAATTACTACATTTTTAACTGAAATTTTAGCAATCGCTTCAAAAACGTGAACATGTAGCATATATAAAATAGTGAATACCTATATATTGAAAAATTCGACAGCGAAAAATTGGCTAAATGTAAAAACCAGGGTAATGTGTTTGTGCAAAACTAAAAAAATAAATTTACGTGCATAAGTATGAAGTACTAAGACTTTTAACTAAAGTCTTTTTTGGGTTTTAGCCAATTTTCCGATATCGCGCGACATTGAAAATTTGCATATAAATATACATAAATGTGTATATATTTATATCATTTTTTGTTATTCAATTTTCCCGGCTTTTGGTTCATGCGCATAATCTTTTCAATAATTTGATATAGAAAGCAATTCAGCATTTTTTTTTCTGTCGGTTTATGCAAATCTTTCATATCTGAAAATCTTAAGGAAGATCAAATCATTGAAAGTTCGACTTCTAATCTACCGACGGAATCTTCAGCAATGGCGGGCTTCGAACCGTGTTGGTGTAGCACGTTGCAGGTATTTTTGAGATGATCAAAACACAAACACGTGATTCGATTTTCAGGATCGCCGATACGTTTCAAGTATGGCGGATATGATCAAAATGATTGATGAATTGTCTGTTCAAAAAGACCAATTGGAAACTACGCGACGGACGGTTGCTTTGGAATTGAAGGAGGCGAAGAGACAGTTGAGTGAAGTGCTCATTATGCATGGAGAGAAGATTGAAGAGTTGGAAGAGCTGCGAAACGACAATGAGGATTTGCGAAACATGTTGAAAGAGCAAGTAATGGTTTCAATTAAGCAACTCCGTTTCAATATAATATAATTTAGGCGCTATCCTTCACTGAAACTCAGAATGCAAAGAAACTCGAGCATCCATCTTTCGAATAGGCTTTTTTTTGTAGGAAATATCGAGAAAACATTTTTATTAAATTTCCTTATATACGGTTTTCCTATCGATGCATATTTTTCCAGTCTCGTTGATTGATTTCACCTTGTGTAATTTATACTATGCAATTGATTTTTTTATCCCCAGGGCATTTTCAGCTATTTTCATCCATCTTTGGCTGTTCTCATTTGTGCCTAATTGTAAGGTTTTATTTTCCATATTCCTGTGAACATACTACCTAAACAATTCTCAATGGTTTTCAACTGATTAACCATTGCTGTCAAATTGCATATTTCTCTATTTTATCATACAAATATCCCTTTTATTTCTTTTCTCAATTTTTTATCCGGTTGTGCAATTTCAGCTTTTCTGTGATAGAATTTTTTTGGGTTTGCGGGACTACATTGTACTAATCTCATTTACATAGATGTCAACTAATAGCAATGAATGTTAAACGGGTGGAATAAAATTATTATTTACTAAGGCTGTAAATCAAGATGGAGTCGAATTATGAAACATCTCGTTCCGTCAAAACGCTTCACAAATGCTCATTTTACAAAAACCATCAGCCTTACGCTTTTGCAGAATCGTTGAGAAATTGATTTAATAACGCAACGCCTACCTGAATTGCACGTTATTGCTAAAATCAAATGTCAAAACATATTTCCGGTGATGGTGTAATCCCAATATTACATAATTTGATGTGATCGCAAATATTTTTTTTATTAATAGTCGATAAAATTCCGAAACATGGGGCGATTATTAAAAAAAAAAGCGGCGATTTGGTTCTTAGAAAAACTTTCGAATTTCATTAGACTACAGTATAGCCATGTGGTAGAAGTAAACGTTTCGTTCACTCTTTTGAAAAAAAAATGAATAAAATGGCTTGCAAATATCAATAGGAAACAGGAATTCGTCAAAAAATGTTCCAGTGGGGTAATTTATTTAGTCATTTGATTTTAGCTAAAAAAATTATGGCTATTTGATTTTTAGCCAAAATTTTGAATAATGAAAGAGAAAGATTATAAGCCCTAGTTGTTGGCAAGAAAATATATACAAGAGAGATATCTGTCGTGCTTATTTTATTACTTCTGGAAGTCCCGTATCTATTCGATCCTTTTAACTACTTCCGCTAAGAATAAAAAATAATCATCAATGTGTGCCGGTAATGGGTCTCAATATGAGATGATCGTTTTTGATAGTGTGCCGTTATCTTTAAATATCTGATCCATTTGATTATATCGATTAAACAACCGCCCTTTTCGTCGTTTTTTTTTGCGCAATCCGTCATCCACGTTGATTTTCGGTAACGAATGAGGAGATAAAGGGTAAAAATGATTTAGCGGCCTTGCATTTGCACTCGTTTCTGATGGATATCTTCTCCTCTAATGTGACCTCTTCCCCAGAAAGATAACCATCTAGCTAGACCGATCCAATAGTTATCGGAATTGTAACAGAAAAGCGGAAAATGTTTCAACTTCTCATCTCCCTCGTTTCAATTTTGATGACAAGTTCTACGAATACCTACGCGTCGATTTGCACTTTCCATCAATTGGATTTGACGCAGAATGTCGACGTCAGCATTGTTCTAATCAAAGTTTGCTGAACAGATATATGTCGTAAACCGAAAATGAATTTCGAGGAGAAAACGGTGTCTCTCTCTTGATATTGTGCAGATAGTAGATAGGTTTTGCCTATCCCCTCCTCATTTCCCTTTTCAGGGCAATTTGTACATGGCGGCCCAAAGATCCGCTACTTTGACAAATCACGAGATTCGCTTGATTTCATCCCAGACGTTCCGATTGAATGCAACAGGATTCGGAATAGTGAATCATCTTCGCAAAAAGTTTTGCGTATTTACCCATGCAGAACATTCTTGACAGTTTCTTATCGTCGCCTGAAATCTAAACGATACAAAGAAGCCAGAAAAAAACGGATGCCGAAATTGCTCTCAAATATTGGATAGATTGAAAATAAGATATTGGTTTTCCTTTCCTCTGCAACAATTTCGCCTCAACCAAATCGTTAAATATTTAAAAATTAGTGGACAATGAACAAACCACACCCAAAAAGATCACCCTGTCAAATAAATTAGTTGAATGTTGTAATTGGACGCAAATTTACAGGTTTCTAAACTAGTAAGTGATTGTAAATAGGAGACGTTTTCCTTGTTATGAGTCGATTTTTTATAGTATCATCATCAGCATCGTCATCAACAATTTCTGTCAAAAAGATTGTTTTGCCCCCCTTCAAACACCCCGCACACGTTTACTGAATAAAATAGGTGCGGCGACGAAACGCGAATAAAATGCGAAACAAAATTCAGGCAGTCTTGAGGTGTCCTCGTTTTTACATGTCCGATGACTATTGCTTGAAGAACTTTGCGGAATGACACAATTGATAAGAGTTGATCTGAATAGATTCAAATAAAGTAAATTGTACTTTGAATGTGTCAATGGATTTTTTGCATCGATATGATGAACATTGACCGTAAAAGACAATGATTGAAATACATGAAATGAAAGTAAAAGAATAGAATTAACACGGTTTATCATTTTTAGGTGGGCTCCAAAGTTGGTTCTTGTATGAACATTGTTTTCAACAACGGTGTTAGCACACTTTCCATATAAACGCATTTTTATCTTCTAAGTTTCGAATTTATCATAGCTTTGTTCGCCAATAAACTTGTTTTTGGAGTGTGTTGTATTAGTAATTATGTTGAAAAACCTTATGAGAACGACTCTCATAGGAGGAGTATCAAATGCAACAAGTTCTTCAACTTTTCTTTTTGATTGTCTTAGGCTGGCCACTTGGTGTGATACTTCATTTTACTGACAAATTGTATCTCTACGCTCTTTCTCGGTCATCGGGAGTGCGACTAATGAAATTTGACTTTGACTATTCAACCAACCCACCGGCCTTAATTGTTCTCGATGTCCTTTTCATCATCCGTAGACGACTTGAACGTAACTTTTCTCATTCTTCACTTCATGTTGTGCCCATCGCGACGACAATCGTTTCCAATTGTAAATGAAATTTTACTGATAGTTGGTAGCCTATTTCTAATACAAACATTCTCATCGTTTCCATAATACCTGAGCTATTCAGGTGTTTGAAGATGACCGGTGGTTTTACAGTTGTGTGAATATGCCAAGGTCGTCTATCCCGGGAGATGTAACAGCGCTCATACGGTACAACCCCACACCCATCTTTTACTTATGCACCATAATCTCATCCTGAGCGGCAGGTCGAGGAGGTGGTCCATTCTTTTCTCTCCGCGCAGTCCGCGGCGCTGTACTCATCGACCTCCAGGCCCATCATTAAACATTCCTCGCTATTATAACTCTATGCAAGTTTAACTGCGTGCTCTATGTTTCAACCTTCAGATGAATAAAGTAAACATGCTCAGAAATTTAAATAAATGATTTTGTTTAAAAATATAATAGAATTTACAAAATTTTATTTTAAATTTTCGTCTTTTAGTTAATTAAAATAATAATACTTTTTCGGAAGAGACAAGTTGAGAAAATATTGTCAAACTTAAAATAATTTTCGCTTACTCCTCAAATTGTTTTATTAGAAAAATTTCATAAAGTGGCTTCAATTAAAATTTCCCATTAAATTAGTTAAATCTGAATCACTGATACATATTAGTCTCGTCATCCCCGCAATCATAAAAACTGTGAGAGGGGTGGATCCTAACACCAAAATGACCTTGGGAATCAGGGCCAACATTGCGTGTAATCTCACTCATTGCTCGATATTTTTTTTGCATTTGGTCATCGAAACTAACAAGCAATATTTTGACAATCCGCAAAAAAGAGCGATTCGCTTATTTTCGAGAAGACGCGGCCGACCTACTACAACGACGACTATTTATCGGCTTAAGATTTCGATGACGAAAATGGCCAGATAGACATCTTTCTGTACCAGTTACAATGCACTTTTTTCCCTATCCAATTGTATCATCGCATTTTATCTCGCTCGACATGTTTCAATACGTTCTTGCAAAACCCTTTTGCCCTTCGGTTTCATCTCGATTTTATAGGTCTCACTTCACTATCTAAACTAGGGCATCATATAAATATGGAGAAAGGAGAAGGAGCTGAATCATCTGACATGAGCTCAGGCTGGGAGAAAATTTCCGACAATTCTCAGGTACTATTTAACTTTAACCTCTTGGTGAGATTCATTCATTCAAACCAACGAAAAAAAAACACGTCATGGGTTGTTCTCTTGTAGTAAAACAGGTTTTATTCATCAAAAGTTCAATTTCAAAATGTAAAGGCTGACTAAAATTAATTATTTTTGCCGAGTTTTTTTTTACAAGTCAAGAAACATTATTTCAATGTATGTAGTGTTGCGAAATCGTCGCCGATGGTGTTATGGTATTGTGAATCAACTCCCAAATCAGATTTCTCGCATACAAAAAAACTGTCCTCAAAACGAGCACTATTTTTTGTGTTTTTTTTTCTTTTGGCGCTTGGTTTCTTCGTTTTTCATTATTTTGAATCCTCAACGGCGTTCAATTTCAAATACGCCCACTCGGCACACTCTCTGCGTAGACGTCTCATATCATTCCTTCTTCATTCTCGTCTTCATATCTCACATTCAATCATTGCCGAGAGCTTTTTCGATTCCCGCCCACATTCCATTTATCGTTTTTGCTCCCATGTGTACCACTGCCTTCTCGCTGCCATTTGCCATTCCGGATTTGATTCTAGAATGCGTCTTGTTGTTCGCTCGTCTATTCCCGACATCGTTTTCGACATTGTAAACTGCCGGCATGCGCGCACCTTCTAATTTGAATGCGGACCTCAATCAAGACGCACCAATCCCTTATTGTCCGAAAAAATCGCGTCAGCCATTTCGCACCGCACTATCATGCCTCTCATCGCGACCTTACCTTGTCTTCATGGGGACACTCCGGAGACGAGACATCGGCGGACAACGACGTGGACGTCTTCGTCGAGAGAGACACACGGCGTCAAGAGATGTAGAGGATCGCGCTCCGCCTCTTTTCCGCCTTATCCCTCCGTTCTTGATGGTCGATGTTGTGCACCTTTTGTCGCTCCCGCAAAGACAAATTTTCTTTCGAATATGTTGAATCGCTTTAATTGCCGAAATGTTCCTCTTTTCTTATCGATCTTATCGATCTTATTCGAACGCGTTAATAGCAAAACAGGAAAAACATCTACTTTCCTCATCTTGATCTAGATAACCAATAATTATTTCGTTGCCTCGAATTTGATTTACTGTTCCAATTTGTACGCCTCACTGTGTTCATCTTAACTTTTAGTTAACTAATTTTAAATTTTTCAGTCTGGCGAGAGCATGAACTCAGAAGCTTCGGCGTGGTGGAAGCAACAGGATGAGATCGTTATCTCGGGAGTCTCGGGCCGATTCCCAAGGTAAACTCATTTCTTCGCATATCATTTAATAATGATAGTTTATTTGCAGATGCGAAAATGTGAAGGAGTTTGGAGATATGCTTCTCGCTGGCGAGGATCTTGTCACTGAAGACGACCTCAGATGGCCGCCAGGCTTCTACGATCTTCCAAAGAGACACGGAAAACTGAAGGAATTGAAGAAATTCGATGCCCAATTCTTCTCAGTTACACCGAAACAAGCAAACTTTATGGACCCACAAGTTCGTATATTGCTGGAAGCTTCATGGGAGGCGATGGTCGATGCAGGTGAGACATGATGACAAATTTCGAGATTTAAGTGCGATCAAGAATCGAGAGAGATCGGATATGGCGAAGAGAGATGTGGTGCTATGTACGCCGTTGTACCTACCACCGCGGTAACCTTGAAAATCGCGCGCTCTAGTGCCTCTCATGATTTTGGCCTACTTTTTGCAATCTGGCATACATATATATGACAATGTCATAGATTGTCTGATTACAGGAAGACAAAATTTGATTGAAATAAGAAAATAAATGAGTGATAAAATTTCAATATATTGTAGGAATCAACCCAATCGATCTTCGCGGCTCCAGAACTGGAGTATTTGTTGGATGTTCCGCTTCGGAAACATCTGGAGCTTTGACGCAAGATCCCGAAACCGTGACGGGCTACACGCTTACGGGATGCGTGCGCTCCATGTTTTCCAATCGTATCTCCTACACTTTCGATTTGCAAGGACCATCATTCTCTGTTGATACCGCCTGCTCGTCGTCGCTTTTAGCGCTTCAACTCGCCATTGATGCTATCAGACAGGTTGAATTCTAAGTAAACAACCTTAGAATATAAGACAATAAATTATAGGGGCAATGTGACGCCGCTATTGTTGCTGGTGCTCACCTCACGCTCACACCGACCGCCGCTCTTCAGTTCTTGAGATTGGGCATGCTCACGGACAAAGGAAGTTGTCGATCATTCGATGATTCCGGTGACGGTTATTGCCGTACCGAAGGAATTGCTGCTATTTTCATTCAACGCAAGCAGAAGGCGCAACGTATCTATGCTACCGTTCTTCACGCAAAATCTAACACCGATGGATATAAGGAGCAGGGCATCACCTTCCCATCAGGAGAACGTCAAGCTCAACTTCTCGAAGAAGTCTACACTGAGGCTGGAGTTGATCCAAATTCTGTGTACTACGTGGAAACTCATGGAACTGGAACAAAAGTTGGAGATCCACAAGAGGCTAACGCTATCTGCCAAGTGTTTTGCTCCAATCGTCAAACTCCACTTCTCATTGGATCCGTCAAATCCAACATGGGACATGCTGAGCCAGCTTCCGGAGTTTGCTCATTGGCCAAGGTATTTATTACATAACATTTACTGTTTACTGAAACAAAAATTACAGATCTGCTTGTCGATTGAACGCCAAATGATTCCACCAAACCTTCATTTCAACACCCCTAACCAATACATTCCGGGTCTTGTTGATGGGCGATTGAAGGTTGTCACGGAACCAACTCCTCTTCCAGGAGGTGTCATTGGAGTCAACTCCTTCGGATTTGGTGGATCGAATACTCACGTCATCTTGAAGGCGGCTGACCACAGTGTCCCAGCTATCGAGCCACCACCATTCACCAAGATCTTCACTTACAGTGGTCGTACACAAGAAGCTGTCGAGCACATCTTCGAAAATGTCGAAAACAGCCAAGACAATTTGTACTTGCAAGCTTTGCTCTCGAACCAAGCTAATCTTCCGGCGAAAGATACCCCATACCGCGGATTCATGCTTTTGAATCGCGAAGGAGGACAACCACCGTTGAAGAACATTAGCAAGGTTTCGATCACTGAACCAAGACCAATCTACTTCATCTACTCTGGAATGGGATCGCAATGGCCCGGAATGGCTATTGAGGCCATGAAAATTCCAATTTTCAAAGAATCGATTCGCGCATCGAGCAGGGTATGACAGTAATTACAAACAAAATTACATTACTTTATCATTTAAGGCTCTCGAGGAGTTCGGAGTTGACGTCTACCAAATGCTCTGCAATCCGGATCCAACTCAGTACCAAAACAACACATTGAACTGCATGTTGGCAATCACTGCCATCCAGATTGCTTTGACTGACTGCATGTTCGCTGTTGGTGTTACTCCGGACGGAATCATCGGACACTCCACTGGAGAAATGGGATGCGGATATGCCGACGGTGGAATTACTCGTGAGCAGACCATGCGTCTTGCTTACTACCGTGGAACCACAATCAGAAAGCATCCAGAAATCAAGGTTAGAATTTAAAAAAAAACCAAATTGATGACATTTTATTATAGGGAGCTATGGCGGCCGTCGGTCTAAGCTGGGACGAAGTGAAGAACCAAGCACCGGCAGGTGTTGTTCCTGCTTGCCATAATGGAACTGACTCAGTTACCATTTCCGGAGATGCCGACGCCGTCGAGAAGTTCTGCGCTCAACTCAAGGAGAAAGATATCTTTGCCAAAGTGGTCGACTCGTCTGGAATTCCATTCCACTCGCCAGCAATGCTCGCTGTCAAGGATGAAATGCTTGAGAGCATGAGAACTGCTGTTCCTGAGCCAAAGCCACGTTCGTCTCGTTGGATTTCAACCTCTGTTCCAGAGGAAGAATGGGAATCTGATTTGGCTGCCACTTGCTCTGCTGATTACCACGTCAATAATGCTTGCTCTCCAGTGTTGTTCTACGAGGCTATTCAGAAGATCCCAGCAAACGCTGTAACGATTGAAATGGCTCCACATTCGCTAATGCAAGCTATTCTTCGCCGCAGTCTTCAAAAAACTGTTATCAATGTTGGATTGATGAATCGTCCAAGAAGTGAGAATGACAATGAGCTCGAGAGCTTCTTGAGTTCGCTCGGAAAAATCTACCAGGCAGGAGTCAACATCCGAATCTCCGAATTGTACCCAGGAGGTCAATACCGCGGTCTTGTGCCAAAAGGAACTCCAATGATTGGACCAATGTGGAAATGGGATCATTCCGTCGACTGGCCAACTATTGATGGACGTAATATGACCACTGCAAGCGGTGGATCAATTCCAGCTTCTGCTACTTATAACATCGATCCATTTGGCGCCGACTCAAAGGTATATTAACAAAAATTAAGGAATGGTTACATTACACTTTTAGGAAGCCTACCTTCTTGATCACGTGATTGATGGACGTGTTCTTTATCCGTTCACTGGACACATGGTTCTTGCATGGAAGACATTGTGCAAGCTGAAGGGAGTTGATTTCCAAAAGACACCAGTTGTCTTCGAGAACATCAACGTCTATTCTGCCACGATTGTAACGAAGCCAAGTATACAAACTCGGATGTTCTCATTTAATAATTCTAAATTTTCAGTCAAACTCGATGTTGTTCTTACCCCAGGAAATGGCTACTTTGAGATCATCTCCGACGAGCAAGTGGCCGCTTCGGGAAAAATCTATATTCCTGATGAGAAACAGCCATTCTACTACGGAAAGTTGGAGGATATTCGCACTTCTGAAATTGCCGATCGCATTGAGCTTGACACGGAAGACGCTTACAAGGAGTTCTTGCTAAGAGGCTACGAGTACGGACAAGCCTTCCGTGGAATCTACAAGACGTGCAACTCTGGAGAGCGCGGTTACTTGTATTGGACCGGAAACTGGGTTACATTCTTGGACTCGCTTCTTCAAACCGCTCTGCTTGCTGAACGTGCTGACACTCTTCGTCTTCCAACTCGTGTCAGACATCTCCGCATCGATCCAAATAAGCATCTCGATCATGTTGTTGAAAAGGACGGAATTCAAGTCATTGAATTGAGAAATGATCATGCCACTAATGGATGCATTGCTGGAGGAGTTGAATGCTGCGACTTGACGGCTCATACGGTTTCGCGTCGTATCCAATGCGCTGGACAATTGTATCATGAGAAAATTTTCTTCATTCCACACTTTGACAAGAACTGTCTTTCAAACCATCAGGATGTTGCTGACAAGCTCGCTATGTATTCTCTTGTTCTCAAACGCGAATTGACCAATGGATTCACTAAATGGGAAGAGACCGGAGCTTTGAAGAAGCTTAAGAATGCAGAATTACTTGAAACCGCGCTTGCTGCTCTTAAAACTCATGATTACAAAATTGTCAACGACGAAATGGTGCAGCATTTCTTGCATGATGGAAAATGCACTGTCCTTCATTACTTCACCGAGGTCTGAATATCTGTCTAAATATGCCTTATACGTCATTCTTTATTTTTTAGCTATTCAAACTGGAAAACTCGGATGACTTTGAAGAACAAGTCACCGCCAAGATGAAGAGTGTTCGCGTCATCTTTGAGCTTGACAGACTTTGGGCTGGAGCAAACATTTGCGATCGCGTTCTCAAGTCTCTTCAAGATATTTGCATTGAAAACTCTGCTGGTCATCACGTGAAAATGTCGGCTGTTGAATTGGTTTCAACAGATCAACTTCGCCATTGCATTGAGGCGAACACTTCTCATCCACTTTTAGAGGTAGAAATGCAACATTTTTAACCGATTAAACATGCATTATAGGTTGATTACTCTGCCGTTGGACCAAACGTCGATAATCTCGACGACAACACCTTGGATCAACTTGGAGCCAAAAAATACAAGATCACTATTGACGAGAACTTCACTGGACACAATGAAATGAAGAACCTGGACTATGTTGTCATCGATAAAGTATTGAACAAGTTAGTTTGAAACGAAGATCCATGGGAACACAAACATTGATTGCAGGAAAGCTCACCCAACGGCTTATTTACAAGCATGCAAAAATCTCATCCGCGATGATGGTTTCCTTCTTGTTATTGAAGTTACTTCTCATTACGAAATCGCACTCGCCATTGAAGGCCTTCTTGGAAACGATGTCGCAGTTGAAGTTGATGAAAACCGTCGTCATTACAAAGCGTTCCTTGACCATGAACAGCTCTTGGATATATTCCAACAGGCTGGACTCCGGTTGTGCAACTTCCAAAGTGACCCAACCATGATGACCACTACATATGTTGTTCGCAAAATTCCGACTATCCCGCGCGAACCAGCCTTCATTGATGTTGATGATATCCACGAGTTCACTTGGATTGAGCCACTCCAAAAGATTATTGAGGAACGTTTGAATGAGCCCGATTACAAGACAATTTGGCTTGTTAGTAACAAAGTTCGCAACAATGGTGTCGTCGGATTGTCGCTGTGCTTCGTTGAAGAAAATCTGAAAGCGAATCGCTTCCGCTCCGCTTTCGACATGTCCAATACCAAGGCTATTCGTGAAGGACCACCGCAATGGAAACTTGGAGACGAGAATGTTGATAAAATCGTTGAACTTGATCTTCACGCTAACAACTACAAGGATGGCGTCTGGGGATCAATGCGCCACATCGTTGTCAAAGACGGTAATTAATTATTTATTGAATTTGTTATGCAACAAATTAAATTTCAGAAGAGGCTCACGTCTACAAGGATTGCGAGCACGCTTTCATCAACACATTGACAAGAGGAGATGTCTCATCTCTTACCTGGTTCGAGTCACCAAACCAATACTTCGATGCCATCGCAAATAAGAAGGCCTCGCATGAACTATGTTCGGTCTACTACGCTCCAATCAACTTCCGTGATATAATGCTTGCTTATGGACGATTGCCACCAGATGCCATCCCAGGAAACTTCGCTGATCGTGAATGCCTACTTGGAATGGAATTCTCTGGAAGACTTAAAGATGGAACTCGACTCATGGGAATCTTGCCGGCTCAAGCTCTTGCCACTAGTGTTATGGTTGATCGTGACTACGCTTGGGAGGTTCCGGCCAACTGGAGTTTGGCTGAGGCTTCGACTGTTCCAGTCGTTTACACCACCGCCTACTATGCTCTTGTTCGACGTGGACAAATGAAGAAAGGAGACCGTGTGCTTATTCACGGTGGAGCAGGAGGAGTCGGACAAGCCGCAATTGCCATTGCATTGGCTGCCGGTTGCGAAGTCTTCACCACCGTGGGATCGACCGAAAAGAGAGAATACTTGAAGAAAAAATTCCCACAACTTCAACCGCATCATTTTGCGAACTCTCGTTCTGCTGATTTCGAGTTGCACATCAGACAACACACCAAGGTATAATTTTGCAGACATACATATAAGAAATAATTTTTTTGTCGTTCAGGGGCGTGGAGTCAACATTGTTCTTAACTCTCTTGCGAATGAAATGCTGCAAGCTTCCCTTCGTTGCTTGGCTCGTCATGGACGATTCCTTGAGATTGGAAAGGTCGATTTGGCTCAGAACTCATCTCTCGGAATGTCGAAATTGCTCGACAATGTTTCTGTTCATGGAATCCTTCTCGATTCGATCATGGACCCAACCGTCGGAGACATCGTGAGAATTGGCAGAATACCAATTATTTGATAATTTGATTACAGGAAGAGTGGAAAGAAGTCGCTAAGCTTCTCGAGCAAGGAATCAAGAGCGGAGTTGTTCAGCCACTTCATTCGCACATCTTCACTTCTGACAAGGCTGAGGAAGCTTTCCGTTTCATGTCTGCCGGAAAGCACATCGGAAAAGTCATCATGGAGATTCGCCAGGAAGAAAAACAACTCGTTTGCCCGCCATCCAAGATTTCGGTCAAAGCAATTTGCCGTACTCTTTGCCACCCACAACATGTTTACCTCATTACTGGAGGACTCGGAGGTTTTGGACTTGAGTTGGCTCAATGGCTCATCAACCGTGGAGCTCGGAAGCTTGTCCTTACTTCTCGTAGTGGAATTCGTACCGGATATCAAGCTCGTTGTGTGCACTTCTGGAGAAGAACTGGTGTCTCCGTTCTCATTTCGACTCTCAACATCGCTAAGGCTTCCGATGCTGTTGAACTTGTTCGCCAATGTCAATCAATGGGATCAGTTGGAGGAGTTTTCCACTTGGCTATGGTTCTACGCGATTGTCTCTTCGAGAACCAGAACGTGCAAAACTTCAAGGATGCCGCTGAAGCAAAGTACTACGGAACCCTTAATCTTGATCAAGCAACGCGCAACCATTGCGATCGAGATGCGTTGAAATGGTTCGTTGTCTTCTCATCGATTACATCTGGACGTGGAAACGCGGGACAGACCAACTATGGATGGTCAAACTCGACAATGGAGAGAATGATCGAGCATCGCCGCGCTGATGGATATCCAGGAATCGCCATCCAATGGGGAGCTATTGGAGATGTCGGAGTTATTCTTGAGAACATGGGAGACAACAATACTATTGTTGGTGGAACCCTTCCGCAGAGAATGCCGTCTTGCTTGACTTCATTGGACCTCTTCCTTTCATGGAATCACCCAATTGTGTCGTCGTACATCAAGGCTGACATGGGAGCAAAGAAGAGCAGCGGAGGTGGAAACTTAATGCAAACCATCGCCCATATTCTTGGAGTCAACGATATCTCTCAACTTAACCCTGATGCCAATCTTGGAGATCTTGGACTTGACTCCTTGATGGGAGTCGAAATCAAACAAGCTCTTGAGAGAGACTACGACATCGTTCTTTCAATGAAGGATATCAGAACTCTGACGTTGAACAAACTCCAGCAATTGGCTGAGAACGGAGGAACTGGAACCCAATCGCTTCAGTCAACCGAGCTTGAAATGAAGAAGGAAGGAGAACGCGAAGCAGAACTCAACACCGTCGAAATGCTTGAGAAACAAATGAACCAATTGTTCAAAATGCGTGTCGATGTCAACGATCTTGACCCTCAAGACATGGTTGTCAAGGCGAACAAAGTTGAGGAGGGACCAATCACATTCTTCGTTCATTCCATCGAAGGAATCGCGACTCCGTTGAAGCGAGTCATGTCGAAGTGCACATTCCCAGTTTATTGCTTCCAGTCGACCAAAGAAGTCCCGCAAAGTTCAATTGAAGATGTTGCCAAGTGCTACATTCGTGAAATGAAGAAGATCCAACCACAAGGACCATACAGAATTGTTGGTTATTCATACGGAGCGTGCATTGGATTTGAGATGGCTTGCATGCTGCAAAACTCGGATGGTCAAGATTCCGTGGAGAAGCTCATTCTTCTTGACGGATCTCATCTCTATATGCAGACCTACAGAAACGTAACAAATTATTTTCTCCAACGGCTAATCAAACTTTTTTATAGGTATACCGTATGGCATTCGGAGTTACTGGCGACACTTTGGTCAACAATCCACTCTTCGAATCGGAAATTATGTGCGCCATGACATTGCGATTCGCCAACGTCGACTACAAGAAGTTCCGTGTTGAACTGCTTCAGCAACGCGGATTCAAGGCTCGTGTTCAGAAAGTTGTCGACACCGTCATGACCACCGGACTCTTCAAGTCTCCAGACACGGTTGCTTTCGCCTGCGAAGCAATGCATGCGAAATTCTTGATGGCGGACAAGTAAAACTCATTCAAGTGTAAATGTGCTTAATATCTAAATTTAGGTACAAGCCAGCCAGAAAGTTCAATGGACACATCACACTTATTCGAGCAGAACAAGGAGCAGCACGTGAAGAGGACGTCGGACAAGATTATGGAATCAGCCAAGTTTCAGAGGATTCAAAGGTTTGCTTGCGAATAACGCGTTTGAAACGCATTATAATTTTTCAGGTATTTGTTGTCGAAGGAGACCACGACACATTTGTGCAAGGAAAGAGCTCAGCCAAGACAGTCAGCATCATCAACGAGTTGATTCTGAATAAGCTATAAGCATGGGAATAGTTAGACACCATTTCAAATTGTTTTTATAATATATTTTTCTATTTTTCTTTCGATTTCTCGCCTTTTTGTAATTTTCCATTCCCTCCCATCATAGCTTTCGAATTATTCGCGCCCTTTGCTTGCCCGGCTTCAAACACTGAGACTCACCTTCCACCCGATTTCACATCCCGTATTCCTCGTACTTGTATCTCGGGCGTTCGCGCCATTCCTCTTGTGTCTGCTTTTATTGTTTTAGTCTCATAGTTAGGTACTTCATTCCTTTGAGCTCACGTTCACTAATCAGCTTATTTTTTTGTAATTTTTCTTGTGTTATATCTCTATTGTGCCAGGAAACAAGCCGTCTTTTGTTGTCACGTTTCGATAATCTTTCTAGTTGCACAAATTTCTTCGATGCTTTTTCAACAACGTTTCTGTTGCGGTCCGCCCAACCAATACGGATTCGAACTTTTCAAATTCACATAAGGATTATCAAAACGTGAATCGAAAAAGGCGATGCTTTTTTTTGCCTTTCTGCGTGTCCATTTGCCTTGATTTTTGGAATTCCCTACAGGTCCGACCGCTTGTATTCTTTTTCTTCAAGCATTATGACGTATTTAGTTCATTCAATTGTATTCCGAGCCTTTTCTGTCGCCCAACTGCAATGATAACTTTTCTTTTTCAATTAGCTAATTTTTCACATTATTCCTCACCATATACCACATATACCATCGATATTGCACCTTGCATTTAAAATCGTTTCCCTCTAATGTTATTGGAGAATCCATTCGATCTCACCGCGATTCTTCAAATTTCAGAAGAACTTTAATAACATTAGCTCGAAACGTGGGTCATTTTCTTAAAAGCTCAACGCAATTAACTTTGGTGACCGCCCATCATCATCGTTTTATCTGTGAAGATGCCTCTTTTGAAAATGACCGTTCATTTTCTCAAATTTGAAACTTTATGAAGTATATAATAAGATTTAATAAGATTTCTAATAATTGATTGTGATTCCTCCTTTACTTAACAAGTATTTAAATGTGATTATATTTGAATTGTGATAACTTTTTTTTTAATTGTCCTTTTCCGAAGCTTTTTTTGAGAATGTCATTGTTTTGGTAATCGAGCCAGGCCCGGGTGAGATTGCCTTTAATTCATTAATTTCTCGAATAAAGCAATTCACGTTATTTCTAGTTTTACTTAAAAGAAACGAAACTCATTGAAATCACTGTAGTTGCGAACATTCGTTCATATTAATTGATTTATACGACTTAATCGGGATGACGTATTTGATATCGGATATTCATGCCAGCTGTTGCCGATCAATCGATTAATTGTGGTGATTTCTATGCGGAAAACTGAAACGTTCCTAAAACTTCCGTTTCTAATTCCTTCTGTTTCTTTTCGGACTATCCAATAAAAATGTTTGCCAAATTCGATTCATGCAATTTTCTTGAAACGTCACAAAAGGTCATGAGTCAGATTACAGCAGTAAGCTTACAAAAAAGACAACCATGCCTCGCATCATTTAGCACATAAAAGGGCCACGTTTTTGGTGGCAAATCGAAAATACCTACGTGTGTGCGGTTCAGGTGAAAGCGGACGTTTTACACTTTGTTGAACGAAGACAACGAGAAGATTGAAGCGATCGTAGGTTGATGAGTCACCGCGACAAGGACTGCTGAGACCGGCTGACGATTCAAGGCGTTTTCGCTTCTTCTCAAATGCAGCTTCAGTCGCGTCCAGTGATTATTTTCGCTATTTTGTTAGGCTTTCTGGTTGACTTTGTATTATCTGCTGCCAGAATTCAGAAAGCCTCGAAGAAACAATTAGCCCACATCAAAACCTTGTTGAATGAAGATATTGAAAGGTAAACCATTTTGATATAGATTAAAGTTAAACATTGAATTTCAGAAAAAATGCTTTAATTCAGAATGACGGCATTGATTTTTTCGCTGATCTTAAACGAAACCCAAATGCCGTTCGTCATCACGTAAATTGCATAGTTCCTCAATTCTGGCAAAACCAGTTTGATTCAGGACGAATTGTCTGTGAATAACGCCGACGAATATTTTCAAGGCGACGTCGATTTATCCGAACAACAGGTCAAAATCATCGAAGATCAGTTTAAGGAGGGTAAACGTGAAAAAAGAAAGGTGTGGTGCAAATAATTTCCAATTCACAAAAGAGAAATCTGTTCAGATTGGACGGTCACCGCTTTACAAGAAATGGGATCTCTCTCGAGCGATTAGTTTTGATTTTGCCGAGAGTATACCTCCGAGTACCAGAATTAAAACTAAGTAAAATTAAATGAAACGATGGATTCCAAAGAATCTCAATTATTATTTCAGGGATGCTATGAGAATGTGGCAATGGCACACGTGCATTCGATTTGAGGAAAGTGGGCCAAATGTAGACCGCTTAGAATTCTTTGATGGTGGTGGATGTTCGTCATTCGTTGGAAGAGTTGGTGGAACGCAGGTAAATATTGTTTCAAATGACACCTTTTTTAATTAAAATTAAAAGGGCATATCTATTTCAACTCCTGGTTGTGATGTTGTCGGCATTATCAGCCACGAAATCGGGCATGCATTGGGTATTTTTCACGAGCAAGCCAGACCTGATCAGGTATCATTACAAACGAACCAGAAAATAAACATTGACATAGGAACGGCATATCGCGATTAATTACAACAATATCCCATTGTCTCGATGGAATAACTTTCAACCTGTTGATGACAATCACGCAGAAACTTTTGACCTTCCATATGACACAGGTACTCAATTTTTACCAATTACATATTTATATTTCGACATTAAGGAAGTGTAATGCATTACGGACCGTATGGTTTTGCATCAGATCCTTACACGCCAACAATTCGGACTTTGGAAAGGGTACAACAGTCAACTATCGGACAAAGAGCTGGACCATCATTCTTGGATTACCAAGCGGTTTGCTACCTACGTTTTTACTACTACTTTAAAATGTTGTTTTTCAGATCAATATGGCTTACGGATGCATTGATCGTTGCGATCCACTTCCATGTCTTCGAAATGGATACCCGCATCCAAATAATTGCTCAACTTGTGCGTGTCCTGACGGACTGGCTGGTCAGTTTTGCGAAAATGTTTATCCATCTACAGCTGGTTGCGGTGGAGTCATTTTTGTATGTTTGCTTGCTTTCTATATATTTCTTTTTACAATTATTTTAGGCTAACAAAGAAGTTAAGTATATTACTAGCCCAAATTATCCAAACGATTTTCCCTTAAATTCCCAGTGTAATTGGATTATAATAGCCCCTGCAGGTAGCCGTTTACAAAAAAATATGAATACTACATACCATCGAATTTTTAGAAGGACGAGTTTTCCTTGAATTTGAAGATGATTTCGATTTCCTTTGTGAAGATACATGTGACAAGGCATATGTAGAAATCAAATATCATAATGATAAACGATTAACGGGTGCACGGTGGGCATGATTAATAATAAAACGGAAAACAATTTCAATTTTTAGATATTGCTGCTCGCTTCTTCCTCGAAGCAGATTCATCTCTTTTAATAACGAAATGATTGTTATGATGAGGGGTTTCAAGGTCTCAAGCAAAGGATTCCGTGCCAAATTTTGGTCCAATTTGGGAGAACCTGATGGTGTTACCACCCCTCTCCCTCCGCCTGTCACCCCGGAACCAACAGATTTGGCATTTGTAACGACAGATGAGCCGTTGCCGCCAATTCCGGAAATTTTCACAACTATAACCGAAAAATCAACTACGTTGACACCTAAAACGACAGTAAAGAAGCTGAACTTGAAGCCTACCACTGTTCCTTTGAGTAAAATATTGACTACAACGCTACCACCAACAGAAATCACAACCCAAAGTAGGGCCACATTTGTAACAGGAGAAACTGAAATTACAACGACAACGACACCAATGACATTGTTTCCAATGCTTTCAACGATGTAAATTACAACAAGACGGATATTGATATGAAATTTTGTATTTCAGAATACCCCATGTCAATCCATTGGCTGGTGTGCTCCCATCGACCCAAGCTCCCGATATTATAAATAACGTTTTAGGTATATGGCAAAGTAATACATGTGTGAATATTAACACTTTACAGAATGTGGATGCGGAGCTTGGTCTGAATGGGTTGGTGATTGTTCCCAAGAATGCGGAGGCTGTGGACATCGTCGCCGTACCAGAGAATGCAAAAAGCAATCATGCAGGTATTAAAAATTAATTATAATTAATTACATAAATAAAAATTTGAAGAAAAGAGGAAAAACGACCTTGTAACTTCAACGCATGTCCAGATGGTACCAACTTTTTGATAAATAATAACGAATTTCATATATTATGGAGAGGATGCTGTGTTGGATTATTCCGGTAAACTTTTAATAAATATTGCAATTCATTAAAAATTTAGATCTGCTGACCAATGCACCGCCCTGGAAACGGAGCAAAATCCATTCTTCAAAATCATTAATAGCCTTTTGAGTATTCAAGATGCTAAGAATAATAGTACTTTAATTACTAAACGTCTAATGCGAGGTGAGCATTAATATTTAGCCGTTTAATTTATTATATGTATTTATATTCTTTGTATGTATTTTTGCACCTGCCTTCCAATAAATTTTCATATGATACGTTTATTTTATGATCGGTTGATATAGAAAGAAACGGATTTCGAAAATGCATTTGTCCATTTTATTTTCATTGGCATGAATAAAATGAATATTCGCGTGTTGTGTGTCGTGCTCGATAACAAAAGAATTGAACATTTTTGTCTTAGACCTACGCGATTTTTGCGTAGTGGCGTGTTGCGCAGTCATCCGTCCGCCCCCTGTGCGGCAGCTTGTCTCATTTGTGCCATGTTTCATCGTCATATTTTGATTTTCATATTTCTTACAATTTTTGAGTTCTTCGAAAGGTAAGATACAATTTTTGATTCGGTTTTCAGTTAAGCGTTTGTTTTTTTTTTTACAGTTTAGCTCAATTGAACCAAGTTAGCGAGGACTTCGTTATTTCAATCAAAACAACGAAGAAATTCCATCAATTGAAAGCGCAAAAGATAGCAAAATCCTGGTTTAATGATGCACCAGATAAGGTGAGAAGTCAGTGCAAAAAAAATGCATTCCGTTGCGAGATATCTGAAAATATGTCATGTTTTCATTATTGCAATTTAAAAATTTAGTTTTGCTTACTTTTAAAATTAGTTAGCATAGATAAAACAAACTATTGAAGACAAAACTGTAATATATTTTGCCTACTTATTTTACATACTATTTCAAATGCTCACACATACGTCTTTAATCTTAATTAGAACATGTGTATATTCGCCGGATATTTGGTGAGTGCGAATGCCTGGGAACTCAATGTTCCCTTTCAAATTCCTGACAGTTTCTCATTATAAATCATGGTGTGCCGAATTCACCAAGTGTTTCCATCTGTCACCAAATCTTTAGTCATGCCGCCATTATAAGAGTAATCTTTCAGATTTTCTTTATTACTGACGAATTTGATTATTCGTTGAACAAAACGGTGAATGGAAATTTGATAAACACAAAATGCCAAACGGATCATTCAAGAAAAGCACTCTGTTGCAAAATGAACGCCGAGCTCCACTTTTATTTCTCGAGGAATGCTAAGTAAGTCGTTCATTTCACCAAACATTATGGAGATTAGCTGTTCATAAAAATGATTAATATTGTGCCAGACGTTCAAAATAAATCCCGTAATTTATGACCTTGAGTACGAGATTTACATTAGGCAATCGACGATTTTTTTTATTGCATGGTTCTCGCTACGAGACACAAAGAGTAGCCGCAACTATGCGGGTGTTTATCCGATTAGCAAGATCATATCTACTGTATACGGCAATCCAATCAAACAATTGCAGGTTTTATTGTCACTTTGATGATGACAACGTTGTAAATATTGAAAGTTTGCGCCGCCATTTGTCAACTTATGATTCAAGTGATCATGTTTACATAGGAAAAGATCCAAACAATAAAAAAATGATGACGAAATTTGGGGTAATTGTTCAGAAAATTTTTTTGTATTTTTTATATTCCGTTTAGAACTCCTTCAAATTTGCAACTGGTGGAGCAGGCTTCTGCATTTCGAATGCGCTTTTAAAATCAATGCAAGAATATTTGGAACATATCGAAGATTTTGAATCACTTTGCGAGTTTCTTCAATTGCCGGACGACGTTACAATTGGATACTTATCTGGTAAATCTTCTACAATCTAAAATTATTGGATCAAAACCAATTTTCAGATGTAATATTACAAACTGAATTGACTCAAATAGACTTGTTTCATTCACATTTTGAAAATTTGCGTGGAATTTCAAAGCGCCAATTAGAAAATCAGGTAAAATAGCAATAATACTACAATCTTAAAATTGCTTTTTAGATTTCTTATGAATTTATTTGATTAAACAGCGCAACTGCGGCATTGAATTGTACATAGGATTATAGAATAACCATTTATTTATTATATCTGTACTAGTCAATTCATCAACAATAAAAAATGCATGATTTTTTGATATGAATCAAAATTCAATCTAAATAGTATTGATATCATTATTATTATGCCTTCAATCACGACAAATGCGCGTCTTTGGCCATTGAATAGAAGATTCCATTTGGATTTGCGAGAAGATTCTTTGGTGTATCAAATTCGGCGACAGTTCCCTTGTCTAATACTAAGAGTCGATCACTATCCATCACCTAAAAAAATTGATATGTTGGTTATAAACTCTGGTATGTGTTACAGTGTTCAATCTATGAGCAATCGTGAGAACAGTGCAATCCTTGAACTGTTCTCGAATTGTCTTCTGAATCAAACTGTCGGTTTCCACGTCAACTGCTGCAGCAGCTTCATCCAGAATCAATACTTTTGTTTTCCGTAAAAGAGCGCGTGCAAGACAAATAAGCTGTCTCTGACCAACACTAAAACGAAATTCCGATAGAATTCTTTGAAACAAACAGTTTTTACCTAAGATTTTCTCCGCCTTCAGAGATTGCATGCATCAGTCCATCGTTTAATTGTCGAACAAATGATTCCAAATGGGCGTTGCGCAAAGCTTCCCAAATTTGATCGTCGTCTAAATGAAATTATAGCTGTTCTATCCGAAAATGTTCTTACTAAATGAGAAGAATGGATCAAGATTCATTCGCAGAGATCCTGAGAACAAGACAGGATCTTGTGGAACAATGGTGAGCCTAGAGCGTAATTGCTGAATATCGAAAAAATTGTTTTAAGCGTTTTGAAAAGCTTTCCTACTTCTAATTGCAAGTTTGCAATATTGGTTCCATCAATTTCAATGCAGCCGCCATCTGCTTCAATAATTCGGAAAAGAGCCAATGTCAAAGAACTCTTTCCAGCTCCTGTTCTACCAACGATTCCCACTTTTTCCGCAGATTCAATGTGAGCCGTAACATTATGAAGTACAAGGTCCAATCCGGGTCGATAACGAACACTGTAGTTTTTAATCGATATTTCTCCATTCCTTGGCCAGTCTTTGGCGGCTAATGCATTCGAGTTGTGACCTTCCGTAGGAGTTATTGTATATTCGTTGATTCTTTCCACAGCAACAATGTTAGTTTCAAGTTCGCTAGCCATTCGCACTGCCCAATTCAATGTTTGAGTAATCTGAAACAATTTTTCGAATTATCAATTTGTGCCTAACTAAATAATTACGTTTAACGCATATGATACTGATAGACCAACAAGACCAGCAGAAAGACCTGGCGAATCTCGGAATAGAACGGCAAACAAAGCTGCAGAAAGTACAATCATAGTTCCGACAAACTCGAGGCGAACAGCAAGCCATCTGAATTTCGGAAACAATTTATTTTGCAAAGAATAAGAAAATTTCTTACCGATTTGAGACTACTGTGGGATAATAGGTTGCAAGATTCTCGTCAACACGGTGTTGAGATTCTTTTACGAATCTATCGACGACTCCATACGCTCGAATTGAAGATGCTCCTTGAATTGATTCCTAAGCATAACTTTTATGAAAAACAAAAATTACATTTTATTCTGAATATGCATCTAAACCTGTTTGACTAGGTTCATCGAATCATTCTATTTGAATAAAAAACAAAATGCCTTACCGCTTGAATGGATTCACCTCGAGAAATAAAAAAAAACAGTGACAAACCTGGAAATGAGAATAAATTGGCGATCTTGAAGCTGATTCCAGACGTTTTAATTGTCTTGAAGTGCTCACGTAGAATCTCTGAAAACATAAATTAAAATTTTCAACCAATCATCAATTTTAACATGTTAAGGGTGATGGAGTACAAATAAAAACAACACATGCACAAAAGCCAACCGAATATTCGAAAACAAAGTATACATTTAAAATTGAAACAGTGATTTGATTTAGTTAAAAAGTAAATCAAAACCAACCAGAATAATGTAATACACAACAAATAGCGGGACAAGAGTAACAATCGACATCGGTGTTGCCCAAAGAATCAAAAGCACGCTTTCTACGGTCATCACAATGGTCCGCACAAACATCAGTAATGACCGTGGAATGCTGGCATCGAGATCATCCATATCCTGCGTAAGAAACCTCTATTCGTTTTGAATTTGACGCGTTTCTTTCGTACAAAGCACAATCACTAATAGACAAAATACACGTTGGACCATTTTAACAAAGCTTGCGTGAATTGACATGCATTACTACAGATATGCAAAATGACCAGTATGAAGTAGTAGCCAATGAGCACTGGCGTAACCATAAGCCCGGATGCGGGGACAGTGTAAATCATGACGGAGATGATTGTGATGCCTTGCACAATTGCACCAACTTCGGTCATGATTGTTGACGGCAATCGTGTGTCGACCACATCAATTTCCTGTTAGAAAATCATTCAGAAATACATAGAAATCACAAAATTCCATGTATTTATATATATATATATACACAGCACTCACTCGCATTCAAGAATCAAATTCAGAAAATGAAAAGGAAGGTGGATCGTTGGGGTGATAGTAAAAATGTGTGTTGCGAAATAATGTGAGAGTGAGAGGTTTTTCTGATTTCGTACCAATACTATGATGTAGACGACGCATAGAATAACGAACATGATGCTGATTAGCGGTGTCGCATAGGTAATCACAAATAGTGTTGAGATCACGTTGAAAAGAGTCATCACCATCGAGCGAATCGAGTGCGGTAGGGTTTGGTCGATAGCTTCAACATCCTGCACAAAAAATTAACACGGAAATGAAAGACGGCAACACAATAATTTTCCAATCCTTAGTCGCTTGTTAATAAGCCGAATCGTTCTCCTAGGGTTACATGCAAACAAGGACTTTCAGAACAAAATTAGTGTTAACTGAAAAAAAGTTTTTAAAAAGTTGCTACGCTATTGCTAAATGCGTACACACTGGGGAAAAAAGGGTTTGGATATTTTGATAATTAATAGAAATTAAATATTCAAACATGTTCCTAAATTGACATAATGAATAAGTAATTTCAATTAATTATTTTGGGAAATTCAATCACCAGAATAAGTGTACAGCATGTGAAGGCGATTCCAATAAGGATAATGGCTGCCGGTGTAACATAGATGGTTAAAACAATTGAGGAAATTGCCTCGAGTGCCGTTAACATAAAATCATCAAAGTTCTCGGGGAGCATTGTATCGATGATATCCATGTCCTGTTTTCAATAAATTGCTTTCAATTAGTTGTGTGGCGTTTGTTGTTATAAAACACAGGGAAGCTGTTACAATGGTCATTTTAACGTGTTTTAGGTCCTTGATCAGTCTCTTACACCTAATGAAGTCTCAAATCTCTCTCATTTATTTCAAAATTCTAGAAATTTCTGAAAAGAATGAAATTTTCAACACGACTTGTGCTGAAAATAATCACTCTTCATACCTTTCCAAAACGATTGAGAATTCGTCCTAACGGCGTAACATCGAAGAACGCCATTGGGGATCGCATGATATTTGATAGGAGTTTACAGTGAAGAAGTCTACTAGCTCGAACCATTCCAAGAGCCATAATGATGGAAGCGGAGCAAACAGAAACAGCTATACAAGCATATTAAAATTACATTACAGGAAAATACTGTTACCTTGGCCCATTCCGAGAAGTGCATAAACACCAAGACGAAGTTGAGTTTCTGTACTGCTGCCATTTCCGCTTTTTGAGATTGCCTTTGCGTCATCAGACCATTTGGCCAGATATAAATTACTGAATACTCCCAGGAAACTACTTGCGATGTATACAAAAATGAAGAGAAGGGCAACAAAAATTCCGATCGACTTGAAGTATGCCATGTAAACAGCTAACTTCACATTTCCAGTTTCAACAGTTTCTTTTTCAATGAGCTTGTTCTTATTGACAGCTGATTGTGGTGGTGACAAAACTGGTTTCTTTTCCACCTGATCTCCAAGCAATGCTTGTTTTTCCTCATTTTTACCGATTGGACTGATGTGATTTTCATGGTGGTTTGCTGTGTGGCCATTTGAGACGATTTCAAGCTGAATTGATTTTTAAGACATTCAGCGATTATAGTTTTAATTTACCTTATCGTCTTCCTTTTCGATGTCATGACTCATCTGTTTTTCAATTCTTTGTCGAACCGAAGGGCTTACTTGATCCAAATCTTTCAAAATTTCATCGACTTCTTTTGCTGAAATTCATGAGCATAATTGTGAGTTTTCGTGAAAACTCTTACCATCTTCGCCGAAACTGACACTTCTGCCACGATGTTTTGATTCCTCTAATAGGAATTCTTCCAAAAACTCCGAAAATGCTCCATTGCTGCTCATTAGTTCTTGATAAGTTCCCATTTCGCTGATAGATCCTTCTTTGACAACAATGACTTGGTCACAATGTTTCAAATAAGTGAGCCCATGAGTGACAAGAATTCTGGTTTTAGTTGCCAATATTCCAGTAGCAGAAGCTGAATGACTTATTATGAGTATTGTAATTATTTGTTTCGTGCTCTTACACAATACATTCTCGAAAATATGTTTTCCAACGTGAGCATCAACGGCAGAAAGAGGATCATCCAGAAGAACAATTTCAGAATTAGCATAAACCGCTCGAGCTAGAGACACTCTTTGTTTTTGGCCTCCGGATAAATTAATTCCCTATAAATCATTCACTTTATATTTGAAATTGTGACAAGATTGCCTACTTTTTCACCAATTTCGGTTAAATCTTCTGCTGGAAGACTTGCGAGATCTTGCGATAGAGCGCAAGCGCTCACAACTTTATCGTAAAATAGCTTGTCAAACGATTTGCTAAACAAAATATTATTGCGAAGAGTCATGTTTTGAATCCAGGCTTGTTGAGGAACATAAGCGACAGACCCTCCAATCTGTACACTTCCTTCAAGTTTTCTCATTTCTCCTGAAATAACGCTGAAATCAATATTAGAATTGATTTGTTACCAAGAAGGGCATGGAGAAGACTGGATTTTCCTGATCCAACACGTCCGACGATTGCGACAAGCTGTCCTCGTTTGATATCCAAATTTATATTTTTCAAAGCCTTTTCCTCGTCATTATTTCCCCAACTGAATGTACCATTTGTAATTTTTACAGCAGAATCTGAAATGAATAATTCAAAGGCAACGATTTTCTTTTTTTTTTTTTCAAACAGCCTACCACTTCCACCATAAGCAATAGTGTTTTGGGGATTCATTTCCTCAGATGCAAAAAACTCTTTGATTCTAGTATTGCTAGCTGAGCATTGAATTGCTTGACTGACAACCAAAGAGAATATTCCGAGTGGGAATCTCAAAATGTTGAAAAGCGCGAGAGCAACGAAAGTGACTTGCGGTGTCAAAACATTGTTCTCCGGATCCCATAACACATAAAGACCGAATGTCAAAACGGCAACCTAATTATTTTAATTATTTGTTTTAAATTTAGAAATGAAATTGAATTACCAAAAATGGTGCGCAAGCCCATGAAAGTGTTGTGGCGGCGTTCAAATAAGCCAACTTCTTCAACACTTTAATTTCCTTCTCTCGAATATCAAGAACCTTGAAAATAGATAAAAATTGAAATTATTTGATTTATTGATTATTCTTACAATTTTCTCCATACTCTTTTCCCATGCATACAGCTTTAAAACTTTCATTCCATTTAAAATTTCCGACATCATCTTGATTCTCTCATCTTTGTATTTCATTTGTTCCATCTGAAAAATGCAGAGAAATTTTCTTACTGCCGTCGTAAAATCAATTTTACCTGGCAATTTCGCATCTGCACAGAAATCCATGAATTGAAAGGCACCATTAAAAGAAGAATGACAAATCCAGCAAGAACTGATACCCCAAGTAATTTCCACAAAAAGTACAGAGATAGAAGAACCTTCAAATTTAAAATCATATTATTCATTTTCAAAAACGATTTTTACTAACCTGCAATGGTGCCGACCAAAGAAGCATAACAAAAGTTGTCATGTCTTGGATTCGTTGAATATCAACAGACATCAAATTCACAATTGATCCTGTTGATTTTCCTTTTTTAGCATCATTTGAAAGGTTTAATGTCTTTGAATAAACCGCGCTAGTAAGAACCGATCTAATATTCATTCCGAGTCGGAACATTTCGTGGAAATATTGATGTAGAAACATGGTTTGTACTATGGAAGATATGAACATTGTGGCTGCAATCGCGATTCCGACCCACATCGGTTGGTTACGATCCTAAATAAAATAATGTGTTTTCGATATTTTTATTTCTAAAATTCATTTTGAACGCAAAGTTTTAATCATTAGTCATTATTACATTTACGTCATCGTTTTGTTTTTTTTTTACAAACTTTTGTCGTATTATGTTTAATCACCTGAATAAAGCTGATTAGCTGTCTCAACAACTCTGGTGCAATGAACTGCATCAAATCAAATATCAGCTTATAAGCAGCTCCGGCAAAAAACGTGTACTTGTATGTTTTAAAGATTGGCAACAAAATTGATGGATAATTTTTTGGAATTGCGTGTTCACGATTTTGCCGTATTTTACGCATATATCCTAAAATGTTGTTATTATTTGTTCAAAAACAATTTCATTTTTGTACCATCAACTTCCGGTTTGAGATTAGCCATAAACGAAGGAATTAAATTGCGAGCTTTATCTCTTTCATTCAAATCCCATAAATCCTCGCGCTCCAAAGGTTTTCTATTTCCGAGAATTGCCAATCCGGTGAACCAATTGAATGTGAGTTGATTGAGAAATGACGAGTTCAATTCTGGACATGAGTTTTTCTGCAAGCTTGTTAATTGGTTCGCTTGACATGAATGTATGTGTAAAACCCCAATATAACCAGCAGATGGGGTGTCAACGAACGATGAAAAGAATAGTTGAAGACACGCAAGAATCCATGAGAACATAAACAAATGAGACTGGAGGGTGTTTTTCTCTGGAACTTCCTAAAAAAATGATAATGGAAAAAAGCAAGAAATTATTAACTGAACCTGGGCAAGGTCGGAAACCACATATCGGAATTCAGGTGCTCCACACAACACCACCAGCAACCAATATAAGTATAAAACGCCTGATGTTACTATTCCTCTATTACGACATGCAATTGTGAGGGTTAAAGCAAGACAGTATCCTGAAAAGTTTTCAAATATGTCAAGTAGACCGAAACAATTTATTTTTATTTGAAGATTAATTTTCTAACGTTGCTGATTTAAAAAAATGCATAATCAGAGAGTATTACTGGGCATTTAATTAATTATGCCAAATTAATTAACTGATTTGATTGAAGATTTTAAATTCTTTCACTAATTATTTCGTTAAAACTAACCGATATATTGAAAGAAGTCTCCAAATAAAACGACATTACTGTAATCTGGTGAATCAGTATAGTATAAATAAAAACTATAGCCAAGGCAAATGCTGAGATCGACAACAAGAAGACAACAAAATATCTGAAAATTAGACATTGTTTGCAAAAAATAGTTTTTTTACTCACAATCCGTAATGAAATAGGCGAGCAACTACGAAGGTGTGATTGTCGGCTATGATGAAGCTCGTATAGAATTTTTGGTGAAAAACATATTAAGAAAATTGCGGGAATAATCGAAAAGTCGATGTGTTGAGCGCATTCGGTCGCCTAAAATCTTATCTATTTGAAAAAAAAACAATTGATAAAAAAACTCACATGGGGCAGCTCGGTTCGATTTCTCCAGTTTTCTTCGAGGATCTACAAATAAAGAAAATATATAATTGCAATTCGATTAAAAAAAATGTATACTTACACTAGTGGTATTTTCACAAAACAGTTCTCGTATTTGTGGAAAGATCATTGTTTCATTCGAATTTGATTATAACGATTGAGCGGTTTTGAACATTGATCCTCTGGATACCCTAAATAAAATAAAAAATTCACATAGGCTCGAGAAATGATGACAAATGCGCGTGGAAATATGGAAAAGGAAGGTAAGCTAGACATTGGGAAACTACGTTGGCATTCTATTCGCAAACATAAAACATTGAACAAACATATATCAACTAACCAAATGAATTCTATAAGAAACTATAAACATTAAATCAAAATTTTATCGAACACGTTAGGGTTGTCAGAATAATTTATAAGTAATGCAAGATATTCTCAAAACTTTCCTTCTTCAGGTAACGGATATTTGGCCGCAGTAATCTACACATTCTAATGTGTAATATAAAGCACCAAACAACACGAAGCATTTTCGTTAAGAATGCGTTTGAGCGAGATATTAAATATTCTTCTAAACTGCCAGAAAAAACACAATTTTTGATTTTTTTTTAATGCGTAACCATGGGAAAGATTAGAAGATTAGCCTTTTTATTAGAGCCCTTATAAGAAAACAATTAAAGAAAAAGAATGGAACAGATGTGTTTCAACAATTGTGCAGCTTTCAATTCTCGAGATTTCACAAATACACCTATGCCGACAATAGCTTTTGTTTGCTAAGTCTTGGGAGTTGCGTTACTGCTACAGCCAATATCCGGCCAAAAGGGAAGTTGTGTCGGCTGTTTGCACGTTCGCAACAAATTTAGGCAAAAATTGATCACCATAATATTTTCTTTGAAAATATTCCAAATGAATTTCAGTGAAGTGACATCATCAGTTTTGGAATAAATCAGAGAATTCGCTATTGACAAAAAGTGCAGTCGGCTTATATTTGTTCAAGGAAGATGAGAAAAAAAATGGAAACGAGCAGAAAATTTTATGTTCAATTCCGAAGAAAAACTAAGCAGGATGGATAGTAATACAGATTTTAAAAAATCCAGATATTTGGTTGTATCAATTTAATTCGAATAAGAACAAAAGCCTCGTTTAACGCCTAAATATATTTAGAATATCCAACGCTCTCGCTTTTTTTCCACTTCTCGCTATTTTTTTTTTGGGTTAGCACTCTCAAATGTACCTTCATAAACATTTCGCAATGGTCGGCAAGACCCCCGACGTGTGCTTGGCATTATTTTGTTCGGAAAATTTTTGCGCTATGATGACGATGACAGTGGGCGACGATGATAAATAAACCTCTGATAAACAATGTTTAATTTTGGCAAAGCTATTTTGAGCACAAGCCAAAGCAGCAAACTTATAAACATAGTTGAAGAATATGCGGAGAATAGTTAAACATTTACTATATCGTTGATGCGTTTGAAAACTAAAAACCAACATGATGAGAAGAGCAGGTGACATATGACATACATTCAATCCTTTGGTTATCGAGAGCAATGTTTTTTTCTCAATTTTACATTCATCCGATAATGAAAATCTCGGTTAAAATGTTTTTTGCATATTGTTTAAACGGGTGATATGAGAAACGCAGAGATGAATACGTGCTGGTTTTCGAAAGAGTGCGCAGGCTCTCCGCCAACAACAGATGACCTCACGGAACACTTGATGAGGAAATCGGGCGCCAGATGTTACTGAATTTGACACAGTATATACTCGTTTCGCATATGTAGTGTGCAGGTTTTGATTTTGAAACGTAATTTTGTTAATGTTAATATAAAATAAAGGTTTTAGTCCAAAATTGGGACTAATAAAAGAACATTTAGACTGACATTTTTCCACTAATTTGGCACAGAAATTAACATTTATTTTTTTTTAGCGAAATTTAATAAAAAATTTTGAAACAATTGCGTTCAAAATAATAAAATATTGTAGAAAATGAGACATCGAAAATGATTGAAAAAGGTAAAATACATATTAATTTACGGACAGGTGTTTCCGAAAAAAAACATCAATATGCGAAAAGTTTGTTTCGTTCGCCGCTCGCAATTTGTTTAACCGAAAAAATATCAATACCAAGAGCATGTTTAATGTTGGAGATATGAATAAGAAATTTTTTAGAATTTGCAGTGTCATCAAAATTTCCAAATAACTAGTAATAAGGAGGGCAATTTATGAAAGTTGGAGTGAAAATTAATAATGAAAAAAAATTTTCGAGAGCTTTTGTGATCCACTGACGATCGAAAATTAAACAAACTGCGCTGAAATAGCCCTCTTATCATCTTTATTTTGGACTGAACAATCGTTAACAAAAATAAATCGCTGCAAATTAGAAGAAACTACATTTGGAAGTTGATTGATCTTCTGCAAAATTTGAGGTTTTCCCACTCATTCGTTATCAATTTACTTGTCTCCAACAGACAAATTGCGCCAATACATTTGTAGGAAAGTGTGTGTCGTCTAATCTTGTCTCAATATGAGAAAACAGAACAAAAAGTGATAATGAATGGCTTTAGCTATGCAACGTTTGAGCTCCGCGCGCATCACTCAAATTCAATTTGTTTGTCTCTGAGAAAAGATTTCACGGAGGGCAAAATTTAGCAGTATGATGGGAAAGCATTGAAGTGTGCGAGAGATAGCCGTGGCGAGAACCCCCCGACCGAACTAATAGATTCGTATGCAAATTTCACTAGCCTGTTTTGTTCATCTCTTAATTGCGATAAACAGGTTTTGTACAGAGAAATGAAATAGCTCTATGAACTTTTAAATTCGTCCAAAACACTTATACAGAGTTCAAATGATCTTCAAGCTTTACGCTATTTCCAATTATTTAATTATAACAGCAAATAATTAAAAAAATTAAATTGAACACAATAACAATATGTGATGAGAATAATTAAAATAATACAAAGCGAAAAAATATTGATTCGTCTCATACCAACAATTTTTTTTTTAAGTAAATATATATAGTTTGAAAAGTACATATATTGATTTAAACTGAATTATATTAATAATATATAGTTATAAATATATCAAACACGCAATATGCAATAACAACGCGGAATAGACTTAATACCCAAACCCAAGCAAATTTGCATAATTTTTTACGTTAACAATATACGAATTTGCAAAAAAAAAATCAAAAACTGTTGAAGGTGGAAAATAATGTCATTCGGGAATTTGAACGACAGAACATCTAACTAAATTCATTGTATTTCATGGCCAAATGATTGATACAAAGATAACCTTGGAAAGATGAAGTGAATTCCTTTCAAGGGTGTGAGGGTGACCGACAAATACGTTCGCTCAATTATTGAAAATATCGGTACGATATTAAATATGAATTTGAAATGATTGCATTTAACTATCGTCATTGTTTCTTTTTAGGCTTATTCTTATCAAAATTTCATTTGTGAACTCACAAACCGCCAATAGATAAAATAAAGTTTTAACGATTCTTCAAATTTTTCGAATTGTTGTCTATTACAATTTTCCGAGGTCACTTGAATGGTAATTATAGTCAGATTCTCGCGATTAATGTATTAATTTGTTGTGGTCGCGTGAACTTTTAATTATTTAGTCATGAGTGCAATTTTTGCTTATAGATATTACTGAAACTCGAAAATTTCAACTGAAATAACTAGTGATTTTGTGCAAGACTATTGGAAAGTATCATATTCGAAAAACTAGGAATGGCGGATGTCGGCTATAATAGCACGCATCTCATACGTCAATTGTGTAAATACTGTGAGAAATATCTCTCTTAATGCCACTTAAAATGATCCATTTAATACAAAAAAAAAACATGATAACAATGTTGAAGCCCTTTAATCAGATTAATAGAATAGTTTCGTTTTCAATGAAATACATTCATCCAAATTAATTTCAGTTTTAGCTCTTTCATTAAAAAATTTTTTGAATGACATATAATTTTCGGTTCGCATTGTTGATTTTGATAAGTGAATACCAAAAGTATGATTCTTGTTGTAAGAAACACTTTTTTTATTCTTGTTTTTCTTTCTTAAGTATTATTTTTTACGGCTGATTGAAAAAGGCCACAATACAGTCAAAAATAAAAGCAAGTTAATTTAACAAATTGTATTTTTTTTTAAAGAAAAATGTGATTTTTCAACAATTTCTTTTGAAATTTCAATATTAATTCGTTCAGTTGACGCAATATTATTCTATTTCAATTTTAAAAAATTTTAATTTTTTTCTGACAAATTTGCTTGAAAATAAATTTCTATTCCAAAAAATGTATACCCCAAGGCAAGATTATGAGAAAAATTAATTTTGAAATATTTATTCGACCGCATTTATAATCTTGTTGCCATAAGCAAATGCAAAATATGTTTTGCATCCTTATTTTAGTGGGACATACGCGTCAATTTTTTTCGAAAATTGTCCGCAGGCGGATATATATATATAGTCGGAGTCCGGCGACTGCTGTACGCTGGTAGATTTACGCACATGCGCTTTTAAAAGGTTTTGTCACATGTGAACGCTTATTTTGCTGTTTTAACGTGAACGATTTACTTTTTTTTATGACTTTCGCATTTCTTTAAATTTCTAACGTCGTTCGATTTATAAATTATCAAACTGACCCATAAAATGCGAAATCATTTGAAGCTCGCATATGTATGACAACAATGATGCAATATTAAAAACAGAATTAACGAAGAAGAAAAGGAAAGGAATAATTCAATATGTAATTGAATGCCCAAAAATTGATAAATGACAAACGATAATTAGAAGGAATAGTGTAGAGGATCGACAAATATCTGTGTTTTCAGTGACAATTAATTGATTATTGACTATTGAGAAATTTGTTTAACATTTTTACATTGTGAATGCTTAAAGTCTTGACGAATTACGATAATGACGAAACTCGGGTTCCTTTTGACCACGTAGGTCATCCGGAGTGATACGAATGCCTCCGATATTTTCGTTTTTGCCAAATGATCTGTAACGAAAAAAACTTATAAAGAGTAAATCACCAATTGACCTGTTAAGGTTTTGAATAGCTTTGGGTTTCGCTTTGCTCAACATCCAAGCCGATCCGATGAGAACAAATTGACAAGCAGCACGAGTTATTGCAACATTCAATCGTCTCACATCATTTAGGAATCCCAGGTTTCCTGAAATTTCAGTTTTTTTTTTATCTTTTCAATTTTTTTAATTAAAAATACTAGAGATTATTGAAAAATTATTAAATATGTCAATTAATTTCCGATTGACGATTATCTCTATAATATCAAGAAAACCTTTGTTATTCATGCGAACCACCGAAAAAATAATAATCTGACGTTCCTGGCCTTGGAATCCATCGACGGTATCGACAGCAATAAATTCATAATATCTGAATTTCTTCAATTGTTCCTTAATTTTTCTTTCGATAAGGAATTTCTAAAAATTATGGGTTTTTGTGAAAATTAATTGCATTATATTGAGTCACCTGCGCGAAATAAGGAGTAATTACACCAATTTCAAAAGGGTCGATTCCCTCGTTTAAGAGAAATTTCAGGTGATCGATGACAAGATCAGCTTCTCCTACAATCAATTTAATAAGGAAAGCTGGTCACAAATCGGCACCTTCATTAATGAACGAGTCATTTTCAGACTTCTCAACCATCATTTTCTTAATTTCAGGATCATTTTCGCTATCTGTGTTACAAAAGAGAAATGGAAAAGCTCGAATTTCTCTATGACGCTGTCTAAATGAGTAAGGATAAAAAGTAAGACAGAAGATATCCTCACTTGATGGCTAAATTCTTTACTGAGTCGTCTGCAACAAGATTGCCGAAATAAAAATTATCGGAGCTCCATCGCATTATTCTTTCATTCATCCTGATTATTCCATTATCAATTTCGTTTGTGGTTTGATCACCAACCTGTATTGTCTTCTCAACATTATGAAAGCAAATTGAGATCTTTTCAATAAGAGCCTCTCCATTAACGATTCCGCCATTCCTTGTTTCTTTGCCCTAAAAAACAAATTACTGTCGTGAACTTGATTATTCTGAATACGATTCAGTTCTGACGAAAGCCGGCAATTGTTGAGGGTCCCCGACAAGAACCACGCGTTGATTGCCACGTACGATGTTCCAGAACTGCGCTTCAGGAACTTGTGCAGCTTCATCTGAATTGATTGGTTATCACGAGGTATTTAGTGCTAATGATCTGACCAACCTACAAGTATGACATGTGCCACAAACTCAGCAGCTTCACTCATTTGCACAATTGAGTTGTTCACTGTCGAAATGACGATTTTAGATTTGGTCAATATGTCGGTTTTAATTTTTTTCTCGTAGTCCATTATGCGATCTTGAAGATGTCGGTACGTACTATCTGTTATGTCATAATTGTCTTGTTTAGATCTCTGCAATATTTTTGAATATTTATTCACTTTAAGTAACAAATACCCACCAGATTCAGAATATCATCATAAAATTCATGATCTCTGACCATGTCTTCAAGCTTCGCCGGAGAAACAACATCTGGAATTGCTTTCAGATATAAATGAAGTTGAAGCAAACATACAGCCATCCGCGAGATTGAATCGGTTGTCTTTGTCTATTAATTCCACCAAGCGAGACATGGATGCTTTTGAAGGTGTAAGAATTAAGATTTTCAGATTTGCCAAAACACATTCGCAAGCAATTTCAACAATAGTAATGGATTTCCCTGTTCCAGGAGGTCCCTGTAATATAGTTATATTTAGACGAGCCAGTTTTGCGAAACCCAAAACAGATAAGATTATAATAATTACAGATTGCAATTTTTAAAATAATTTATTTTAAAAAAATGGTTTCTTAAAAGTTTCAAATTTTACTTTTTTACAAAATAAGAACTATGGTCTTCAAATTCACTTTGAATTTTAATATTTTAAAAAATAAACAGGAATACCTGAATAATCACGATTTCGTAGTTTCCGTTGCAACTTAGTTCAAAAGCTTTTCATTGATCAGAATTTAGAGCAATCGAGTGTGGTAATTCATCAACATGATATCGCATCATTCCTCGATGCTCGATGCCTTCACGAAGAACATTTGGCGGCGCACTGGATTGTTTCTCATTTTTGCAATACCGTTTGTCGCAAGTTCTCAAAAAGAGGTTGTTTTCCTTATACTTTTTAGAACTCCAAAATTTCAACGTCTTTTCTATAACTATAGGTTCAAATCTGTAGTTTTGTCCCACAATAAGTTGGCATGCTTTGTGGGCGTTATCAAGTATTATCGAGAACTGAAAATCCATTAATTATGCGTTTTAACACATGTCCTACATCGTAGCTCGATTTGACAACACCCTTCGGAGTGGAAGCATTTCGTGGCCCATTAGCGTTGACTATATAAAGCAAGCAACCTTAAAATTATCATTCCCATTTTTGGGATATAGCTTTTTTTAAGCAATGTACCTTCTTTAATAGTTTTGGCGGCCCTTTCATCCAGTCTATTCAGAGGTGCAAAGTGCGGGACTCGGCCATAAATAGGATCATCATTATTAATGTAGACGAGCTTGCATAGCCCGATAGCGTTCCAACAGCTCTTCTGATATTCATACTCTTGGTTTCTCTCATTCACCAATGTGTAATGAAGCGAATCGAACTGTTTTATCAAGTTTTCATCCAGCTCTACGACGATATTAGTCACGATCCACTCAAAATGTTCGTCTGGAGCATATTTTATGGATATCTTTTGGCATCTTAAAGAATCATTATCACTTAAAACAGATTTGATAACCTCTCGTTTGGTTCCAATTTAAATTTATTCAATTTGGCGCGTCCAAATATAGGATGGTTGAAAAACATTTTGCATCGACTGATTTCCTCCGGCTTTACAATATGATCTGTTATCGTAATCTGAATAATTTGTTAAAATTGAAATCCTGTCCAATTGAAGTACCTCGAGAGGGTCTCGCCGATCAATATTATGACTCTTTTCGGGAGCCGAATATATTACATTCTGGGGACCAATTTCAACCAAATCTCCAACGATAATTACACTGCGATGATGTTGGTGTGGAGTTCGAATAATCTCATCACCGCATAAAACAGTAAACACCTTTTTCGACGAAACTGCGGTCACGATACCAAGTTTCATCTGAAAGAAAATATTATTTTGAAAGTAAAAAAAACAACGCAACTTTTGAAGCAACTCAATGCTATGAAAAAAATAGAATTCTAAATTTTTAATCCATTCATTTTTTCGAATATTTTTTTCAAAAAATTGAACTTTTATCTGAAAATCTTTTTGCAGCACAAATAAAAAAATTCGAGAACAGAATTCAAACAAATTCGTTGAAAATAAAGAAGACGAAACAAGGAAATTTTTATGCCGTTCCTTCCGGAAAAAAAAAACAGAGCGTACTAACAAAAACAGTGACTGATCGTAAAGACGCAGACGCAAAAGTCATTTTGAATTTCTGGAGATGGCGCGAAAGCCTATATAATGAGCCAACGAATTGATTGCATCCTGGCTCAAATTTCTTTTACTTCTCGTTCGGAGTTTTCGCATTAATTGAATTATTGCTTTGCAGACCATATTTTTTAAATCGCAAAGTCAGTAAAAATAGTAAAGCGAATATAAAAAATAAATATATAATAAAAGATAATCGTAACTGATAAAAAAAATAGAAAACTTAAGTGTAATTTTTTACACGGAAACAAAAACGTGCTGCCTGAAATGCCACATGCACAGTTTGAAGTCTGAATTAATTTATGTATGTAATAATATGCAATTATCTCCTAATTTAGATTTGAGTCAATCGGTATTGTATTGTACTGTTGGAAGTTTCTAGTTGAACAAAAAATGGAGGAACTTTTATAGGAAAGGACTACGATTTTTAAAAAATATTTTATAGTTTAACACAAAAGAGAATATCACTTTAATACATGTGACTCGAAAAAATGCATCTGACTTCAGTTGATTCGTCATATGTTTATAAAAATTTTTGTTTCTTTATCCTCACTCGATAATTTCAGAAATAATCCATTTGTGATCTCACTTTTTATGGTTCAATTTTTACAAATTGTCAACCCGCATGAGATCGTTGAACTTTAACCGTATATGATCAGAAATGAAACCAATTACTGTATAGACATATAGTTTTTGTACATACTTTGAGGCAAGTCAACAATAATGTTACAATTTCACTTTTCTCAAGATGACATTTCAAGTAGCTCATAATGCTAAAAAATTAGAGGCGGACGATCGAAAAAGATGGTGAACAATAAACTCGTGTCAACTGTCACCCAAACCTTCACTTTCCCTACAAATAGGATGCGAGTCCAGCGAATCAAGACGGCATTATTAAACAATTATTTGGGTATTCAATTGGCTTGCTTTCATTTGCTTCTGTCGATCGCTGTCATGATTCTCTCCGTTTGTATTCAATCCTCAAACAATATATTTTCTGTTTAGTTCCACGTAAAAACTGCGATTGTTTTTTTTAAATGAAATAATACAATGTCTGCTCAACATTTTGATTCTATTATATCTTCATTGTTTCTTTTTTCATTCTAGATGTCAAAGAAGAAAACCACGGAGGATGACGATGTAATACAAACTGTTTCAAGAATCGCCTCTCTTGTTTCTATATCGTTGATACTGAGTTGCACATTTCTGTATGGATTCGTTGCTGTCAAATTTGAACAGTCTTCTCAAAATATTGCTGCTCATGCGAAAGGATATGAGGTCTCGGAATGTTCCCCAATTATTATTTTGAGTGCCTATATTCAGGTTTTAAAACATGAAGCGGATGAAGAACTTTATTCTGTTGAAGGCATACATATGCGACACGAACGTCAAGCTTGGCGACGGGCGAACAAGTGGAGAAGTAGTATAAATGGAAGAAGAAGGCAAAATTCCGTTGAGCCTAGGGTCTGCGGTATATAATATAATAAGAGTTGAGCAATAATGTCTATTTAACTTCAGATTGCTCTGTAATTGAATGTCCAAGAGGCCCCCGAGGTCCACCTGGTGAAGAAGGTGCATGGCCAATTGATGGTATTCCGGGAAACCCCGGAAAAGATGGTCTTGACGGGATTTACCAAGTTGAGGAGCCTGAATGTCCGCCGTGTCCACAAGGACCGCCTGGCGAAGATGGAGTTATTGGCGAACCAGGTATTTTACAACGCAAACGTGTGAGACTAAAAAATTAAGGCGACCCTGGGAGGCCTGGTACTCCAGGTGAACCTGGAAGAGCTGGAACGAATGAGCCAGGAACAGTGGGCCCTCCAGGGCTTCGCGGTCAATCCGGACGGCCAGGTCATAAAGGAGATCCGGGTGAGCCAGGTCAAGATTTCGTACAGCTTGTCGGGTTGCCTGGCCCTAAAGGCGCACCAGGACCTGCTGGCTTACCTGGTCCTAGAGGTGACCCAGGAAATAACGGCAAACCTGCTCCACCGGGACCCGAAGGATTCCCTGGTCCGGTGGGAGAGCCAGGAGATATGGGAGAATATGGTTTAAGAGGACCACCAGGAAGAAAAGGACCACCTGGCAAAGATGGAGGATACTGTCAATGCCCACCAAGAGAAGGTAACTCGTACCAATTAGAAAAAATATAAAAAATTAAAATTTAGGTCCACCACCAAGTCAAACGATTCAAAAAACATATAGGAAGGTGAAATCATATTTTTTAATTCAGGATTATATATATATATATATATATATATATATATATATATATATATTTTAATATTTATATTCTAGTCATCAACGGCAGATACTGATTCCGATGATTATGAAACTGAATTGGTGAATAGTCGAAATAATAGGAATAATATTCCAACATGGGACAGACAATGTTTGTATCCATTTCTTTTTAAAACGCCATTTTGATATTTCAGCTCATTATCCACAACCTAAAAACATATACGTCAATCTTCGTAAAAAGGCTAATAGTGATTTAATTGATTTGGGCAGCTCCAGCATGCGGTGCGTTCACATTTCGTTGATTTTCTTTATTTGATTTCCGAAAATTACAATTTTGACCGGTTTGCCTTTTCAGGCGATCCCCGCTGACGCCACTAATTGCCTACAAAGACTCAAGCGAAACTGGCCATACTAACGTGAATGATGAATTTAATAGACAAATTCCTAATCATTTCGTTGCAGAGAGTCGTGATGCGGAATAAAAATAAGTATCGAAGTGGTAATGGTGATACGGTCGACTTTGAACTGCGATAGATGATGCTTAATAACTTCTGCATTTGATGTATACTTTAACACCCTTTGTTCTGCAATTAAACATACTTATGATGAAAATAATTTTTCTTTCTGAACGTTTAATAAAAAACATATATAAATAACAAAAAAAACCAAATTTTTTTAAAGTATACTTGTAGGGGGATACAGTGATCAAATCATTTTTTAATTCAAAAACTTTGTTAAAAAGTTCAGCGAAAATATTTATAAATACGAATTGACTTCATTTTTTTATATCTGATTTTTCAACCAAGCAACATTTGTCCAAAAACATATTTGTTCGACATGTTGTTCGGTGTGCCATGGGTATAAATCCAGTATACGGAAACAATTATGTTCTCTTCTGGCTTACACACCTGCTCAACAAGTAAAGTTAGGTTTAGAGAATCGAAGAGGCGAAGCGTGTGCACCCAACAACTCCAAATCTCAACTATGTGCCTTCAAAACACTCAACTTTATGCATTATAGATTTTTATATTCGATTTTACTTAAAAAAAAATTTAATACACGTTTTATTGCTCTTTTCCATTAGAATGCATTAGCTATTGACCCTAAACGAAAAACGATTCTTTATAAAAGCTCAGTGGAGCATTTTCGCCAAACTAAAGAATCTAGAATGGCAGCAAATGAAAATAGTACAGATGTAAGTTGTTTAATATAGATGATAGTCAATTATACTCAAAAGTATGTTCATATTCAACGTATTCTGTGAATTCAAAGTTGTTTACCATTCAAAATAAAGCAAAAATAAATCTTTGCCAATTTACCTGTCACACTTGTATTTATTTTTCTCTCGTCACAGAATAATGATTAGTCTTATCCGGTACATGCTGAATTGGAGACATTTACCGGAAATGCATACCGTGTTTCTCCACATTCTAATTGTTTCCGCACATGAATACCAATGTCTCAAACTCTTTCATTGTTCTCAGATGTCCCGTCCAAGACATGCCGATGATATTCTCAACATTAATGTTGGTGGCAAAAAGTATACTGTAAGAAGAACTGATCTTCTCGCCGATCCGCGATCAAAACTTGCCGAGTGGTTCAAGCCAGGAACTCTGAAGCCAATTGCAACTGATAAGGTAATCGCTTTTTTTCTTACTTTGGATATTCAATTGTTGTCATTTAAGGGAGGTAACTATTATTTGGACCGTGATGCGAAATGCTTCCGCCATATTCTTGCATACTTGCGTTTAAAAAAGGAAAAATTTGTGCCATCACTTGCTCTTCCCAGCAAACCCGATGATTTGGCCAAGTGACGAAAATACAAGACAATTTTCACAGAGACATTTTTCGTTACAGATTAGTGGGCGAGTGTGAAGCTCTTAACCTTGCAGAGCTTAAAGAGCTCGCACTAGACTTGCTCCAAAAGTACCAACGAACCGAGGAACAGCACTATGTTACGTCGTATGTGCAAGTCACTCTTCGCGATTTCGAAAGTTGGCAATTTGAACGCGAGCAGGTTTTCTTTCCAAACACTTTCTCAAGTGCAATTCAACAAACATTTCAGAATCAAATTGCCCTCAAGAAAAAACCAGCACCGGAGGAAGAATTTCAGCCAAATTCGGCTTATGACGAATGGGACAACCTTTAAAATCATCAATAATTTCATTCTATTAGTTCAGTCAGTCTTTATTTCATTATTTTATCTTCTTTTACTTTGAAATAATGTAACCGAAAATGGCGTAGATGACTAAATTATAACCGTAAATTTCGAAGAATTGTAAAAGATTAAAACAAAACACAAAATTTTCTACAAATTTGAAAAACTAAAACAGAAACAAAAAACAGTTGTGAAAGCCTTTGGCCCATTAATTAAATATATACAGATGGAATGAAATGCATATAAAATTTTTTAATAAATGTTATAAAATCTCTATTTGGCCTGTTTGGTGATGTCAGAAATGTAGATCCTTTCGGTTTCTTGCGGGGTACCGGGTTTGCAGACTTGGGTGAGAGAACTTGGGCTTGAGTCCTGCTCTGGTTGAAGCCACTGCTCGAGTTGCTTCTGTTTTTCAGCATCTTTGCGAATTTCGTTGTCGATATGTTCAAGCAACTGTAAGGTTCTAATTCAAATATGATATGATTATAGGTAATTTACCGATGGCGACGCCGCTTTGAGGTGATTTTTGAGAAAATGGACGCACTGCGAAAAATTTGGACGATTTTCTGGTTTCAATTCCCAGCACTTGGTCATTAATTCATAACTAAACAAAATCAAATAATTTTTTTTCGCTTTGCCCATCAACATACATTTCTTCATGAGCATATTGTGGCCTCGAGTTCCGTTTTCCAGTTTTCAAATAGTCCAATAAATCACAATTGGAGACTGCTGGATACGGATTTCCACCAAGTGTGAAAATTTCAAAAAGAACTATTCCAAATGCCCAAATATCCGACTGAAAATAATCATTCATTCTATTGAATTTTTTTCCAGTTAGTAATACCTCTTGCGTATACTTTCGCTCTTCAATTGCTTCAATCGACATCCATCGTAGAGGCAATTCAACTTCTTTATTTTTTGATACTCTAGAAAAGCGTGATAATTATGTGATAACCACAACTTGACCGATTACCTATAATAATTTTTATCTTCATGTCGTTTGGCCATTCCGAAATCTGCAACTCTGCAAACTCGATTTCTAGTCAACAAAATGTTGCGAGCAGCCAAATCGCGATGAACACACTGAAATGAAAATGTTTACTTGCAGTATATCGAACATTAAACAATACCGGAACTTGGGACAGGTATTCCATTCCATTAGCAATTTGCATGGCAAACGAAATCAGATCAGAAGTGCATAATTTCGCAGTGTTGTCAATTAGAAGACGCTCTTTTTCCCAATTTTCGTCGTTTTCAGCCTTAAAACGAAATACGAACTCTTGAAACCATTCCGTTTTACATACCGCGTATCTGGAACGTTCAGCGCTTTTGGGTTTCAGATAATCATCTTGATTTTCTATAGTCACAGATCGAAGCTCGTTGGTGAAATTGTTGCGGAATTTTGTTAAAAACTCGCGCAAGTTTCCATTCTCGCACATTTCCACAACAACGTACAATTCGCCGCTGAAATTTTTTAAATTATTTTAAATGAATTTCTCAAAAATTCGCACTTTCTCATGTTTTTCGTGACCGCTCCAACAAGCGCAATAACGTTCGGGTGTTTGCCGATGGCGCACATTATTTTCAATTCTTCAGCCAACATTCTTTGGTGATTCACGTTATAACCTCGCAGTGGTGCTAGAAACCAATTGTACATAGCTGATTCAGAGTAAACAAATTGAATTCATACCTTTGATAGCAACAGGAAGACGGATTCTCTCATCGATTTCACTGTTAACTCTCGCTTTCGAAAGCCATCCCATGTAAACAACACCAAAGTTTCCTTGCCCAAGCTGAAATGAAAACTAATTATAAGTCGACTATATTTTACCATCTAAGTAAATTTAATATTAATAATTAATTTATACCCGGTTCGGCATCTATAACACACCGTATGCATTGCAACATGCATCTTTAACTGTTTTTCAATCAATTTGATTACATTTTAACAAGAAAAAGCGGGAAAAATTGATGTACCTTGTTACCAATTTCAAGATTTTCCTTCGCCAACTCAAATTCTGTTCGATATGGCAATTGGTAAACTCGTCGATCAAGTGGCATTTTTATAAGAGCTTCTGTCTGCGGCTCGGTAGTGGCTTTCATGAACATTTCGGTGAACTCATTCAAAGCTCTGGAATATGAGGTATTAAATTAAGTATAATGTAGCTATACGAACTGTGATTGACGCGCTGTCTTTCTTCTCTCTTTGCAAAAATAGACTACCAACAATATTGTACAGCAGAAACTTAGAAGCAAAAAAATAATCAGAATGGTACTGTACAGCTCCCAATAGGAGTCAGGTGTTCCGGCGACAGTAACTTTTATCTTATGATCCGTTGACCCTGCACGATTCGTAGCTCGGCACACAAATTCTCCAGCATCTTCAGCTCGAACTCGTGTAATTTTCAAGTTGGAGTTTATCACTTCGCCTTCTGTATAGGGCTCTCCATCTTTTAGCCACTTATAGTCAGGCATCGGTCTTCCTATCAAATTGCATTGAAGTTCAGTAGATTCACCATATTTGATTGAGACGGGTTTCTCAGGATCTGACTGTGTATGATATGGAATAGAAACAGCCTCGATCTGAAAATACACGTTAAAAACTGACTTGTGAACCGAATATTTACTTGGATATTTTGAGTTAAACGTTTCTCATTTTCACCAGCAGACACAACGCAGGTATATTCGCCGCTTTGCGACGGTGATACATTGCTGAAATTTTGTCATAAATTGATTCAGCGTAATGAAAAAAATACCTTAATTTAGCTAATGCGTGTTTTGAATATGCTTCGACAAACTCATCGGTTTCAATTGGTTTATCCTTGAAATACCACATGACCGACCTAAAAATTAAAAAGAAAAGTGAAAACGCGGATATTGAATTCTAGTACCAATTCTCATCGTAAGGTACCATACAGTCTAATGCAATTTCGTCGCCTTCGTAGATTTCTTTTGGATCTTCAGCTTGAGTAGCAGCCTCATTTTTTACAATTTTCCTAGTAACAGTTGGCTCTTTTTCGGCGATTTGGATTCTCTTTGTAACAATTTTCTTCTGTACAATAGGAATTCTCATTAAAAAAAAGAACCAATTATTGAAACGAAAACCTTAGAACCACGAAAAGCTTGACATTGCACCTCAATATCATCCTTAATGGTCGTTTTCCAAATGTATCCATTTTCAAAAGTTCCACTAACAGCTTGGAGTTCAGATTCGTCAATTGGATCAAAAGAAGATCTCTCGCGAATTCTGAATTTGGATGATATTCAATTATTATCAGAGTTTTATTAAAACAAAATCCTACTTTCTCTTGACAAATTTCACAGTTGCCGGTGGAATTGATTCCGAAATGCAATCAATATGCAATTCGGTATTTGGCGGATAAAACGGCTGATCAAAAACGACAAATGAAGACGGTTCACGAATTGAAATTTTGGCTTTGACATCCTTACTATCAACTGCAACTTGCCATTCCAGGTTTTGGACTGTGCCACTATGAACAATGGAAAGAATATAGCTAAAAAAAAAGTTAACGTTTCGATATTTTTACGATTTCTTACGTTCCACTGGAATTGGCAAATGTGTTGGAATCCTTAAAAGAAAGACTTTCGAAAAACTGGAAATTCTTTTCCTCGTTCAAGATTGAACGGTTTGCATCGTTTATAATTGGTTCGCTTTGGTTTCCTTCCTTGATCGGTGTAGTATATTTCTAAAAAATTCAAAATTTGAAAAGAAGCTACCAAAAAATCATACTCTAATCCATTTAGCTTTGTATTCGTCATTTTCAGGCGGATATACAGCGACTCGAGCGCTGAGTTCAATTGGTTCACCTTCTTTAACCCTTACCACATCCGGACTCTTTTCAAGAACCTTAATAATATAATTAATATTGTTAGGAAATTAATAATTCCTACTCTAATTTGGCCTTTTTTTGGCGCAACCTCTATTGTTTTTGTAATGACGACATCTTCAGTACGATCTTCTTTTTTCCATACGCACGTGTATTCACCAGAATCATCCGCAAGTAATGAGTCAATTTTAACAAATGCATTTATGCTATTCCCTTTCAGCCGACCCCTATGCGAAGTCACTCTGTTCTGAATGTTTGAAATTATAAATTGTAATATACTTATAAATATGTCATTCTAACCTTTTCATCATCCGAGCACGCTGGACATGACACATGAAGACTATTCATAAAATGGTGGAAAGGCCCGGTACCATTGTACATTAGGTGACACGTCAATGTATAATTAACGCCAACGTACGGCCATTCAGTTGACTCTTCCCAGAATAATGAGTATTCCTTCTCCGAATTATCCTTGCTATCACGTTCAGTGATCAAATAACTAGTAGTTGTTGTTGGATTTCCAGTATACTTGCACTCAAAAGGAACTTGAGTAATTGGGCGAGCTTCATACATCTTCTTGGTGAGAGTGAATCCCGAGCTAAAAAAATATATTTTGCAATTATTAACGTGAGAGATGAGAAATACGAACACGTGGTTGTAGTTTTTGCGAGCATCCTTAATCATTTCTCCATTGCCATAGAGCTCGATATAGGATTTATCGAAAAACTTGGTAGCTTTGCATGGAACTTTTACGTCGCCATAGTTATACATAAAGCCTGCAGGCTTCAACGGCACGAAAATTGAGGAACCTTAGTCGAAATATGTAAATTTTCAATTGAAAATCAAAATACCATGAACAAAAACGTAAATACTATCGTTGAGAGAATGTTGTTCTTCCGATTTGCAATAATAGTAACCCGTATCGGATTCTTTGACATTTGAGATCTCCAATTTTTTGTCTCCATAATCATCATCAAATTCTTCAGTAATTCGATTGTTGTAATCATCTTTATCGAAACCAACGTGATCTTCGAGATTTGGAAAGACGAACATCAAATCATCTGAAAATAGTATATATCCAATTATTAGAAAACAAAGTGACCCACCAAATCGTCCAGCACATTTCAAAACGAGGTTTTCGGATGCAGTCAACTCGATGAATTTACCAATACTAGCGTGCTCTTGGATCTGATGAACATCGGTGGTGATCTTGGGTGGAGGAAATGCTCCGACATTTATTAGAAAATACAGGAATAAAATGAAAAACATCAAGAGTAGCTCACTCGTTGCATCGACTAATGGATGGATCCTGCAAAATAGGTTATGTTGGCGCAATTCAATAACTTAATTATAAATCCATTAAAATTGATTGAAAATAGAAATAAACGAGTGACATATTGCCAAAAGAAGATGGAAAAGAAATATAGAACATAAAATGCCGTTCACAATTACAAGACGAAAATAAAAGCCTAGAGCAAACAAAAATTGATAAAAATCGATGCGTGAATGAGTCAACATTGGTGAGTAACTGAAAAAACGCGTGGGATTTTTGTTGTTATTTTGGACGGTTAGGACAACAAATGAATGTACAGGCTGGATGGAAGGATATTTCTCGCGCATGTGGGGTCCGATTCAAGTGGTACGGTCCTATTCAGGGTGGCAGGTGTCACACGATAGGACAATGTGCATGGCTGATGCGTATAATTAAGCGCATATGCACGAACCGCAACAACCGGACAGCTGATGAACCCTGCTGACCGTTGGTCCGATTATTAGGAATACCATAATTAGTTCAAAAAATATGCAGCGGCGAAAATCGACCAATAGAATCATTTAATGGAGAATTTCGGCATCGAACGCGGATTTAGGTCAACGGCAGATGAGTAAACAATGTTTCATTACCCAAAAACAAATACAAATAGTGAGATTTTTGAACCAAAGTATGGGTCACTAAATATGTTTGCAAAAGATAGACGGAATGTGAAGGAAATGTCATGTGCCGACGGTAACGACAGCAGTCTTATCGCAGTATCATATATAAATCTAGATAATACTCCGAATATCCATTACTCTGCTATTATTGGCGAATAAACGCCATTGATAAGTTGAAACAAAGGGGACCGAAAGGGCACTCAAAGTATGATGTCGTTTATCATTTTCATCAAAGGTTAGTTGGCTTCGAAAAAACAGTGACAAATTGTATTGGCTTTTGGGCAGAACAATTAATTGCGGAATTTGAAACTGGCATTGAATGCAAGTGAACAAATTGCGATTGGGATTGAAAAAAATGAGTCACAAATGCGAATGAAATAAATAATCGATTAATTGAAAATTGAATTTGTTTTGAATTTGCACATGAGGCTTATTGGAAGGTTCTAACCGCTTATTACTATTTATCTGTAATGTAAAAAGAGATGAAGAGTACGATTTCTATACAACAAACGCATTTAGGCGTGATAAATAATAAAGGCTGGTATAGAAATAGACGCAAACACGTCCGAAAACAAAACCGATTTTAAAATACAATGTGTGATTCGCGAGCAAAGCAGAAACGGCGACCTACACACCCGATGGGTGACTGTTCCCTCATCGGTACACCTTACTGCATAGGCGACGCAGAGAAAACGAGCAATGCTGGACAGTTGGAGTGACGGTGCGATGGCGGCGATCCTTGACGGTTTTACAAGGCACGACAGCCGTTCGCCGGTGGTATTCGGAAACAACCGCGAATAATTGCCAAATGAAGAATTTCGGGTTTGGATGATGTGCATCGCGTCAGACAAATATTTCGTTTTCGAGAATGGTTGGCGTGCTTGGCATTTCTGCGCAATGAAATAACACTTTCAACTATGAGATAAGATACTATTATGACACATTTTGCAAGTGATTTGATAAGACGGAAAAGTCTGCTGATCGCGATTGTCAAAAAATACAAGTAAAAGCAGTAACCTCAAATAACAATTACGAAAAAAGTTCAGATCAGATAATCTATTGAGTAAACTAAAACTCACTATGAAATGAAATTTCATTGGCTACCTTGCGACACGTTTTTTTTTTAAATTTACTGTCTTATTATATTATAATATCGAATTTCAAACGCGCCGCTTACGGATTATAATTCGTGTCTGGTGACAGTCGCGAATTAATCCTGCTCGACGATGTGCAAAACAGTAATTACTTGTGCGCGCCGGCAATTTTCTCCAAAATACAGTAATGCATTTTGAATGAAACAATGGGTTGGTTCCGAAAAACAACACGAATCATTCGATTGACCTTCGTGCCAGGAACCCGAAAACCAAAACAACAAATCTGAAAGCGTAAAAAGAGAATGGTATGTAGAAAAGCATGTATCGAATGCAAATATCCAACTGAGTGAGACCACGCCAAGTGCCCTTGTAAATCTCTGCTGCCATACAGGTCAAGCCATTCTGTCAAAGTTAGCGGAACCGTGCGAGCTAAGACGTTCCTCAAAACGGGCGTCTGGCAAACATTTGTTTATGACTCAATCAAACGAGCACGTATCTGTTGCGCAAGAGCTCTAAAAACACATCTCTGTCTCGGATTAACCCAACTAAAACATTTTACGAGATCGTAAGAGGGAGTGTGGCGAGCACTTGGCGTATCACATGTAGACTCATATTATTATATAATTGGAGAATTCTTGAAATGTTATTACAACTAGAGTTTGATCGTGGAGAATAATTGTGAAAATTCTTTACTTTTAAAATATTTGCCAAAATTATCACACGTAAATATATCCTCACATCTGTACTTTTAACATTAACCCACCAGAAACTTTTAAAATAATTATTTCTGCAATCTATATTTATTATTACAAATATTTCAAAAATATCTACAATTTTTCGAAATAAAACTTCTACTCCGCTGTTTCAGCTTCAAACTTCCATTGTTCATCGAATGTTCAAATATTTTTCGAATGGAGTCAAAGAAATAAAAAAAAAGACATTCTAAGAACAACCCGAAAATCTCATATATGACCCGATTCAACACCTGGTTGAAAGTTTACGCTTTTCCATTTATTCAGTACTGTATATTTGAGCTCCATTTCTCAAAATTCTTTATATCTCAAGTGTGTTGAAGTAGCAATTTGATTTTTGCGTAGGTTTGCAAAGGTTTAAATGAATACCATCTTCAATATATTATTCTTTTCTTGCTTTTTGTTTTATACTATTTAATCTTGTAATTGCATTATTTTTTTCGTTTTTGGTTCGTCTTCTTTTTCAATGATTTTCAATGTCGACAACTTGAAATGTAGGTTGACTTCATATGTCTTTGTCAAATGCAGTAGTTATCATTTGTAGAGATTGGGTTATTGAACGCAAATCAGAGATGTGAAAGAAGAAATTGAACACAATGATGACGAACTAAAAGAACAAAAACGTACCGATGCGCAGCTGGCATCTGGCGTACACCAGAAGGGTCGCCGCTTTTTGTCAATTGATACATTTTCATTGAATGACCCAAGCCGTCCTGTAGCATTGGCTCAGCCAAATCATTGATGTTTTTTTTCATCTTTTCCGATCATCTAGAATATTCTATTCTTCTCTTTCTTGATTCATTTCATCAATTGCATTCAATTACAGAAATGGAGTGGATCATTCTACTCTTACTAATATGTGCAGCTTTATCTCAACAATGTCCTGTCGATTGTATGTGCAAAGGCACAACGGTGGATTGTTCTTCCAAAAGTAAAATGAGGGTTTTTCAACAATAATAGTTAATATGATTCGATTTCAGATTTGAATGCATTCCCCGACAAGATCCCGGAGTATACAACTGAATTAATACTCAGTAATAATAATATAATGGCTCTGCGTAAAGTGGACGTCGAACAATTGAAGGAATTAAAAAGTTTAGAATTGAAAAATAATTCAATTAGTGAGATTGAACAGGTAATTTGAAATTCAGTCATCATAAGATTTGCAATATTTAGAATATTCTCGACGTTCTTCCGGAATTAACTAAATTGGGATTGGATATGAACAAATTGAGAAGCATTCCACAATTGGCTTCAAATCCACACTCAAAAATTGAGACGTTGAATTTCAGTGAAAACATGATTTCGAAAGTTGATAAATCGGTAAGCTCGAATTGAACAACGTAGATAGTTTAGATATAAAAGATTTGAGAAAAACTTATAAATGTTTTTTCAGATTATTAAAGAAAACCCGACTGTGAAAGTGTTCACGATTTCAAAAAATCGCCTCCAATCGCTTCCCAATAATTTTTTTCCAAGACATCGTTTTCTTGAAAATTCGTCGTTGAGGAGAAACCCGTGGACTTGCGATTGCAGGTAATTTAATCGCTCAATGTAATAACCCAATTAAATTTTGCAGAATTCTCCAAGTCAAAAAATATGCCGAATATCTAATGAAGATTGATGCGAATAACCAATTCACTCCACGATGTCTCTTCCCTCCACACCTCAAGGGCGAATTGCTAACAGATGTGAGTATCACGTCTTTCTTTCTTATGGCGCGTTATTGATGCGTCCTTTGATAACCAGTGTTTCACTTGCTGCCATTGGCGCCCGGTTAGCTCAGTCGGTAGAGCACCAGACTCTTAATCTGGCTGTCGCGGGTTCGAGCCCCGCATCGGGCTGATGCATTTTTGCAATTTTTTCAGATACCCGATGAAAAGCTGCAATGCTCGAAGCCGATTATAGTCGCACATCGTGACGAAAAAATATTTGATTGCCCAGTGGAGAAAGAAGATTCCGTTCGATTCAAAGTTACATGGCTTGATAAGTATGTTTAGTTAGGTATAAATATTAAAAACGAACGCGTTCAGAAATCTTGATCCCGTTCTACCTGACGATGAACTTCATCAACTTCGTAACGGATCTTTAGTGACTTCACCACTGTATGACGGAAAACTTTTATGTGCCGTAGATAGGCTACGGTTACCTCAACATAGTCTTCTAACGTATACTTAAATTGTTTAAATTATTAGAACATTTTCAATTTAGGTCATCAAAGCAGAGAAACTCGAGATTCACGCTTCATTTCACATTCCAGCAACCTCCAACTTCATCTCGCGATGGCGAAGTTTTGGATTTGGTCTGCGAAGCTGCTGGTAATCCATCTCCAACTATCTCATGGATGTTCGGCTCAACGGTAAATTATTCATCCGTTCGACAATTAATTGCATTCTTTCAGAAAATTATTGAATCCAGAAAACATAAACTAATGCGTGGAGGCCGAACACTCCGCATTTGGCCATTTTTGGAATCTGACGTCGGTAAATACACGTGTATCGCCAAAAATGACAACGGCGCTATTAGTCACACAGTTCCCGTAACATTAATAAGCAGGTAATTGAAAAAATCATTGATTTCGGAACCAAAACGTATTTTTTTTTAGCGAAAAACCAAACATTTTTGATCCTCCTATGGAAACTAAAGCCAATATTGGACAATCGGTAAACTTTTATTTTTATGAGCTACTGTTTTATTTAAAACAAAAAAACTTCAAAGGTTTTTGCTTTTTTAAATACGAATTCAATAGCGCGAAAAATGCGCTAATGTTTTCTAAATGACGTATTTTTTGCGCTGCATTTATTGATGTAATGTGTCTCGCGAGAGTTCTTACATTTCTAAAAATTATTAAAAATTCAGGTCACATTACGATGCAAAGCACGAGGGGTTCCAAAGCCAGATATTGTTTGGTTGTTCGAAGGAACGCGCATTCCTAGAAAAAACACTCGTTACACAGTAATTTGTTTAAATTTCTTTAAAATTCTCATCCCATTTTATTCAGATTTCTGATGACAATACCGAACTTAACATTGAGAAAGTGACAAGACATGATTCTGGAGTTTATACATGCCAGGCAGTGAGCACAGCCGGATCGGATGTGGCTCAAGCAACCATGACTGTTGGACAGGAATTGACGAATCAGGTTGATGAACTGTTGAGTAAAGAAACAATTGATATGATTGCTATGCAAGCGAAGGGTAATGTGGAAAGGTTTGCCAACCGTGATAGCATTTAAATTAATCTTATTATTCTATTAAAGCGCCTATAAATCGACCAAAGAATCTTTGAAAATCGACAAAATTGAAAATCCGCAGGACCTCCGAAAGCTTTTCAAGTTTGCCATTCCACTTAAGGTTGGATTTTAGGTTGTACGTATGCTGAATTTTGTCTTTAGAAAGTTGACTTGGGAAAAGCTCGCGAAATCTACGAAGAAAGTTTGCGCTTGGTTCAAATCCACATTGATAAAGGGCTCAAACTCAGCCCAACTGTTATTGCTCCAAACGTTTCTTACGAAGCAGTTCTTCCCGTGAACTACGTTCAAACTCTCATGGAGAAATCAGGATGTCAAACTGGCCAATTTGTGGAAAGTTGCGATGACATTTGCTTCTTCTCCAAATATCGGCGAGAAATAATTTTGTAAGATTCAATTAATTTCATAATTCTTTTCAGCTCGTACGATGGCCAATGCAACAATTTTGAGCACCCGATGAGAGGGGTTTCTGAAATGGCATTCCTTCGTCTTCTGCCTCCACGTTATGAAAATGGATTCAATACTCCTGTTGGATGGGAAAAAGGGAAGCTTTATAATGGCTTCGAAGTACCCAACGCACGTAAAGTAAAAACATTTATATTTAAAAAAATAGAAAATTATTAATGAATTTAGGTCTCACGACTTCTGATCGGCACTGACGAAATTACTCCACACGATCATTTATCGTCAATGACGATGCAATGGGGCCAATTTATTGGTATAGAATACATACAAGCAGCCTTATGGTATCGAAAATTTTTACAGATCATGATATGACATTGACTGCGCCTGCTTTAACCCGTCATAGTTACAAAGAAGGAGCTTTTTGTAACAGAACATGTGAAAATATTGATCCTTGCTTCAACATTCAATTGGAACCAGATGATCCAAAATTGCATACTGGACTGTATGAGACGTTGTTCGTAATTAATGCAAATATTTAAATTCCAGCTACCAAAAGTATCCGTGCATGGAATTTGAACGAAACGGAGCAATTTGCGGTAGTGGTGAAACTTCTCCGATCTTCCAAAGAGTTACATACCGTGATCAGATGAATGTGGTATGAATAATGCGCATGATGACCAGATAATCATGAATTGTTTAGCTTACATCTTATCTAGACGCATCTGGAATTTATGGAAACAGTGAAGAGCAGGCACTCGCATTGCGAGATTTGTTTAGTGATCATGGATTGCTGCGATTTGATATTGTTTCTGCGTAAGAAATAGATTTAGTGCACAATTACTAGTTTAAATTTTCAGCGCGAACAAACCATATTTGCCGTTTGAGAAAGAGGATGACATGGATTGCCGAAGAAACTATTCTCGTGAAAATCCGATTAATTGCTTCTTGGCTGGTGATATTCGAGCTAATGAACAAGTATATATCAAGAAAAAACCCTTAATTAACAGTCACTTTTAGTTGGGACTGATGTCAATGCATACAATTTTCATGAGAGAACACAATCGAATTGCTGGAAAATTATTGGAAGCGAACGAAAACTGGGACGGAGAAACAATTTTCCAAGGTTGCACTACAATTGAAAAAGCGTTCATTATACTTTAATTCTAGAAACAAGAAAAATAATTGGAGCCATTCTGCAAAAGATTACTTACGATGATTGGTTGCCAAAAATTCTTGGAAGAGTATGGCGTCGTAACTGTACAAATTTTATATGATTTCATTCAGGCTACGTATAACGAAGTAATTGGCCCTTATAAAGGTTATAATCCCGATGTCGATGCGACAATTTCCAACGAATTTGCTACTGCAGCTTTAAGGTATTTTACATTGAAATTCTCTTAAAAATGTTGCTAACTTTTAGATTTGCGCACACTCTCATTAACCCTCAATTGTTCCGATTTGACAAAAACTTTACCGTAATAAAAGAGGGCCATATTCCACTGCATAATGTAAACGACATATATTTTTCGATTACAAATCAATGTTTTTAGGCATTTTTTGCTCCTGAGCGTTTGGTGTCCGAAGGTGGAGTTGATCCAATTCTTCGTGGATTGTTTGCAGCTCCGATTAAATTGCCAAAACCGGATCAGATCTTGAACAAGGAGTTAACAGAAAAACTCTTCAATAAATACCACGAGGTTAGAATATATTTTAAATAAGCTTATTTTAGAAAGATTGAAATTATTCTAGGTCGCTTTGGATTTGGCTGCATTCAATATTCAACGTGGTCGAGATCACGGATTACCGACATGGACTGAATACCGAAAATTTTGTAACCTATCGGTCCCGAAGACGTGGAACGATTTGAAATCAATTGTGCAAGACGAGACGGTAATTTTGAAGTTGGAAAAGCTATATGGCTCTCCAGGTTTTTTTAAATGCATTTTTCATATTTTCGTAAGTTTTGATTTTGCAGAAAACATTGATTTATGGGTAGGCGGTGTAACCGAGAAGAGAACGTCCGAAGCATTGATGGGGCCAACATTGGCATGTATCATCGCTGATCAATTCCGACGTACGCGAGACGGTGATCGATTTTGGTGAAGAATCTGAAGCAAATGTATCGAACAAAATTATTTCTAGGTACGAGAATGATGAGGTTTTCACAAAGATGCAGTTGCGACAAATCAAAAAAGTGACGTTGGCAAAAATAATTTGTATGAACGGTGACGATATTGATCGTGTCCAGGTTTCAGAGAATTCAAACCAGCAACTGTAAAGAGAATAATTACAGCGCGACATTTTTGTCTATCATGGCGACAAAATGCAATTTTATGAAAAGTGTGAGAATCTTCCTGAAATGAACTTGAATATGTGGACGACATGCTGCGATACCACTTGTTCTCTTTCAGCAGGTGTCACAAGAAACACCGTTGACGAGGTCAAGAAGAGGTACGATCAATGAGTATTCTAAAAATATCATGTAGTTTTTAGAAAGAGAAGGGACAAGAATTTGAAGGTTTGCACTGAAAATAAGAAAGTATATCGTAGCGGTGAAAAATGGATCAACTCTGACGATAAATGCGTTCAGTGCATGTGCGATGATGGTGAAATTTGGTGCCAAACCAAGAGCCATTGCCAAAATTAAGCTTTATTAATGGAATAAAAAAAAAGATCTAATGTTTGTCAAATCATTTATAATAAATATTTCATTTTCATTTTTGTTCCTTCATTAAAGAGTGGAAGCCGAGCAATTGAACCTAGTAAGAGTAGAGAGAAGAGAGGACTGTTGACAAAGGGATATTGATGGGACAAACTATTATTGCCAAGCACTTCAGCTTCTTTCGCAATGGAATCGATTCACGAGCAACACTGCGATAACTGTTTCAATGGGAGATGTGATTATTCGCAATGCACCCTCAATGAATGCGCATTTTGTTTTGTGAAGTTACACAGTTGCAAAATACCGGATCATGTGGAAAATATTTGCAGAAAGGTTTGTCATGTTGATCATTATAGATTTACCATTTCTTTTCTTTATTCAGTCAACGATTAAATGCCCTAATTTCACATATGGATGCCCACACAAATTTATGAGATTTAAAATGAGTAGTCATTTGGAAAACTGTCCGTGCAGTGTTGTCGTATGTGGAAGGTTAAAAAATATTAATGCACACGTCTGAATAGTTTTGATCTTTTAGAGAACGGTCCAGAAAGGCGCAAAACAAATCAAACACGACGATGCTGAAGAATTGGGGAAAGTCACCAACCAGATGGGACTTTAAGCTTGAAGATAAAGATATTGATGTTGGTTTGGCACTTATTGACCAGGTGAACAGCATGAGGTGATTCGAAAAATATTTTATGGTATTTCAGCTGCAAATTATTGAATCATATAGTCAACCTCGAGAATTTAGAGTTGCTCAAAGAAACAAATCGCATTTACGCCATCCACTATTACCGCTGCGAGAAATAGTAATCACTGCATTTTATACATTTTAGTTTATTTCGGTTGTTTCAGCCATATTTCGAATATGCCGTGCGTCTTCGTTCCATTAACGAAGATAGTAGCGAAGAAGACGAACAACGAAAAGTGTCTTCCTTATTCTATTTTTATATTTTTAATTGGGAAAGAATATGATCATTTGTTGTATATTGATACTCGAATGATCTCTATTTCTGTAATCTGACCCATTCGCAAGAAATCTTGCACCATCTACAAAAAGAGAGAGAGAGAAGTTAAGTTAACTTTTTCAGAGAATCAATGACTACAAATCGAAACTGGTCTTCGCGAATTGTTACATATGTCAAGTCGATCCTTCAAGACAACATCTTCATACGCTTGGAAATGGTACAAATATGGGAAATGAAGAAACAACGGAAAGAAAGAGAAAAAGTAGAATCAAAATGGATACAATAGCAAATGATGTTTTTAACAAGCAACATATGTTGAATGTAACTGTCAAACTAACGCAATATAATTGTTTCTATGTTAACAGATTGATTTAAATGTGGAAAACCTACCCGAAAGCATGATTAAAAATGATAATGCAAGCGTTGTCAAGAATGGTGGAAAATTGTACACGTTTAGGTGATTAGAAAGTTTTACTTACAGAGAAAAATCAAAGATGTTTCTGATTTTAGATGCCTTAAAATTGTCAAGCGTACTGAATTTGCAAATCATTCATTGATGCAGCACTCCCTAACGACTGATCAGATGGAACTCTGGGTGACTCGGTTGGTTGTTTTCAACAACATTTTAAAAGAATTGTATTTGAAGCTGCCCAAATGCAGCAAGTGGCTGTCAATTTCACTCATCACGTTTACAACCAAACAATGGAAAATTGATGTAATAACAATACGCAATTTTTTAGCTAAACATATCTCATTAAGATTGATGAATTATTTGTCGAACTTTTGCATTAAGGAGGACAACTTCTGCCAAAATCCAACCGAAATGGGACCAACCATGTTTGAAAATTTGCCGTTATGGTTATACGAACATCTTTCCCAGTTTTTGACTGGAACGGCTTTATTCAATCTTTCAAGCACTAACAGGTGTGAGAGAAAAATGTCAGAGGTATTATAGCGAATTTTTGATAATTTCAGAATTGTAAGAGCCAAAGTGTTTGCGGCATGTCGCAGTCATACATATATTGATCAGAAATGGGTGAAACCCAATCCGGATGGCGGATGGATAACCGAAAAACCTGTAAAGAAAAACATTTTAATAACTTGAGAACAACAATTTTAAAGGTGTTATATCTACCATTGGCTGATCCTGTTCCTCAACTCACATGGCGCCCCCCTGGGGAGGTTTCAGATCATATAAAAACTTGTGAATTTTTCAAACACAAAGAATATACCGACGAGAAGGTTGAACTTTTCAATCACTCAATTGTAAACGAATTTTTTATTGATTGTCCAATGAGAATGCTCAGATGTTTAAGATTGATACCAACTAGTTAAATAAATCATTTTGAATAATAGGCTTCTAATATGGAAAGATAAACAGGAAATGAAACGGAAATGAATAGCAAGTTCAATAACCAATAACACTCATTATTTAGCAGTGCGTATGTGCCGTTTCCACTCAAAATTGGCCAAAATGCGTCGACTAGTTATAATTAGTATTGGCACCAAATTATTTATTGAATCTTAATAATCATGAAAATAATTGCGAGTAAGAGGCTTCGTTTACCGTTCAATAAATTCAGCAGACATTCCAATGCAGCGAACTTGAAAGTGGTTGTGAGCATTCTTCTTTTTTCCGGTGCTGAAATCGCACTTGAACATTTAAAAGATTCTATGTAATTATTTATTTCCGATTAGATTTTAAGGCAGAGAAACGTCTTCAATAAAAAAACTTATGCTGAAAACTTGAAATAGCAATTGAGGTCAACTTCATCAAACAAAATATTTTCTACATTTCAATTAACTTTGCCTATATCTGTCTTTTCTAATTACCTATGTGGTCTCTTAATACTGTCAAGGCGAGAGAATTCATGAACAAGTGCGTCCATATTGTTCATGGAGTCGCGGTGCGGTGAAGCCTCGCTATACGGAAAAACCACTAAATGCGGATTCTCTCTTTCCATTGACAATCTCAGCTGCTCGTTGCGCCATTTCTCGCCATGTGCGAGCCATTGCTCTTCGGCCGAGTTTCGCGAGTTTCTGAATAATTCATGATAACCACACCATTTGGAAATCGGCATCTAAATGAACCTCGGCGTGGCCCGTGGTTTTTCCTCTTCATGCTCGCTATCAGAATCCAAAATGCTAGTGCAAGCTGGTGCGGTATGAATTACCGAAGTGCGAACGATTCCGTCATTCAAGACATTCATGACATCACGATAATAAGATGTCTCCATTGAATATTGGATAGCCTAAAATTTTAATTAAATTTCGCAAACATTTGTTTATTCAAAAATGCCTGAATCAAGAACGGGATTCCGCGTATATTCCTCATCACCGCCTCAGTAGTATCTCGAGTGATGAGCTCCTCCGGCATCTGCTCTCGCCTCTTGATGCATTTCTTGGCTTTCTGAAAATTTGCAAACGCTAGTCGTTTGCTAGCAAAATTCATAAATTTCAAATGAATTGTTAATTTTTTTGTGGGAACATTTCATTCTGCGGTTATTCTCAAAATGTGCATGTATAATATTCTTACTGAAGATTGGATACACCAGACCACTGCTGAAAGTGTCATGCCGAATAAACCGAGAGTTGTGAGAGCGACGGACAATATGAGGAAGTCGTCGCGTATAATTCCAATAGCCAACCCTGGAAAACACATTCTCACTTAAATTCATATTCCCTTCATGAGGCTTATTACCGACTAGAAATGCCACGAGATTGACAGCGGCGATGAAAATGAGAATTCCTTTTAATAAACGTCTCATCTGAAAGTAAATAGTCGTTTTCGCGCATAAAAACAATAAACTGATTGCATTAAAAGCACAAAAAACGAGGGAAACAGCATACGTCAAAAAAGGAATACAATATTGTTGAGGGATTCAATTGTTTTAATAAATCGAGGTGTCTGAATGATAAGAAAATACATTTCGGAATCCGAACTTCCGATGTTCACCGAGACTTTAATCAAACTCAAGTGCCAACCTGAATTCGAAAAAAAAAAACAAAACTAACATTTACTCAAATATGTAAGTTTTGCACAAAACGCTGATGAACTTATTGTTTGCTTAGTGCAGAAGAAATGAAAATTTGAAAAAAAAATCTGCATTTTAGACTATACTTGTCGCCTTTCAAATTTTTTTCACATCAGAAGGTGTCAATTAATTGGGAGGACTTGGAAGATGAGCATAGACCAATCCGGCCATATAGAAAACGTATTCGTCGCATAACCAGAAAGTATAAAGAAAAAACTCGAGAATTGATCACAAATCATAGAAAAGTGAACCTTTAATATTATATAAATGCCGTCTGTTGTTCATATCAAGTAATTTCTAGCTTTTCCCCAAAAATATGGAATTTACAACCCCCATATTAACTTTTTTTTTCTAACCATAGAAATGATTTTAATGACGAGGTGGTGCTAACACGGATTATTTTGGGAATGAGCGAAACGCATCGTGTAACGAGTGAAAATGTTTTATGTCGTTTCTAGCAATTTCGTCAAAACTTTGAATTTTCTGTGCGTGAAATGCATCGCATCAAAAAAGAAATATGCATCGGCATTCTTTTTTTGCGAGCTCGATGCATTATGAATAATTAACAATAACAAAGTGTTTGTCGAAACCAGAAGGGAAGAAAAATTGTCTAGATGTGATATCACTCCTAGCTGATTCGGAAATACAATTTTAATTTTTTTGGCCTCTTTGCTGGCGGTTTTACTGGCGTCTGGCAAAGTGTTCAAGATCATATGACGGAGTGCTGAAAACAAGAAAAAATTGATGGGGGAAAATGAGGCCGGCTGAATAGGCTTTTTTGAATTAGTGTCTCGCATCTACGCATTCATCGAGTTGTAACAGCTCTACCCATTTTTTTTCGCATTTTGTTGGAAAGCAAACGAAACTTTTAATTGACACGTTTTAACGCTTTCACAGCTGGTGCTTCCGCTGCTAATGCCAACCTGATCCTGAAACTTGCAGAAACGTTTTGTTTAAGTGTAGAAATTGAAATTGATTGATGGGCTGCAAATTATTTATTAAATTACATTTAACAAAATTTTGTTTTGACTGAAAATTCGAAGAAACGAGTTCGTTTAGTGAATTAAAAAAAAACGATGAATAAAGCGTTGGAAATCCCTTGAGAAAATTGAATTTAAGAAAATAAATTGTCTTGTATATATGACAAATAATATGACTTTTTTTTCTCATTTCCAGTCTTTTCTGTTGAATGAAGCCCCGGATAAACCATTAAAAAAACGCAGAAGCTTTCAAACGTGTCAATATGGGCACATTTCAACGTGTATTCTACTGCACATCATGCCGAATTCATGGGACTTGAAAAAAAAACACTTAATTTTTTTTTTGCAAGAAGCTGACAGATATTTATTTGGCTTACTCAGTGACAATTTTTGAGGATGGTGCTACTTTCGATACAACGGAAAAATTAAATTATTTATCAAACATCTACAAGATTTCCAATATTGAAGCTATTATACCCACTCATTAAAACTCTGAGCATATACATACATATCTACATTTATTTATATTTATATGAAACAACGGGAACTCAATAAGCAATATCTACAATTATTGTAATTAAGCGTATAGGATGTATACGACAAATGTACTCGGAGAAAAATAATCGGAACTCGGTGAGATGAAAGTTGAATACGATGGCATTCGACAATTTCCAATATAAACGCGCAGAAATTTGATAGGAAGCTTGAGACCACAAATAGAGAAACGAACCAAGAAGTTGAAAGAAACGTCGGAACGTGTTAAGTGTAATGATTGAGAATTGAAACTGAAAATATGATGAATGTTTTTGACATGCACCCAGACTTTTATGCGATTCAATGCCGAGGATATACTAGAATAATTGATCATTATATGTAAATGTGCGCAGCTCTAAATGACGCCTATTACTTTATTTTTAGCGCTGTTTTCACGTTGCGAGACGATGCGAAGTCTGAAGGGCGGAGTCATGTGCCGAGAAAAAAATTGAAAGTTGAGAATATGGAGATAATTGGAATGACTGACATGCAGTGTAGCGCCTCCCGAGCATCAACTTTATTCGCCGTCGACTTTCTCGGAATACATTTCTGTATGAGACTGCGAGCATAGCAACGAAGAAAGAAAAAGCAAAGTGACTGGTTTTTGTTTTTTTTTTCATGAGCTTCACAACGCGATGAAAAATGACTTGAAAAATACACGGTGAGTACAAAATGTTCTCTAATAAAATGACTAACGAATAGATAGTATTCTCAAGGGTGCGAGAAAAAAAAACAACAATTTTAAAATAAAATTAAAATTGATTTTACAAACGCTCACAGCAATTAGCCGTTGCGATGACTGATTTGAGTTCATGAATTGAAATAGGAAAACGCTCAAAATGTGGTTAATGACTTTGTGGGTCCCCGGACGCGCTTGGAAATTCAAACCAACACTCCAAAATTTCCTTTAATTTAATGTAATTTGATAGTGAATGCATTCGTTTTTCAAATGTTCGTCTTTCAAAAATGGAAGAAGTCCATCACTTGAAATTTTCCACGAACAAGCTCGTTTGATATGCAAAAATTCGATTTACTTCTTGATTAATCAAATTACTTGTCAAAAAATTTTGAGAGGCGTTTCCAACTTTCGGCGCGAGTAATCATACAGAAATCAAAAAAAAATTTTTAAAGAAAATTTGACAAATATCTGAAAATAAAGCGCATTAGATCTACTCTCAAAGAATAACTTCCTTGTACCTGTTTTGAAGCACGAGATTTTTGTTGTGCATTGCATACATTTCAGGTGTTCAATTATTTTGTTATTATGGTCTATCTGGTCACAATAGGCTAATGTACCCTTCAGAATTTTATAAATCAATCAACAATGGAAAGAATATTGGATTTTGAACAAAATCCTTGCTGATTGTAGATTCTGGTTGAAACATTGAAGAAAACGATTTCACTGATTAATTTTTAAACACAACATAATCAAATTTATGAGTAAATATGTAGTTGAACAATTGTTGTGTAAATATGCGTGACATAACAATGTATAAAATCAACAAGTAACGAGAAACACTATATATATAATTGTTAAAGGAATGCTGAACGCGTCGGTTTTCAAAAGGCACTTCTATGTTGTAGCTTGTGAAAAAAAAGTGAAGTTTCAGACCCTCAACATAAAATACTGATTAAAGAATGAGTGAAATTCATAGGATATGTTTCTCGAGAGCGAAAAACTCAAAAATTCAAAGAATTATTTTGATGATTTTCTTATTTTGTCAAAGTGGACGAAGACGCCTAATTTTTAATGCTTGCAGGCGTTCTCCTTCTTTTGGAAGTAAGGGATGCCGAATAGCATGAGGCCGGAAATCTGCAAATATTTAATTATGAATTTGGAACGAGTCACTCTTTTCTTACCAAAAGATTAATACCGCAAAAGACAAATGACCATGTGTACGAGTGAGTGAAATCTGCGAGGAATCCGGAAATTGGCGGACCGAAAACCGTTCCGACACCTTGCCACAAGAGAAGCAACCCGAAGGCGTTGGTGAGCTTGTCGAGGCCAAGAAGGTCCACAAGAATGACAGATGTGAGACAAATGTATGAAGCAATAGAGAATCCGAAAGCGGCAGCATAAACAGCGAGCGGTACAAATCCGTTAAATTTGAAGCACAAAGTTGTGAGAATTCCGCAAATCTGAAATTGTATTCTTGAAATGAAGTTTTTGCAAATTTAGAAATTACTGTAAGCGATATATTATACATCCAGAGACGATTGCGTGCGGTGTCTTTTCCAAGACCATATGGAAGTGGCAGTTTATGATCAGCGACAACACCAAAGATAACACGACCCAAGGTATTCGAGATACCTAAAAATTTGAATTGGATAATTTAACATATGTTTGATACCGAAAGCTGAGAGCACATTCGATCCTTGAACGGCGGTCAATCCTATCTCGGTAGAGTGAAGCGGCAAAAAGTACAATGGCGAGTTAAATCCGACGGAAGTAAGAAGGTTCGAAACAGCAAACAAAAGGAACTTGATGTCCAAAAGAAGGTCTAACGATAGCATCTTATTGATAGTTCTAAATAAAAATGATATACTATACGTTTACTAATTTAATATCACGAACTTGAACATGTTCTTTCCTTCAACATTATCCGACGAATCGGTGTTCTCGGTGATATCGACACCTTGGCTGTCTTCTTGGCTTCCCTCACGAACCTCATCGAGTTTGCTGGTTGAGTGCGCTTTGGTGCTAGTAACAGTAGCATGACGTCCGTGAAGCGACCCAGTTGATCGGTATTTGTCAGGGTCCTCACGGAACTCAGCAACATTCTGAATTGATCCGGTGTAGAACACATCCTTTCGGTTCAAATATCCGCTATCGCGTTCTCCAATCGTCGAGCGTCTCGAGCGTGCCTGAGCTAAAAAAAAAATTGATTATTTTTTGTCAGTCCAATGGGATCTAAATGATCTACCTTCGTGATCAACATCTCCCATTGAAGTAGCTGGGCGGATTGTCATTGACTCGTTGTTAGACATTCCTTCATGTGAAATCGATCGCTCCAACACCGATGGGGGTGCAAGAAGAAGTTTAGCTTTCTCGTTAACAACTTCGTTGGCCTTCTTTTCAGAGTTCTCAAACACGTCGTCATCAGCAATTGTGTTCTCGTCAGCGACAACGGCAAACTTGAGTGGGGCGAAAGTAGCACCGCAGAGGGCGCAAAGAACAAGAATGACTGCAATGAAAATATTGATCAACAATAGACATTGCAATTCTCTTACACAGAAATGCTAAAAAGACACTGCGCCAACCGTAGTTTTCAATTAAATATGCGTTGATGGGAGCGAAGAGCACAGTTCCGACGCCAGCACCAGCTACCGCAATGCCAGTAGCCAACGATCGCATTCTGAAAAATTTGGTTTTGGCGCACTATTTTCATAAATGTGCACACTTCTCAAAATACATGGTGACGATAACAATAGCAGGGCAATACATCAATCCGAAACCGACTCCCATAACAATTCCAACGCTGATGACAATTTGCCACATTGCCTGAGCGAAATAGGAAGACAAGCATCTAAACAATTCTAGATTGAAATTATTTATAGTAGCGCATTTTTAAGTACCCAATGAAGGCAATTGCAGATCCAATAATTGTGGTGGTGCGACAACCGTATTTGTTACACACAGCCGATGCCAAAGGTCCAGATCCAAGAGTAAGTCCAGTCAGAAGAGAAATGATAAGAGAAGCCATTGTATTATTTGCATTAAATTCCTGAATTATTGATGATTACCAATTTCATATCGATTTTCATGTCTTACCTTCATAAGAGTCTCAACAAGAACACCAAAAGAATAGACGAATCCATCAGCGAAGACGTGAATAAAGAACGATCCAATGACGACGACCCAACCCCAACCTCCATCCGGAGCTATCGGAACTAGCTTCCCGCTTTCGGTCGACACTGGAGCACCAGTCATTTTCTGAAAATTGTTATGAATGGTTTCACTGACAAAATCAAGTAGGACAGAAAAAGAATGAGAAAAAAGAGAAAAACGACAGTGTTGGTGGAGGCCATGTGAAAATCATTAATATTATTCAAGAAGAACAGTGCGAAATAGGAGTGAAAAACAGCGAGGTGGGCCTATTAATCATTTTACCGGGTTGTAGTAAAGGTAGATCACAATCAGCGTCGGCCGACTACTCTTGATGAGTTCAAAACGATACAAATGGAAGACGAGGGCTATGAACGCATGTCACTGTTTGCTCAACTGCCACTAATGGAGAATGGACAAGAAAATCAATTGGTTTGGAAAGCGCCAAGCCTTTCGGTCGGTGGCCCCTGAGAATGATAGTGAATGTCGATGGAAACGTTCCAGACGGGCAGTGGGCGTTACCAACAAGAAATATTAAAGAAAGCAATGAGATATATACAGGACGTTACAATGTAGGCGGAGTCACCGTGTTGTGAAAGCGAAGACTGACTGAGTTTACAATAATAACACCTGGCACAAATTTGTGCAGAAACGATCTTGAAGATATTTGCAACGTCGAAAATTGAGAACAAAAAACTATAAAGTGTATTCTCGACAAAAGTTGATTGATAATGGGAAATGGTTGGAAACTTGCAAAAAATTAAAGAGACATGATTTTTGGTATCTTTCGAGGTGCTTTGTTCAGAAAGGTGAGAATCTTATGCGCCTTTCATCAGTCGATATCAAAGTATCAAAAATGGAATGTTGCTATTGCAGACACTGTAATAAGCGTCGACGTCATTACTATGCTGAAATATATTAGAAATATATTGTATTGAATGATATGAATGTGCATATTTTCGTTATTGTAGGAAGATTGATCGAACATTTGTCGAAATACTTCAACTTATTCGAAGCGTGCTTGTCGCAACGGCTGATGATTATTATCAAAGAAATTTTTCGACGACGGTTTTGCTAGGTCATTCATCGATGTTTGAAGGGTTCCACAAAAAAAATCGAATCTGTGAATGATTGATGGTGTGATAGAAAATTCCCAAACGTGGCGAGAAAACATAGTTTCTATTCCAAATTTTTGCGAATCTTCAAGATAAGGGTATCGCGTGCAGTGAAAGGAGTTTATCACACCTATAACCGAAATTTGTGATTAAATTCGTTGAATGGAAAATGAAGGAGGGTTATTCGCAAGAAAAATGCAGTTTTCAAGGAATTATCGTGAAATCGGAATTCATCCTCAAAAAAGAGAAACAATTCGAAGAATAAAAACGAAATCAACAACCGCTCTATCTCATCGGACATGACGTAAAATGTTTTATAACATCGCTGCAGACAATTTGCCGAACGCTTTTCAAAACATACTTAAATTTATATATAAACTGTTGTTTTTTACCTAACAGTTGACGACGAAAATTGCATTTTTGCGATTCTGGAGCCAAAATTGATTAAAGTTATAGTAACCATAGCGCAAAAGACTTAAACCAATAGTTATTTACAGCACAACAAGTTTTCCGAAAGAATGAAAGTAACCCGATACGATTTATTGTTTATGTGAACTATTCTAGCAGAAGGGTCAAACTATTATACATCAACCATATGCGAAAATTGTATAATGTGGATGGATTGAATTTCAAAGTCGTTCCGACGAAATCATATGCTTGGTAATACAGTAATTATAATTGTTTGTAGTTCACTTCGGACCTTGAACTATACAACACGTGCAAGCAAAAAATCGAAATCACGTAATAATTTATGAGAAATGTTTCGCTTATCAATGGCATAGGACACTTGGACACTGATAAACCGAAAAAAAGATAACACTTATTTTATCTGTTTCAGACTCCCGAAACAATGATTATTTTTCATTTTAAATTGCACGCCAACGCACCTCGCTATTCCAACCATCAAATATGTAATTGATATTATCAAAAACTTTCATATTTTGTGCTCGTCTTCATGAGATCAAAGAAAGCCGCTGAAATGGCTCGTTTCAAGACAATATTGCGAAAACGATTCATGGTACAGCTCAAAAATTGCGACTTTCGGAAAGCAAAGAACGTTGATGAACCAAAACAACCAGATTGTGACGAGAATTGGTTCATTTTGAAGGGGTGGATAGGTCACAAGACTGCTCTCAGTCGTATTTTTCTCATATAATGATAACAAATTCACAAGACAAATTAAAAAATTAATTAACAGCTGATAGCTCATAATTTGAAATACGGAACGCGGTACAAATGTCGGTGAAATAAAGGCAGATTTTTTCATTTCATTGATAGCGATGGTCTAAAAATCTAGCAACATTGAAAATGATTTTGCAAAAAATTTCAAATATTTCGTTAAAGACAATATTGCATTCATCACAAGTGACCAAAATCAGATAGAATTAGTTGAAAATGACCTGAGCTACTCGGATTTTATTTGAACGGAACAGCTGTTTGGCGAGACAATTGTCGGAGTACAATTGGTCGATTTGAGTTTTAGTAGCGACATTCGTCCATCCTTTCAATTTGCATTTTTCATTTTGTTTGTCAATTGCAATACAGCAACTTTGAATTCGATTGAGCAAATTACACATCGCATTTTAAATCGAAAAGCGGCATTTTATCAAAAAAATAAGTTTGCAATATGTGTTCACATTTGAAACGTTATTTTTTGTGTAAATTCCGACAAAAAATGAAATTGTACAACATCAGTAAAGACTTAGAAATATTGAACAATCGTAGACAATATATATTTAGATCAAACTATTTAAATTTCAAAATCTCAAACAGCAACTCTCATAAACCGTGGGTATTTGTCATCTCATTTTCCCAGCAGTTATCGGCGTGGCACAAATAATTGTTCTTTTATTAGTCACAAGTAATGTTGATCATTAAAAATAGATGTTGTTCGCGCGCGAACGCTACCGTTAGAATTAGAATTTTGTTTCAAAATCTGACCAAAAAAAACGAGGGGTTATCATAATCAGACACGGAACACAAAGAATAGCGAAATTTGCAAAACCTTGCATAGCTTATCGACAGCGGTTGTGGAGATCGGAATAAACATTTTAAAAATGAGTTGAAATTGTGTGATTATTTTGCTCAAAGCAATGCAAAAAGTTTCTATGAAAAAGTGACGCTTCACTCGAAGAACAATTTAATAATTGTATAAGATTATTGAGCTAATAAATCAAAAAAGGTGGTTTGGAGGACGAGAAGCAAAAAAAAACGGATAATAACGACGCTTTTATTTGGAGCACTTCGAAATAACTTCAATTACATGTTTCATTTGACAAAATTGCATATATTAATTGTTTGATTGTATTGAATCAGTAGTGAATAACAAACTGAAACACGATTGCTTTAAAAAAATACATTACAAATGCAAAACGGGCAACTCGAACGAATGATTGTCGCCTAAGAAAAGTGAGAAAATCGGAATAGTCTCGCACATTCGAAAAGTGCATCTGAGTAATTTGTTTATGGGAAACCCGGAACAATGTAACACAGAAAAACTAAAGTGGTCAATATTCAATGTGCTAATATAAGGCCTATCAATATATTCATGAACACGACGTGTTTTAAATAGTGTGTTTCAAAGTTAAATCTAAGACCATAAAAAAGTTGCACTTAATATGCAGTCCTTTGTGCCTTATTGTACGAATGCAATTGCAAATTGAACATGAGTTTTATGGTCGTTTTTCAAATAGCTCGTCCTATAGCGAAGCATATGAAATTCAAAATGAAAACGTTAAAAAAACATAGAAACAGTTATAAATCATAACGAATAAAATGGTGAGCAGGGTTTGAATTTAGCGCCATGCACAATCGGACCAATATAGACGCAGACAGACAAATGTAGGATCCTCACCAATCGAACACAACGCAGGTGTATGGGTCAAAATTTGCGTAGCGCACGAAATGCGAGAATAAAGAGGGCGAATATCCGTCTGGATTGTTTTGTTGCGATGCAAAGAGAGTGGAAAACTAATTGGGAATTCGGCATTACGAGTTTTCATTGGTTAAATTGTGACAAAATGAGTTACGTTTCGAAAAGAGAGAGAAAATATCGTTCAGTTAAGTTCTAATAGTTATATTTAGACCGAAAACATAAAACGAATGAGATCCGTATAAGACAACACATATTTTCGATGTTATGAATCATCTTAAGGTGAAACGAAAGTTCCATTTTTCCTGCATTCGTTTGACAATGTCTTTCGAAAACATTTTTGGGGGCTAACTTTCTCTTTTCATCATTCCTCAATAGTTTTAGTCCTTGAAACGTTTAGGATAAAATAAGTTGTAAGCAATATTAATTTACCATAGAAAAGAATCGAAAGTGTTAAGACTCATGCAAATACTAAATATGGAAAAAATGATCAGCTTTTAAGGCCACACCTCGATGCCGCGTTCAAGTGTTTTAATGGAAAATTCTACTAAAAACAAACAAATAAACATGCACAGTTCCGTAAACAAAAATAAATCAAGAAACTGGGGGAAAAACATTCAACGAAATTCGTGGAGTCCTACTGAAAAACATTACATATATGAATTTGCATTTGATGAAAAAGAAACAGCATAACCCCTCGGTCTTATACAAATGAGCCACTTCCACACACTTTTCTCTTTGTTGCGCCATTTTCGTGTAAGTGTGATGCAATCTTTTGCTTCTGGGTTGTGTGGTCAAAAGAATTCAGAATTAATACATACATTGCTCTGTATGTTGTTCTCTCGGTGTAACAAATAATATATTGGAAAGTTGATAGAAATTCGGGGGGGGGGTATAAATTTGGAGAATATACTTGACACCGCTCATTTTGAATTTAAATAAAAAGAGCAATTGGGAAAATAGCGGAGTTGTTTCCCTTTACGGCAGACTGCCACCCGTGTCGCATAAATAATAAAAAAGCCAGTTCAAGTTTTTAGTAAAGGAAATGACTAAAGAAATAAAACATTGTTTCAACCGAAGAATTTGTAATTTTTTTTGGGAAATATCATAGAGAATTAGATTAGAAAGCAATCATTCTAAAAGTCTTCATGCTTAACATTATAACGTTTTTATAATTTATACTTTTGTTATACACGTATTTCGAAAATTGAGACGAATAGAAAATTTGAGCAAATAGTAAAGTAGATAAGCAACAGAAATATGTTTTCACGAATACGAACATCTGGTGGACCGCCTTACGAAGAACCGAGTGTTTACATAAATCTCCTCAAAAAGAAACATTTTTCATAGAATCGTGAACATGGCAATTTCTATTGCAATTTGGCATAATCTTCAACATTTTTGCTATGAAACATAGGGGGCTAAAAAAATTTTTGGAATTACGATAACTCGAGAATTTATCAGTCTGCGTTATCTCGTAATTGTTTTATAACATCATAAAATTGTTGAAGGATGACAGGTTGGTGAAAAAACCTAAATTTCTTTTCAAAAAAGTGACTGACGTTTATAGAGATGTGTCCTTTTTAGAAAACATCAAGCAGATTTATGTTGTTTCGCAGGGTTATAAAATGTGTCAAAAAATTTCTTCTGACTGAAATATTTTATTTGACGTTGATCACAGGAATACCATTTGCAGTTTAGATAAAGGTATTAAAATAAGATTAACACATGTAAGTGCAACTTTGTTAGTGTTGCAATTTTGTTATCGCAAATAGAAAGGATAATCTATCAATGTGATTGCCTATTAATCGATCTAAAATGTTTCTGAAAGTTGATAAGACGAAATTTATAATACTGGACAAATGCAATTCATTTGAAATACAAATTTTTAATCAAACCGTATTAATAGTCTAACTGAATTTCGAACGTAAAAATGGAAAACAAATATGTATTGGCAAGCTGAGAATAACTATAACATAATTTATTGAAAACTTCAAGTTTCAATGCATATTCTGTTTTCAAGTAATCTTCAACACAATTAACACAAACGTGTGTTAGTTCACTTAAACACAATGCATAAAACAATAGCAATCAGAATGATATATCCGCTCGTTTCCGATGAGTTGAAATAGGTTGTTAAGCACATACATCCACTATAATTTTTAATATCTTCTTCCGCAGTCTGGCAGGAAAAAAAATTATTTTACTTTGTTCTCTAAACTGAAAAGTAACCTCATTTTGGTTACAAAAATCTGTATCGCAGATATAAAATGAATTAGTGAAAGATGTGATTTGGTAATAACCTGCCTGAATTACAATTCTTGTTTCTTTTTTTGTAGAGCTTTTCTACATACCTTAATTTTTGAACCTTTTGCTACAATTTGGGATAAACATCCTGTATGTGAACGCGAAACAAAACAATATTGACTTTTGCATTCAATAAGCTGAAAATTAAACATGAATAATCAAGTAATTTCCAAAATCAACCTCTCCATTCACGTCATATCCAGCAAAACAGGAAACATTTTTATATTGGTTTTTAAAGACGGGCAATTTGTTCAACTAAAACATAATGCAATTTTATTCATATTTAATTGTGTGATCACATTTTTAAAAGCACAACTATACGCCGCTCTTTCTCCTTGTTGAAAATAATAGCAAGATTCGGTGGGAAGAATTAGTCCATAGTAATATATCCTAAAATTTTTAATTTTTAACAACAGTTATATTTTAAACCAAACCAATCTCCAAAATATTCAAGAACATATTCCATCGTACTGCAATCAATAAAAGGCGATTCAAATTCCTTGAAATATTTACATTAAATTATAAAGTCCAATCTCATCACCTGCGAAAATTTGCAATAATTTTTGAAGGGACAAGACGATTGATATTCATGTGGGCTTTCAAATAATTTAAGTGGACAGTCAATCAATGGATATTTTTGCGACTCCGTATTTTTCACGTAATTATCTTCATTACAGTAATCGTTATCGCTAAATAAAACATTAGAGATGTCGAGTTGTACAAATGTACAATACTTGCAAATACAAGATAGAAGATTATCGCCGGAATATGTACATCCGGTTTTTAACTTTGCTGGTGATATCATACAATCCTTAAAAACAAACTATAAACAAGTTATTATCAACTTCAAATAAACTTGATAAGTAGCGGTGCTACCATTTAAGTTTCCTTATTGATATTTGTATGATAAGTAAATGCAGTAATCACCAGTACAATTAGTGCATCTGAGTTTGAAGGAAATTGAGCATTGAAATTTGAAAATTACTTACGTGTTGTTTATCGTTACCAATGTGTCTTCACATTTCACACATTGAACCTCAGCAATGCATTGTTGAACTGATAGCAAAAATAAATGCAACAAAAGGAAGACTTTTGGCATATTTAGGCAAAAGTTTCTATAGAAACGCGAACGAAAACTTTATAGGTTCTGTTATGAGCTTACTAACAGGCAGATGAAATATATGAAATATGTGGTCAGGTGATTGTTCACATAACGATGCGGAAAAAATGATGAAGTGTTAATTTCTGAGAAATATCTAAACCAACATCTTGTAAAATCGATAGTTTTTTTGGGTAAAAATAAAACAAAGTTTCCTCAAATAAGGATGAAACAAGATTCATACAAAAAAGGTTTTAGTGAGAACTTTCTTCAGAATTCTTTACAGAATTCTAAAATGTGTGAATTATAGCTCTTCATTTTGAATCTTCTTGAAAATAAGCTTTTAAAAAGATAAATAAATTATTTTTAATCAAGTGATTAATCGAACATAAATAAAATTTCGGGAAAAATGCTATTTATACCATTTCTTTTAATGGTTCGGAATAACACGGTTAATTACTCATTGATTTAAAAATCGCAATTCAATTTTAACTTGTTTTCTTCCAATTTCTGAAGTAGGTTATCCAATAAATGGTCTGAATGCCGCAATAAAACCTCGCCGGCAAGGACATTTGAACATAAATGTGCTTGTGTATTTCAGCAAAACCTTCTCGATGTCAACAAACCTTCCCATTTTCAAATTTCGAAGTACTCGATTCGACCTATACACTATTAAGATGAGATTGATCTTTTCTCAAATAATAAACGATTTTTGAAATCAATGCTGACTCTCTTTAAAATTTTGAATACATTTGATTTGCACATTTCTTGAACTTAGCGCATATATTTTATCACCAGTTTTCTCATTTCCAACATTTATAAAAATCGACTAGACACGGAATTGTCGTGAAAAAAATGCCACCAATTTTTTCCAGCGATACTTGAAATATATCATCGAAATCCTTATATTTATTGAAATAGCAAAGAATTCTGGAATCTAGTGTCATTTTTCCAACAAAATATTTTTTCGAGCTCAATAGATATAGATTTTGAATTCTCGATTGTTCAATTACATAAAGTCCGACATTAATTTAATCGATATTAATTATCAGTCTGGTTTTTTTAGAAACTGGTTTTTTCTCACTCTTGAACTTTTTGTAGACAATTTATATTTCTATCTTTTTTAAAATCAAAATTCGGAAATCGTCTTTTAAGTTTCCTATCAAATTCAATTATCTGCCCGAAATTTTTTGTTGTTCGGCCTCTCGCTAACCCCCAACCGGCAGACCCAAATAACTAGAAACTTGATGTACAGTCAGAATCGATTAGTTGACGAGACACACATTGCAAGGTCAGCGCCTTCCGATTCGTTTCGCATTACTGGTTCCAAAATTCGCCATTACCTCTTCATCGACCACTTGCCTCTTCAATTCGGCAAAAAACGTTTCGAGATTATATTTTTTACAGTTTCAAGTTCGAGTTTCATTCAATTTTCGGTCAACACTTCAGAAAATATTTTCTAGGATACCGTAGCTCTTCATATATTCATAAAAACAACGATAACCTTATTGGTGTTCGAAATAAATGAAATTGGAAATCAAAAACTTCCTTGCCGATAACTGTCAACCAATACCGCTCCATTATTTTTTGAAAATTGTATCAGTTTATATTTGAATAGTTTACTTTACCCCCGTGTGGTGGACATTTCACTCTGTCCTGTCTATTTTCACTTTCTTTTTCATTTGCTATTGTCACCCACGCCGAATACAGACATACCCTATATCGAGATCAAACATTGTTGATTTAAAAACTAGACACTCAACATCTAAAAATCAATATTATGATATTCGATAATAAAATGATCATAATAAAAACATCTGGTTTATTTTTTTTACAGAGGATGGGAAAGCAAGATTTCGACCCAATTGACTATTGCGGACCACTCGTCGTTGGTTTCATCTTCTGCGTGGCTCTCTTCATTATTTCATTCTTCATCATCAACTTCTTCTGCATCACTAAATATGATGATATCACCAAGTTCGAATTGGTAAACGAAGAAATAAATAAATACGAGATGTGTAATTATCGATTTTAGCTTGGAGGTCGCTTCAATGTTCGTCTTGGACCACATCCATTGATTGTCGTACGCAAGGGTGGATTCGTTGCCAAAGAAGAAGTCGATGCTTCTTTGGAGTGAATTTAGAAATATATAGCCTACCCACTGAACTTTAAAAATACGTATTCAAAACTGTATTACTCTAATATCGCTAATAAACTCATTATTCAATGTTAAAATAATTGTTTTGTTTAACAATAAAGAATTAATTAACAAGGCACTTTTTTAAATTCAAAGGCAACTTATCATTTAAGTCACCTCATCGGAATCTAGATGGCATGAATTACTGATTTCTTTATATTCAAACTTTTTTTATAACTTTATTATAGTATATTTATGAGAATGCGCATCTCATCGACTAGATATTCGAATCGATAACTCGATATTTGTCAACTTCTCTTTAATCAAAGTCAAAATGAAACACATCCGTTAGCCATTTGCTCAACAAACTTGATTGCTTTTTTCGTTGACACGAATCCAATATTGTCTTGGAAACAGAGGGGCTTCATTTCGTCTCTCGCTTTTTTTCACACACACATCCTATTCGTTTTTAGATTGTCATTTCATTCAAATATATTTCTTAATCACAAAAAATAGTCTATATATAATTTCGACAGTCAGGAGATATATCATAGTTTATTCAGAAACTAGTAATAAAAATAATACTATAGCCGACAGAAAGAAGTTACGAATAATTTAGCTAATGCTTTTCACATGTTAGAATTAGATGTTGCTTTTGACCGAGCGGACAGTCTCATCAATAGCCTTGGCAACGTACTCGACGTTCTTAGTGTTGAGGCCACAAATATTAATGCGTCCATCAGAAAGAAGGAATACTTTGTGGTTAGCAATGAGATGGTTGACCTGGTTGACTGAAAATAATCAAAGTTGTCTAGTCATTTCGATACATAAAGCTAACCGTTCAAGCCGGTGTAGCTGAACATTCCAATTTGCTGAGTGATGTGTTCCCACGTTCCCGGAGTCTGAAGCTCCTCAAGCTTTCCGCGAAGAGCAGCTCTCATATCGCGAATGCGGCTAGCCATCGCGCCGATGCACGCATTCCATTGTTGGCGTCTTTCCGGAGTAGTCAAGACCTTGTGAACGATTCTAGCACCGAACGCCGGTGGGTTTGACCAGTTAGCACGAATGACCAACGACATTTGCGAAGCGAATCCAGCAAGGTTTGCTGGGTTGTTCATCACAATCGTGAGGTTTCCAACACGCTCATCTGAAATACACAATGACGTGTTAGTTCCTAATCGGTCACACTAACTGTATAGTCCAAAGTTCTTGGCGAACGACTGCGAAACGACCATTTCCAATCCTTGGTCAACGAAATAGCGGACCGCCCAAGCGTCAGCATCCGGATCGCCAGAAGCGAATCCTTGATAAGCAATGTCGAAGAAAGTGAACAAATTGCGCTTCTAAATGTTGGTGGTATTTAATGAAAACTTCATTGAATTGTGTTTTCAGTTTTACCTTGATCACTTCAGCAATTTGCTTCCATTGGTCATGGGTTGGATCCATTCCAGTTGGGTTGTGAGCACATCCGTGAAGGATTACAACCGATTTCTCCGGAGCAGCCTCCAAATCGGCCACGAACTTCTCAATGTGGACACGCTTGTTTTCGTAGTCCCAGTAGGTATAATCGCGGAGTTCAGTGAATCCAGCGTTCTTGAATACGAGCTTATGGTTGCCCCTAGAAATTATTTATTTCTATATTATCTCAACAAGGTCATTGACTAACCATGTTGGGTTACTGACGAAAACCGTCTTCAAGTTGAGAACCTTAGCCAAGAATTCCGCTCCCGCGCGCAAAGCTCCAGTTCCCGAAAGGCATTGAACTCCGAATGACTGTAATGGGTGGCTTGGTTTTCGAATTAAAAATGCAACCTACGCGTCCTTCCTTAATTGCTGGAGAGTTCTCGCCGAGAACAAGAGCAGTAGCAGCGGTTCGGAATCCTTCATGTCCGAGAACTGGAAGATATTCGTGATTGAGCGAGTCGTCACTAGCAATCTCCATTTCGGTGGTGTGAACGACAGGAAGAACCCATGGCTTGCCTTCCTCGGTGCGGTACGCTTAAATTAAATATACCGCCTTTAGGGAACCTCTTAAATAATTTACCTCCAATAGTCAAATTAACTTTTTGAGGAGAAGTCTCATCTAAGTAGAGCTTGTTTTTGTGGAAAACCTCAATTGGTGGAGCCACCGGAATACCGTCAAAGAAGGACATTCTAAAAAAATCGATTAATTTCCTTGAAGCAATGCAAACTAGATTAAATAGCGATTTCGATGCGAAAAAGAAAAGTGGTGCTTGAAACTGGAATAGATAAGACGACGATATATATTTTCTGTCTAAGTGATAACCAAAAATAAAAGTGGAGTGCGATATGATGACAAATGAAAACGATGATATTCCTAAAAAAAAATAAAAGAGACGCCAGGTCTCGCAGCGAAACTCTTATAAACAACAACAACGCTCATGCTGCCTTGCGACCATTGCGAAATCTAGGAAAAGAGCATAGAATACGAGGTGTTTTCTTCTCTCGCTCGCAATGCAGTTTTTCGACAACAAACCGCCCGTGCAATTGGTTTGAAAGGCAGAGTTTTTAGTAAAAAGGACGGAACGTGATTATTGGAAAGCAAAAGGGGTGTGAGGGTAAGGGAGGACGCAAAAACAATGACAGATAGTGCGGATTGGAGGCCGAACGTACAAGATTAAATAAATTGTCGAGTTCAAAGTTTCGGTGTATTTTGGAAAACGCTTAAAAATTTTGAATGGACGCTTTGCGAACGAGCAATTGCAGAAAAGAATGGATGTCATCGGGTCAACCAGTGACAGAAAAATTGTTTATTATGAAGATTTTCACATGAAAATAACATTATAACACTAGGCCTTCTCGCGTTCCATATTTGTAAAATAACTTTTTTGTATTATTTTCTCATATGACTTACATATTACTGCTAATATATTTTTTAACAGTAAATTATTGTTTCGAAAAATTTAATAGTTTTCCTTGTTTGCTTAATACAACAAACGAAGAGTCCAAAAGCAAATTGTTAGCATTGAGGTGAACGCTCAAAAATCAATTGAAATGCACATAAAAAATAGGAGAGTTGTGACTGCTTTCCACACTTCTCATCAAACATTGCCGGTATGCGGGAATTGAGCCGATTATACGAAAAATAGTCTATATTGTCGACGATGATTGAGAGTTTTTTCCTTCTCTGTCAGTAATCGAATATATTACTGCTTCCATTTTGCATTTTTTTTTTTGCCGCCAACACTCGAAATATCCAGTTACACCGTCATTCTACCTAGTTTTGACTCTCTTGTGGGTAACTTCAATATTTCAAATAATTTCTCACGATAGGTTTATTTTTTATGAGTTCGCCGAATGGTATGTGTGCGTGTGTGTTTGCGAGCTTCAACACGGGGCCGCTTTTACTTTCAAATAATCTTGTGACTCAATATATGTGTGCGTGTGTGTTTCTTTGAATAAATTGCCGACTTGATAACAAAACATTATTTCGATTTCAAAAATTGCTGACATTCAGAAATGTTCTCGCATCCCGACCGCGATAAAAAAGATGGGCATCGAGATGAAGAGCCAAACGACGGATCAGAGTTCAAATCAAAGAGCAGGAGCCAACCAAGCGGTCTCAACCGTGTCAAAAATCTATCGAGAAAATTGTCCGCAAAATCAAGGTACGTGGATATTAAAAGCTCGAGGCCGCAAAAAATGCAATCAAAACCCGAAAATTTGAACGCGCGTTATTGCGCAGCGATGACGTGATCACATTTATACGCATCGTATTGATCTCGGCGCATAAATGTGGTAACATGATGTCATATACACTTCACAGTTGTATTTCGCTCGTTAGCATTGCAACATGTACTCATTTTTATTCCAAAAATTATTACTCGTCTTCAAAAAATTTTTACGAGTTGCACTATTTCTGTTTGGTTGTTTGTCCGTCTAGTTTTTCTCTATTCAAATTCATAATCGCAAAAATTATCTGTTGACTTATGCTCTCAATTATGAATTAGTCACAAAATCCCATTAACAAAATTAGGAAATAATACAAGGCAAGATCAAAGGTCGAAGAAAAAATTGATGTTGCGACGAAATCAATTGCAATTACAAAATGCGCATTATTCGACTTGAACTGAAAAAAAGGATTTCTAGGAGTTTTTGCCATTATTATCGTCTCTGCATATCTTTTGTATTATCAAATTGTTTATTTGCCCTTTTCTTTTTTGCAGAGAATTTTATATATTTTTTTATTTAATAAAGATTTGCGGAAATTGGCTAGGTCTCTACATTTAACTCAATTTTTCATTCTTGCATCAAATGAGAAACAACTTTTAAAATAAATATTTTGCGTCCTTCCCTTTATTAAAAACGCTATTGGCCAAGAAATGCTCAATACGGTGACCAATCGAATTACGAATTTTCATTTTGTGTCCTCTCTATCAATTTTGTCCATGAATTTAAATTCCATACGACTAGGTGCATCAATAGAAATCCTATTTCTTCTAGATTAAAAAAGAGAATAAAAGGACAATAGATTATAATTCGAAAATTCAAGATTTCCTTTAGCATGTAAATGTGCGAGACGTAGAGAAACGAGACAAGGCGATATAGTGTTGAGAAATACGATGCTATACCCGCATGGCCCCGCCGCAGAGTCACATGCACGTGTATCAAAACAGACACCATCTCCTCTCGGTTTTTTTTCTCGGTGACACTGTTTTTTTCTTTCCACCCCCTTCAATCATTCGGTTTGGTTTGCAAGTGTAGCCTCTACCAATTAGTAAGGGAGTGCTTGAAAAAAATTGGAAGCATAGAGAAGAGGGTTGCTTGGTAAATCGCTAGTTGTTATCTATATCGATAAGAAACCCTGATCATTACCCTCGCCTCAAAACCATTTATCATATAAGCCCGTTTTCCGATTTTTCGAAAATCGAAAAATATTTTTGACGACAGTGCACAACGTTTTGTTTTTCTACTAATGAGATGATGAAAACAAGCGCCGTCGGAGTTATGTTTGTCTTTACCTCGCGAGAACCCCAGCCACCGCTTTTATTATCGCCATTTGCGGCAAACTCCCACACTGAATTGCCTGGCTTCGCTCGTTGTTACACGTTTGACCTAGATAGACAGCATTAACATTCAAATAATCCGTAACTTGATAGATAATCTATAATACAAAGGTAGTGTTTAGTCGTCTTCGTCGTCGTTTTTCTTTTCATCACTGGAACATCTTTGCTTTTTTATTTAATATAAGAATCCATCAAGTGCAGTTGGGTGTGCTATTCAAATTTGTTTTATCAACAACATTTGTTGATTAGAGTGTGCATTTCGAATTTTGTATTAATCAACACAGCTCAAAATAATTGAAATTCGTGAATTTTGATGGTTTCTCAGAAAGAAATTTTGCAAATCTCATTATTTTTAGTGAATTGCCGAATTGCACGTTTTCCTGCGTTTAAGCAAACACATTTCGATCGTAGATATTTCAATTTTCACAAATTTCGCGCTTAGAAAATTGTATTCTTATACCAATTATTTGGAAATGAAATAGTTTAGATTGCAATCTGATTGTCGGGTTCCCATTCTAGAACAATTCCCTCATTTTTTTCCATAACTTTTCCTTGCTGCGTAATTGCTGAGCGTACTCCGTGTTTGTTTACGCGCAAACAAATCGATACTGACCGATCAGACTGTTTTTTTTTCCGAAAACCGAAATTTCGCATTCAATTTCGCGGGGCCGCGTTCTCGGAGGCGGTTTGCTGCGTGCGGCTGCCAATGGGGCAGAAGAGATAAATGTAAGAAATAGTGCTCTGCAGCGTTGCACACATACAGTTGTACTCTGCTACCCTGCCGCTTTCAACGGCGAACGTTGCGTTGCCTCTCCGGGAGGGGCAATTTTCCATTTACTACGGGCTTCGCACAACAAACACGTTGAAGGACCAACGAAACGCGTCTACACGCCCATTTATTTTTTCGGCAACGCCTCCGTTTTGCCGCACAATTTTAATTGTCTTTCGATATCAATCTTGTCGCAGCGGGTTGACGAATATATTCATTTCTCTGTTTTTACAGGAAAGAACGAAAAGACCGTGACGGCAACGATTCAATAATGTCGTCGCCTGGAAACGAAATGCATGTAAAGGAGCAAAATGGTCAAATCAAGATCGGTCATTATATCTTGAAAGAAACACTCGGAGTTGGAACATTTGGTAAAGTCAAAGGTGCGCTTTTCTTATATGGCCTCCCTTAACATTTCTTCATAATTTTCAGTTGGCATTCATGAAGCTACGGGCTACAAAGTTGCCGTCAAGATTCTCAACCGTCAAAAAATCAAATCTCTCGATGTCGTGGGAAAAATTCGCCGTGAGATTCAGAATCTCTCCCTTTTCAGACACCCACATATTATTCGTTTGTGAGTTTCTTTTCGAAAATGATTCAAAAAATGAATCAACCGAAATATTGAAGGTATCAAGTGATCAGCACTCCATCGGATATCTTCATGATAATGGAGCACGTCTCTGGCGGTGAACTCTTCGACTACATCGTCAAGCACGGCAGAGTAAGACAACATCAAATCTTGATTAGTGGTAAAACGTCTTAATTTAGCTCAAAACCGCGGAAGCGCGCCGATTCTTTCAACAGATTATATCTGGCGTCGACTACTGCCATCGTCATATGGTTGTTCATCGCGATCTCAAACCGGAAAATCTACTCCTTGACGAACAAAATAATGTGAAGATAGCCGATTTTGGATTATCAAACATTATGACCGATGGTGACTTCCTGCGCACAAGTTGCGGCTCGCCCAACTATGCTGCTCCGGAGGTGATTAGCGGAAAGTAAGAACAACTCGAATTTGATTTAAATTCAAATTTCAATTGATTCAGGTTGTATGCCGGCCCTGAAGTTGACGTATGGTCTTGCGGTGTCATTCTATATGCTTTGCTTTGCGGAACTCTTCCATTTGATGATGAACACGTTCCAAGTCTTTTCCGCAAAATCAAATGTATTTGATATCAATAATAATCATTTTAAAGTAATCATAATTGCAGCGGGCGTGTTCCCAGTTCCAGACTTTTTGGACAAAACTATCGTTAACTTGCTCTTGCACATGCTCTGCGTTGACCCAATGAAGCGAGCAACAATCAAAGACGTCATGTGAGAATTATTGACGATGTAATTTTGAAATCATGTAATTTTTATATTTTTAGCGCTCATGAGTGGTTCCAGAAGGATTTGCCCAACTACTTGTTCCCACCAATTAACGAGAGTGAAGCGTCTATTGTCGATATTGAAGCTGTTCGCGAGGTTACTGAACGTTACCACGTTGCCGAAGAAGAAGTGACGTCAGCGCTTCTCGGAGACGACCCACATCACCATTTGTCGATAGCTTACAATCTTATTGTGGACAATAAGCGCATTGCTGACCAGACAGCAAAACTCTCAATTGAAGAGTTCTATCAAGTCACACCCAACAAACAGGGAACTGGGCCAATCTATCGTCATCCGGAACGAATTTCGGGTATTGTGCAAACCGCAATTTATTGCTAATTGAATTTTTCAGCTTCTGTGAGCTCGAAGATTACACCGACTCTTGATAACACTGAGGCTACCGGAATTACCGGCCGTCACAAAAGAGCGAAATGGCATTTGGGAATTCGCTCACAGAGTCGTCCAGAGGACATCATGTTCGAAGTCTTCCGCGCTATGAAACAACTTGACATGGAATGGAAAATTTTGAATCCGTATCACGTGATTGTTCGTCGACGCCCGGATGCTCCAATTTCCGACCCGGTAAGATTATTTTTAGATAATCTTGTAAGTTGTGAAGGCAAAAATGAGACAATTTGCAATATCAAACGTTTTATATTAAATATTTGCTAACGAAAACAAAAATAGAATTTTAATGAAATTGATTTCGCTTTGCAAAACGAATTCCGATGCAATGGTCTTGTTCTGGGAAAACTCGGAAATTAAATTATGAATGGATTATTTAGTAAGCAAAATACCAATTTTGATATTTAATCGGCTCTAATCTGGAGATTTAATAAAAAAATTATTTTAGCCGAAGATGTCCCTCCAATTGTATCAAGTCGATCAGCGCAGTTACCTGCTTGACTTCAAGAGCTTGGTCGACGAAGATGGGCCATGTGAGCAATGCGCTTCGAATGTCCGAGTAAAAAAAAATGATTTATTTTTAGCAAGTGCTTCTTCGTCTCGTCATGCATCGATGTCAATGCCACAGAAACCAGCAGGAATCCGAGGAAGTCGCGCTTCGAGCATGCCGCAGGCCATGAGCATGGAAGTAAGAATTTGCTATTATAGTAATCAAAAGTAATGTTTGAAATGGTTTTAGTGTGACGTCACTCCACCACCGTCGCCAGGAGGACCGAAGCTTTCTCAGACCATGCAATTCTTCGAGATATGCTCTGCTCTTATCGGAACATTGGCTCGTTAAAGTCCATCGACACTGTAAATTATAATTTGTTGTTGCGAACGTATTCTTATTTTTGTTGTTAGAATCTAGTTGACTTGTTCGAACTATTCATTCTTTTGTAACAATGCTTGTAAAATTTATCTTAATCTGGTTTCTCATCTCTGTTTGTTTCCTATTTCTCTCTTTCTCGGAATTTCGCATCCTCGAAATCGTCTGTAACATAATTCAATTGTTCTCTGATACCAGACATAGAGTCTGACAAAAATCCAAACTTCTTGTGACTTTTTATCCGTTGAAAAATGTTTTTTTTTCGGCTTCTCTTGTTTCACCTAGAATTTTGACAAACAACTGATTCATCGACTTTCTTATTTTTGCAGAAATAAAGAAACGATTAGAGAAAAAACCATTTATTTGTTGTTGAAAAATATCGATGAGCACCAAAAAGGCAAATTACTTTACTTTAGATATTCAATAAATAAAAACGGCGCGATAATAAAATCAAAATATGCTTGAAAAAAATATATAGTAGCAGTTTCTATGTCAAGGCGAGAATGACACGCATTTAGCAAATATCGGAGACAGTTGTGACAAGTTTGCCGTTGACGAAGGTTGTTTTGAATTGCTCCGGGACTGGGAACTCGACCTGCAAAAATTGAATTCAAAATGGATTTTGAATAAATATTCTTACGTAATCTCCATCTTCGGTGGTTTGAACAAGAATATTCATTTCGCTCGACTTTGAAGTAATAATTTCCGCACCTTGCGCAACCTTCGAGAGGTAAACTTGGCAACCATCTGTCTTTTGAATGGACAATGTTGGCAATTCTCCAAGCGTCTAAAAAATTGGAGAATTTTATCATTCAATTTAAGTTAATTGTACCTGGATTTGAATGCTTTGGCAGTTGATTGTCTCACATTGGGCAACCAAAGCGTCGAAAACAATCGACGTCTTCTTGCAGCCATCCAAGGTGATCGAGTTGGCTTTTCCATTGACCTTTATGACACTGTTTTCGCAGCGGAAAACGTAGATTGTTTGCTTTTTGTCGTTGACATCAATGACAATGTTTGGATCGTTCACAAAGTATTCCTGAATGATTTATCGCATGAATTGATGGATTGCCAAATCTCTTCATACCACATTCCATTGTTTACCATCCTGAAGCTCCTTGCGTGATGGCTTTCTCACCGGTTGAGCTGGCTTTGCAGTCGGAGCAGCTGCTCCTTGAGACTTCGATGGGACCGGAGCAACATTTCCACGGAGGTTTGGATTCTTATGTGTTTGCATATCAGCAGTAACCTTTCTCAATCCGGAAGTGATTGCTTCTCCTTTATTGAGGGAGGCGAAAAGAGCGTCACGATTAGCCTGAAAATGAGCAATTTAAAATTGAAAATTTGCAATTTTTCCAACCTTGTCCTTATCAACCGCTGCAGGCGCTGGAGGAAGATTGGCGAACAAATCAGCTGGAATTGGTGGCGGTGGTGGCATTGATGGACCACCCTTAACTGGAGCCGGAGCTGCTGGAGCAGCCGATCCACCGCTTGGTGGAGCAGATCCAGGAGCACTATTCCACACAAGTCCAGTCGTATGAACTTGGCGCACAAACTTTTGCATCTCATCGAAAATTTCACGCCATGCCTTTGTCCATTCAACATGACGTGGGTCAGTCTCCTATCAACAACATTATTCACTATCATAAATCAGATTATTAAAATTTACCTTGAACTCATTGAGAATGCGGTTGACAAAGAACATCGAGGCATCGATGTATTCCTTGATGTATGGTCCAGGAGTTTTCTTCTGAATACATGAATATTATATTGTACATAATAGAAAGTCCTTTATCACCACTACGACCCATCCCACGGCTGGCAAACCCTCAGCGATAGTGCTCAAATGATTGAATTGCGGTGTGTTTCTTTTCGAGTCCTGAAGGCAATTTTTTTGGGTTATAATATATCAAGACAGCTGCTCGCCTTGAACGAGGAAATGTCGTTCATCAGCTCAATCATCGGAGCGAGCATCTTTTGCGACTCCTGTGCAGAAGGCTCTTGCATTCCAGCAGCAGTCCACAAATATTTTCGAAGATTATCGAAAACTTGGAGAACTTTCGGCTTCTGAAAGAGAGTAATTCGATAGAATTAGACGAATTGGCATCTTACCAAAGTGGCAATATCTCCTCCAATTTGATCAGTCAACTGCTTCCATTTCTCAAGAGCTCCTTTAACGGCATCATCATAAGCACGAACGTGAGCTGGTGCATCTTCTGTAGCATGTTGATGTCCTGAAATATAACTTGCTAGTTCGAATGTCAGCGAATGTTTTCCTAGAACCTCTATCCTGGTCAATAAACACTACTTTCTTTGAGGAAGTTCTATGAAGGGAAGGATTTTTAATTAAAATTCCTTGCAAATTATCGCCGTCCATTCCATTTCTACCATTACTTCGCCCATCATCATGAAGATACTTTGGCAAAACACGACGAGCCATCTCTTCAATATCCAAATCACTTTCATTGTCGTAGGTTGAAATTGGCGAAAGCTCCAATCGCTTTGGAAGCGAATTGTACTCTTGCCTAGGTAAGTGAGGATGTCGTTGATTTGTATATGAATGACGATGTCCGAAATGTGGTTTGTCGTAGGGAATTGGATCTTGAGGCATGTGCACATTGATATTTGGCTCAATGATGGCCACGGGCGGTTGAGAAGTATCTCGTCGGTTTTGTGCATCGTATTGATCGGTGTGACTGTTATAAGTGTGGCGGTTACTTGTGAATCCGTTTATAACAGTTGGCACAGTGCGATTGAATACTTTCGATTCGACTGGGCTGAATATGCGTTCATCCACAGGAGGTTGATTAAATCGTTGAGGTTGTTCGTTATGTTGAAGATCGATGTTGTTTTCGCGAATTGGTGATGTAAGCCTGGCAAAATCGCGGAGAGGCGACTGAATTCTCGTACGTTGATATTGTGGCGGTGGGTAGTTCTGGATGTCCTGATTTGACGGTGGTTGAGGTTGGTGATTTATATTTATGTATGGCTCATGATTAGCAATGGGATGGATGTGGAGAACTCGATTATGCGACAATGGAATAGGCTCATTAGAGAAAGATCCCGAATTTCGATTCGATTCGTAGGTCGATCCTCGAGTTTGTCTTTGCTCGCGATGATCCCGATAAACCGCGGCGTTGGTGGGAACATTTTGATATCCGCTAACATCCATTCCACTTTGTTTTGTATCTTTTGGGTAGCTTGATTGGGTGTTAGAATAAGTACCGGATGGTTGACGAGCTGGTGAAAATGCAAAGTGGTCGCGACGATCATAAAAATTTGACGACGGAGGCTGAGAAATGCAAGAATTCAGCTGTGGGCTCGGCTCACGATGAAAACGGCGATCAATCGAATGTGTTGAGTAGTTTTGTGGAGGTTCGGCTTGGTAATACTGATAGTTTTCCGTAGTAGGCATTGGCATTGAAGGCGAACGAACTAATGGTCTTGAAACCGCCGAATGATCTTGATAGCTATTTTCGAGTCGGAATTTATCGAAGTTCGACGAGAGAGACGATGACATTGGAGCATTTCTCAAGAGATGTTCGTCTCGGAAAGCTTTTGGAGGTGGCGGATCATTCATCCAATTTGGTTCAATAATACGATTACGGAAGAAGCCGTCAAGTCTGCCAGACGAAGTTGTTACTGGCTGTGAGTTGTAATAAGAAGGCGGAAGATTGTCAGTCGAAAGATCGGATTGCGTTTTAGCCAGACGCCGAGGCTGATGTTGCTCTTGTTGTGACCATTCAATTTGTTTGTGGCGCTCCGCCTCATGACTCGGCTCATACCTTCCATAAAAATTTGACGCTGTTTGTTGCCGACTCTCATTTTTCGCGATTTCTTCCTTCTGACGTTGAAGGTTTCGTAAAAAGTCGTTCTCCCGTTTGACAATCGCAGTTGAATGGCAGTGAACATTTTGTTGAGTTATCGGCGCAGTGTTATAAATCCTTGGCATCTCGCTAACTACAGGGCTCTGGGGGATGTATCCGGAATCGTTGTTGCAATACTCACTGGACACAGATAATGGCGAGAGTTCTCTAGGTGAGTATATCGAAGAATAATTATCGAGTAGGGTCGATGAGCTCTCAGTACGAAATGGTTTGCGGGATTGCGGCTCGTCTTGCCAATTGCGTGTGTCGTCGAGGGTTGGGAAGCGTTGTAGGCTGGATGAATACTGATCACTGGTAGCAGGCGAAAATGACGACCAACTGCTTGAAGGTCGTAGTTTTCTATTCGAATAATCGTCTTGCATCGGTCGGTACCCTCTCGGATATTTGTTGAATGGTCGCGGAGCAGAGCAATAAATGGAATCCATATTGGGCGGGCTAAGTGATTTCTCAGAACATCTAGAAGCGACTATGAGACGGATAACTGGTGGTAGTAGATAATAGTGTGAACCACGAAAAAAACGGAATAAAAATGTAGATGCAGAAAGATAGGCGACTTATCCGTGGTTAGGGAGAATGTACACCGCTTGAAGAGCAACTGTTGAACTGGAGAAAGAACATGCGTTGGACAAGTGACGAAAAGAAGAGAGCTGGAAGTTTTTACTGATGCTAATGTTCGCTGCTCACACTTTCTCACTTTAAACATCGTGCCATACAGCGACATGCTGTTCACTAATTGATAAACGAAATATCTTTGAAGATAGACAAAAAAAACGAACGCTCCCACGCGTTGAGGTTAAGATTTTTGTAACATATTGCTGCTCCTCGGATCAATCTTTTCTAATAGAAAAATGTTTAGGGGGCTAGATTACGTGTCCTATATAAATTATGAGAATTTCTATGAAATCTGAAGACAAACTCTTGTTCATATATACAACATCGAAAATTGCGAATGCTGGTAAAGTAACTCCACTGTCAGAAAGGCTATGAAAATTATTATTAAATAAATATCGGGAATGATATTTCTATTATATATGATTTACGTATTAAAAGTGTTTTAGCAGCTTACCGATGATTTTGCGAGCACCTATACGGAAGCACATTGTTTGAATGAAGGAAACCAAAAATAGAAAACCCGCCTCAAAGAAAACAGTTAGTCATCGACCGAGAAAATACAAAACAATTTGTCATTCTCTAGTTAGTTTTTCCTCTCTTAGAAAAATTGAAAAATTAAATATACCTCCAGCAGAGGCAAGGTTACTTGGCTTTGGTGCGATCGCTGGCTTATGGGCGCAAATCGCTTCAAGACGAACAGTGACTTGTTCAAGACGCTTAAGCAACTCTTCTTGCGAAGCCATCTCGACAATCTGAAAATGAGACTATAATTTGGTGGAAATTGCGGAATGAAACCTCGCTGTCTTGAAACAGCAAAAAATACGTTTCATAGGCGAATAAGGAGGTAGATATGCGAACACTAACAGTAAAAAGTATCAGATTTCTAAGGACAAGCTCATGCATTTGGAATGAGTGGTTCGAAGAAAGATTGAAGTCGGTGAATTAATAATCAAAGAATGTAAACAGAAGAACGGAACGAAATGCTATTTGACACGAATGTTCTGGCAATTTTCATCATAGATTACTATCTTGTGACCAATATGAAACATTTATGATAAGACAAAAACAATTGACAGCGTTTCAAACGTGATGACTAAACAAAACATCGACCATTTCTGGTTAAATTTTGAATAAAATGATGTACGGTAGAGCGCGATTTACTACATTAACGCATTCTAAATTAAACGCGACATGGGAAGACGTCGATTGCGAAATTTCCGCTCATGACTCATTATTGAACAATTGAAACTTCATGCTTTTCAAAAAGAAAGTGTTTCGACATTGGAAATAATAATTAGAGCTTTGAAAATTTATATCAAAATTGATTTTGTTATTGCTTATTTTTAGAGTTCATGAATTTAATTTGCTGCATATAACAATGTGTGTTTTACTGTCTGAAGAAACCTTTTTATCGGGCAAAAATAAATTGGGCAAATTTGTGAAGAAAAAAATTCAAAAAGAGCTCCTTTTTTTCATTAAAATATATGAAGTTGAATTTTCTATAGTGTTTTGAATGAGACTTCACGCTGCTATGAATTTAAGACTACATCTTCGAACATGGTAGATTTTCAAAACATTTAATAGGCGGTATTAAAATCTTTCTTACACTGAACAGCGTCCTTCAGCGACAGTTTTTTTTTGCGTCCAGAGGAGTTATTAGAAATTGGGGGAATAATTAATGGGAATTTTCAAAACCGCATCAATAAAACAAAACAAACATATGATAAGCATCATCGAGATGAGAAAAAACGAACGGATCTGAAGATAGCGAAAAAAAATCAAGAGCATATCCGGATCAACATCTCGCGACGTTTTTTTTCTTATTTTTGTTGTGGGGGCGAACGACTGCTCAATCGATAGCTGCTGCCCGGTCTATGTCAATGTGTTTGGTAGAAGGGTTTTCTTCAAATGTTTGCGCTCTCCGTGGATGTTCGCACTATTTCGGCCCTACAGCTCCGATCAGTTGAGCCTGTTAACCTAACATCTGTTCCTATTTTGCGGCACCACAAAATGCGTCGGGGTGCCCTTGCCAAATCTTCGCGTTGGCGAAAACATCACATGTTCGATGTCTGAGGATTAAACATCTCATTCATAACTCAATGCGATACTGAAATTGATAGATCGTAAAATTGTAAGGGTGTGGAATAAAGGGACGATCATTTACATATTTTGAACGTATAAAATGATTACGAAATTGTAATAGTTTCTCACATTAATTGTTCTTTTTTTAGGTTATTCTTACTTCAGAACTGTAATCAGATGACTTGCCATAATTAAAGTACGTACACACATATAAAAAGTTTACAGTTTTGCTGAAAATATAAGTGGCACATTTTTCAAGCAACGATTGAAATTGTCGGGAAAAAATCAATTAATTTAAAGGACATACAAATTCACGTTAATCAAAGCAAAAAAGATTTATATAAAGAATTTATAAACCACAAAACGATATTACAGTGAGAATTTCTTTTCATCCACACATTTCTATCTCCATTATCGTTCATTGGTATTTTCTGAACATCATCCATAACCGAAGAGAAATACACAGGGGTTCAAATATAGGTAGTAAAATTTTATTATCAAATCACTGAAAAATAGAAAAATGTTATAATTGGTATTATAAATAAAAATGAGAGAATATATGATATCTTCCTTCAATACCGGTGTTCAGTCTGTCAGGATTGTTCATTCAGTTTATTTACTATTAAACTTTTTAACGAAATGCTTCGCGACTTCCATTGGATACGGTACGACGATGGTGTTGTTCCTGTAAACATTGCACATGTTCTGGGAACCGAAAAATATTTACCTCTCTGCTGCAACCTTGGTGAGTGTTTGCAGATATCTTAACTGGATTGTCATTTTATTTGAGTAAATAATTTCAGCGGCACTATTAAGACATCTGAAATTGTTTTCTTTTGTTTAGCAAAAAAAAAAAACCGATTTTTTACTGGCTAGCATCCTTCTCCCCTTGTGCTGCAATTATAGCAGCTCTAGCTTGTCGAACGGCTTCCGCTTCAGCCGCCATACTTCTCATAAGTTGATGTGGCAGTCTAATGTCCTTAATTTCAACTCTTTCGACTTTTACTCCCCACGGATCAGTTCCTTCATCAAGTACTTTTTCAGTAATCTAAATTATTTGTTGTGACTATTCCGTGACAGTCAATCATTATTAAATACACTGGCAATTGCATCGCGTTCACTCAGCATTTCACTCAACGTTTTTGTACCAAGGACGTTTCGGAGTGTGGTTTGTGCCAGCAACCTTGTACTAAATTGAGCGTCGTTTACATTCGTCACGGAAATGACCTGTATGAACAATAAGACATCTGTTCTGTATGCCAACCAATTACCGGATTCGAGACTCGGAAATAAATAACTGCTTCAACCGATACTGTCACGGAATCTCTACTCAAAATTTCTTGCGGGGGAACATCGAAAGACAAAACTCGAAGATCCACCTAAACTCTCAAGTTTCTCTAGTAATCAAAAAAACTGTCTTACTATTTTCATGGTGTCGATGCATGGAAGAACAATAAATAGTCCGGGACCCTTTGTTCCTCCGCGAATCAATCGTCCCAATCGAAAAATTACGGCTCGTTGATACTCTCTTGAAGAACAATGAATTGTGAGAACGGAATAATTAATGCTGACGTACTTTACAATTTTTACACAAAAGAATAGACACCAAGGAAATGAAAGAATAACTAGTAGAAGGGAGAATGCGAACATCATGTGAGAAATTAACGGTGGCGGTTCCTGTAAATACGATTTATTAAAATTAATTATAGAAAAAATATTATTTTGAAAAGTATAATAATTTCCTGATTTTTTATTTTCAAACTATCTAAGTATTCCCAATAAAAGTAAATAGTGTATTCTACTGTGTAGAAATATGCATTTTGGTTTTCTAAAAATTTTATTTAATTGATTGAATTCAGTAAATCTGTTTGCAATATTTATCTTTGATAACTTTTTTATGTTATATGGATGTCATTATTTGTATATGAATTCTCACCCGCTCCTCATGAAGAAGATGTCTTGTCCGAATAAGCCAACTTTGTGATCTTGCACGCATTGGAATCTTTTCAATGGCATCCTGGAATTGTGTAAATTATATTTGTTGTTAAAGCATTTAATTTTTCTATTAAATTATTTTTATTATTTCTTAACTTACTCGTTTGTGCGGTGGCGGGTCACCCTTATCAAGACCTAATGTTTTCACATCAGGTACAAACAATAAATTTGGATCAATTGACATTTTGGGTACGGGATCATCCTTCACCGAAGCTGTGCTACTTTGACGAGAATCAGCATCATTACTATACCCAGTATCTTCGGATTGAAGAGTATGAATACGCCGCATAATTCGTTGACGACGTTCCCGTGCATTCATTTTGTGCATTGGAATGTCGAGCACGACAACTGTTTTCAAAAAAAAAAGCAAATTATTCAGTGGTAGAATCGTTAAAACGATAATAGTTCACGAAAAAATGAGCAAGGCTAATTGCTGTTAAAGTGTGTGTGTGTGTATCATTGAATTATTTGAAAAAAAATATATTATAAAAAATTATTACCGCCTTTTTCAGTTTGGGTATGAGCTTAATTTTAAAAAACCAACGTTAGATTTTTTCAAGATGAATAGCAAAAGGTAGTATATAAGAGATTTTCGGCAAATGTCCTTTTTTGTCGATCAAAGACGGCAATCGGCTCCCACGCTTTCTGGCGTGCTAAATTTGTTATTAAGCATCCATATATTGTTCCCAAAAGTGAAATGAAATATATTCTATATCCGGTGACTATGAATTCCTTTGGAATGATTCAGTCGTCGTGAAAAATCTTTTTAATATATAGATAAATTTTCAAAACTGAACGCGATGAAATATGTCTACTTTGCAACCGCCAAAAACCTCATCGTCAAGAACAGATGTTATGTTGAGAAGTCTCATCAAACTGCGAACAAGAGCCGTTGTAACATGTTTGAAAATTTCTGCCTAGGAGTTCTTTAGTGTTGATGATAAAGCTTAAACAAATGTTTTTGATAAGTAATGGAAATGTTGAATATACATGTGTGAAAATGGTTCGTTTAATAACGGAAATTGTGGGGGCTATTCAACATACAAATTGAGTCAACGGATAGAGAAGCAAAATAAATACATTTGTAATGCAAAACCTTTACTAAGTTCATACTTTTTACTTGGGTAAAACTGGAAAAAAATACTAGCAAAAATATCTTGAACCAAATTTTGTTTGCGAGCTCAAATCTTTTCAGATTTAAGACGAATAGCGTAGTGTAATTGAAATCAATTTGAAAATCGCTTGGTTGTCGTCGGACTGATGATTTCGGATGTAGTTGTCATTCGGAGGAATTACAACAAATGACGGGACTTGAGGACACAATAAATCAAAAGACACGGAATGTCGCGGCGTGAAAGCAACAGCTCAAAACGATGGCTCCTCTTTTTCAAAATTCAGCCAATATTTATTAGCTACTTAAATGATGTCTGTCTCAACTTCTTGCTTTCACTGAAGTACATACATACACATGTACGTGCAAGTTTATGAGTTTGAGAAAGCTTTTTAAACCGCTGCAATTTTTTTAACAGAAAGAACGGCTCAAAAGCGTTGTGAAATGATTTGTTTTTTTTTTGTTTAAACTCAGCTTCACAAGAGGAAAACGTTACCACTTAGGAGTGAAAAAATAATAAGATTTCTTATAAGCGGGTTTTTTGAACCATGTGTAATTTTTCAAGTCGCAAGCAGAAAAATAAGTCGAGTTGCTTTGAAGTTGTATTTTTCAACAATACTATTTTTAACGCAAGACTTTTGAAATTAATTCATGATATTCTTCATTAATGGTAATATTTTGAATTTATTAATAAAGAAAAGACCGTAAAAAATTATTCATGGGATTATTAGAGATTACAATCAACTTAGATTTAAAAATGACTATCATTTTCATTGTAGCAGCTTCTTGGTGTTTCATTTTTTATATTAAAATAATTTTGATATATGCGTAGAATTTTGCTCAGATAATTAAGTCGAATCGTACGTTCATTAACAATTTTAATACAAAATGATTACTTTGATATATAATAAGACGATGCAAAAACAAATTTACATATACAACAAATACATGTACGTATGCGACAAAGCTGATAGTTAAGAATGGGAAAATATTACATTTTATAACTTGTTGGAAATGTTTATATTGCAAGTATAGCACAAAAATATTTTATGGTCATTGCACTTTCAAGAATTTTTCATAAATTTTCTTTCGTATTGATGCACTTGTTACTTAACTACCTTCCGCACTTTTTTTTCAATCCCTCAATTTTTCTCTTTCTTGGTATTATTTTCATATATGAGTATTTATGGTAGTTTTTCAAAAATTTTCACACGCCTATATTTTGGGCAACTGGCGAATATTTTTTCCCACATATCAAAAAAAAAAAACAGATGGTACTTATTCAACTCACCTCGAGATTAATACCGGAGCTTGCATGTGCCATTCCGCGTTTGCGAACACTTCGATGCCTGAAATATTTTACGATTTTGAACTGCGTGTTTCAACGATAATTATAGAGCACAGAATATGTCGTCACAGTGACTAGATAATTAGGCTTAGGATCTTAGAAACAATTGAGAGTATCTAATGTGAATCTTCTAACAGATTACTTCAACCAGCTTTGAATCACAAACAAAATTTTACTTGACTAAAAAATGCAATATAACTACGCAAGCAATATATTTTAAATACAGTAAGAATTATACATGTTTTTTCACCTCAATTTCAGATCTCATTCAAAAACGATCAATATTGACAATATTTCGGTGAAAAATTTTGGTGATCATTGAAAAAAGAACGAACTAAATATACATATCGCTTGTAAATTAAATATTTTCCTAACCCTGCAATTTCTTTAACGTGTTTTTACTACTTGACATGGCAACCAAAATATAATACATATTAGTTCACCAAATTTTCCGGCAAAATGTCTTTTTTCAATTTACAGCATTTAGAACCTGCATTTATTAGTCTGAATAACATTCTAAAAGATTTTAATTGTTGTAATTGTTATTTGTAGTAATAGTACTATTATTATTAAAAACCATTATTATTATTATTTCAATGCATTGTGGTAGTAATTTCATAAGTAAACTGCTACTGTAAAGGTTTTTGGCTTCGTTTCATTTTATTATTTTTCAATTTGATGAATCCGTTTATCAATAATCTTCATGCAATATTGTAAACTTCTTTTTGCAGAAGAACCAAGTATTTTCGCTCAACCATTTAAAAATGCATGGCTAAACTATTAGCATGCATGATATCAAAACTAAGAACCGGATTTTCCAACATTTTCTGAAGGTCTAACTTTTTGTAACCAAAACAGATGCGCATGGTAATTAGGAAATATCAAATTAATATTTTAATCAATTATTTTATTTAAGAGAGGTTACACCGCGTATGTGATATTCTCAATATTAGCTGTTTACTTCCTAAGAACTAAGCAATTACATGTAGGAAATGATATTATCTCTAAATTTTTTGATTAGTTGTATTCATAACACTTCTTCTTTTTAATTAATTTTTTCACCAATGATCATTGATAAACATTTCATTGAATTAGTCATTGTTAGTTTTACTGAAGATCCTTGGAGTGACGATTATTTTTGAAACCTTTTGGAAAGAGATAATTGAAAGGTGTTTGGTTTTCTATAAATCAACTTCGATAATTGTATATTGTCCTTGAAGCTTAGCTCGTTTTTTTGGTTTAAAACTTGCGAAAACAAATATCTCAAGTGCTAAACAAATCCAAACTACGTTAGTATTCACATTTCCTTGATACATTAATAACTGAAATTCAACATAATACAAATAAAAATCACCTGCGAAATGACTTCCGAACATTTCTGAAAAACGATGAGGGTGACGATGAAGGGAGCATGACCAATAGAACAAATGTCGAGGGTTAGGCACCAGAATTCATGCAACGATATTGAGAAGAGTTTGATAACCAAGTACACAGTTGGCGGCGGGTAATTGAGAATCTTAGCTTTTGTTCACTTTCTGTTCAACGACGTTGTGAGAAATGAATAATTGGCAGTAGAGAAGAATAACTAGTTTGTGCTGTGAGACGAGCACCTCCAATTTTTTTATCGTCGTTGAAAGCTGTCGTTGAGCTGCTATTCTTCTGCCAACTCGAATTATGGAAATGAGAATTGGTATACACTTTACAAGGTTGTTAGAAGCACGGATTCTCCTGGAAGAGTGCCTCAAAAATATTCAGAATAATTAATAGCGCACTCGAAACTTTGACGGAAGTGAGAGGAGAGTAAGGTAGTACTCGTGTACGCCGCAGATTTTATTAGTTGCATAATTAGAGTAACATGCTTATTGAATTGGGTTGGGGGTATAACACATTTAAACTAACTCACAGGTCAGATAATCGAAAATTCATAATAAATCAAATTAAGAATTGCTGGTGAATTTTGACTAGCGCTTAGATTACCAACAGGCGGAGCTACGACATGTGCAGAATTTTTAAGAGGAGTGAAAAGGCAACTGAGAAAGCTACCTGCAGATCCTGGAATGACTAATTAGCGTATTCTATTATTTGGCATGGAACTGCGAAGATTTGAAAAGAGACTATATTGTTCTGCTAAGCAATATATTGGGTTAGTTATCACCACAAAACGTAAACACACATACACACACATACACAATTGAACGTCAACGAAACCAATAACGGCGGAGAATAGCATTACATTTTTCGCAGAATAAGTGCGACTTTAATTTTAGTTTTGAGAATGTATGATAGTAGGCAGGATATCAAGAAAATAACATATTTTTAAAATAATTTCTAACATTATGCATAATACTAATTAACGACGAGTATCAAACACTTTTTTGAGTCACGAAGTTATATTTTTTAGTTATATTTCTTATAATGAGTTAATTAGTGCCAATTTTTATCAATATATAAGAATGATTAATAGCAAAAATAAAATGAAACGACGGATAAGCAATCGGCAAAATAATTTATTTTCCAGCTTTTTCTTATCGACTCACAAATGGCGTTTGTTGAAAAAATGAGTGCAGGCCGACAAGTTTGAAAGAAAGGTGACAAACAATGCAAGTTTACGGTTCGAAGCGCACTCGGATGAATGACTTGCGTTATTTAACGTCTACATTTTGAGAATTAATTTTATTAGACAATAAATAAGTAATTATGTGGGGACCATCTTCGTTATTAAAGGTCCACTTTCCAAACATTTGAAAAAAAAACTTTTATACATTTATAGATAATTTTATCAAATTTCAAATAACTTAACTTTTTCAAAAATTGACATAAAAAGTTATTGATTTTGGTACTATTCTAACTGACACACCATTTTTTAAACATATTACTTAATTAAAAACTTATTCAGGCAATTATGAAATTCAATTTGTTTTCTATAAAAAATTTTACTTGAAAAAAACGAAAGCATCCCAAAAAATGCTTTAAAACCTCAAACGGCCTTTGGGCTTTTTATTTTTCGTGAGAAAATTTCATATCATTCATCACTCTATTCATTATGTATTTATGAATCATAGAATAAAAAGTTTCTCATTTTTCCCTTACGGCTTCCGCGATTTCTGGTTAAGCGTGTGTTTTAGCGAGTTCACAAACCTGCGTTCCTTGGCGGTGAACGGATTCAACATTGCTTTTCAATTGACAATAAGCGAATTGAACGAAGTGTACAAAAATTTTTGCTCGTGTTCAAGTTGATGTAGCAGGAAGTGTGGTCAATATATGTGATAGATTTGTTTCGCCGATGCACCAACGAACACAGATGAACAAAATCGAAAGTATGACCCGAAACTCTATCATCTTTGACAAATCTTGCTCTCATGCTGTCACTTGGCGGAAAATTCTCAAAGTAAAAAAAAAGCTACAACAATAAATCAGAATTACACTTGTCATTATATATTGAGATTGGAACGAATGAAAGGATAGAAGGGACATCTGGTACGCCGAAAAGCCGCATGAGAAGGCGAGCTTCAAATATTTAGATATGAATGAAATGAAACATTGTCTTTTTCTTCTTTTTTGTCTTCTTAATGGATCGTTTGTTCCACTTGACTTCCTGCAAATAAATATTGAAATTACGCATACTTGCATCTTAGGTGCTTATACTTGAATGTCTCGCCCAATGTTCACGCTTTACTACCTCAACACTGGCATTATTAACCACATTTCGCAATGTCGAATAGTCCAGCTCAAAATAATTCAATAATATCTGATATTACTGGCGCGCAAAAACAGAATGTTTTTCTTCAAGTCAAAGTTCCTGTAAGTGATTTTAAATTTACAGAAGAAGGGACTATTTTTTTCAAAGCAAAAGTTGTTTTTGTCTTGTTTAAAATAATTATTTAAGGAAGTCAGTGGATCTAATGAAAAAAACGCAACGCCATCGTTTGAAAGCATAGTCGAGAGCGCTGAAGATGATCATCTTGACAGTGACTATCAGTTACAACAAATACTTGATTGTATTTTACCTCCGAGGTCTCAAAATAGCATAGTTTTAGAATCTAGAAACTGATTAATTTAGAGTTTATAAAGAAAATGGAACTGTGTGGAAGCAACAAGCTTCACTTCAGCCAGCGACTCGTTTAGATATGGTAGTAGAAATAATGTCCCTCGTATAAAATAAGCATGTTTCAAGATAAATTTGGAAGAAAAATTGGAAAAAGAGTTGAAAGAACGAGGAGCGAAACCATTTGGCATTTGTCCTATACGACGAGATTTGTATAATCAGTTTTTTGGTTCTCATTTGCATTCAATACCACACTACTCATAACCAATTTCAGATGAACTCATTCGTCAAGTCAGTGTTTCTTGTGCCGAGCGTGGGCTGTTGTTGGTTCGAGTCCGTGACGAAATCCGAATGACGATAATGGCTTATCAAACACTATTGGAGTCTGCAATTGCATATGGTACATTTCCGACATGCAACCATTACATAGTAACATTGCATAGGTGTTCGAAAAGCTTTATATATTGAAAATGAGCAAACGCGAGCCGCAAGTGAATGGAAATTAGAGAAAGAAAAGAATAAAGAACTGCTCTTAAAGGTACGCGAACATTATTACTAGATTTTAATATAGATGACAGATAGCGCAACTGGAAAAGAAAATGGCGAACGATAAAATAATGAGCGAAGAAGAGTTAGCAATTGTTGAACAACGTATGAAAGACACAAATGAACGATTAGTAGAGTCAAATCGTGTCTTAAAGGTTTGAAACGCGGATGTTCTGTGCATACATGTGTGTATCATTTATTGCAGAACCAATTACAATCAATACTTCAAATGGACGACATGTCTCACATTAAACTTGGAGATACCACTGTTGATTAAATCAATATTGAAATTCTTTTATCTTTTCGTAAACTTCCTTTTGAAAATTGAGCGAGCCACATAGAAAGCTTTCGTCTTCATAATTCTGAAGACGGTCAAGCTCCATTTCGTTCCAGAAAGAATTCTGAACATATGTTTATTTAGAGTTTTTTTTGGATTGATTATCAACCTGGTAGAATCTCATTAATTTTCTCACAAATTGTTCGTCAGACGCAGGCAGAATAAAACGATAAACATTCTAAAAATTTGATCAATTAAATTTTTTTTTCAAATAAACAACCATCTCTGTTATTTTGTGCTCGATTGGTGTTTTGCTAAGTAAACCGAAATGTACTGCTCTTGCGAAATATTTTTTCGTCTGAATATGTTCGAATATTCAAAAGCCTCGTTCAAAGCAATATATTACGAATCCCGATTTTGTGGTCAATCTGGCCATAGTTTTGAATGCAACGCATTGAAGTTGGTCCAATGTGAATTCATATACACTCGGCCATATTTCCTAGTAACACATTTAAATGCTTTCGAAGCGAAACTCACACACCTCTCCATCGCACCCAAGTGGAGAAAATAGAAAGAATGCAACATTTTGAAAACTTTGAATTGCATTTTCTAGATTTATGTCTTCTTGAAGAATATCATCGATGAACTGAAGTTGCGTCATGTCCTGACTGTTTCGCAAAATCAAAATGTACCTTTGCTCTCATTGTCTCCGGTCGCGCTTTTTCGAGAAGATCCATTTCTTCGGGTCCAACTGTTGTTATTGAAGGGTCGGCTGTTTGATAAACTCTTTGCAACAAATACATTGGGATAGTGTAGTTGTCAATAATGTTTCTCAAATCTTCTGTGGGAATTATGTCTGAAGAAAATGAAAACGTAAATGTCTACACGATCAATTTAACTGATTCCTTCTCCTGACGATCCGGATCCTTCAATTTCTTTGTGTTCCCATTGTTCCGGAAAAATGATTCCGTAAGAGTTAGGAATTATGAAAAGAATAAAGATTGCAATGAATAACCAACTCATTTTTGTTTAAAAAACAACTGTTTGCAAAAATAATCGCAAAATGAATGATTATGTTAGTTTATAGATCGTTTATAACAATTTGGGGGAAGCTCGCCAATCTGAACTTATAATATAAACGATTGAGTGGTGTCGAGTTCGACGCATTCGTTTCAAAACAAACCATCATTTTTTGAATCCGCGGAATTGCAGAAAACGGATTTCAGAGAACTCAAAAATGTAAAAATAAATATGCACAATCATTCAAATTTGTTGGCAAATGTTATTTTGACGTCGAATTTTTGAAATATTAGGTCTAGAAATTAATTTCCGCGTTTTTTTCGCATATTTAACTATAAAAAACTGGCAAACTTGAACAAAACTTTTATTCAAAATAATTTCCGTCATTAATAACAACATTTTCCCAGAGTTTGGGCAACTTATGGATTCCATCATAATAGAATTTTTCTGGTTTGGCTGCAGTCCATTCATCTAGCCATTTTTTGACATCTCGATGATCTTGAAAGCGGTGCTCCGCTAGACCATGAGCCATTGACCGGAAAAGATGATAATCCGACGGGGTAATGTCCGGAGAGTACAGCGGGTGCGGTAAGACTTTCCATTCGAACTGTTTCAACGTATTCTTCACCGCTTGAGCACCATGCGGCCTTGCGTTGTCATCAAGCAATATGACCTTTTCGTGTCGACCCGCCCATTCTGGTCTTTTTACTGCGATTTCACGCCGCAACTGCACTAGTTGATGTTGATAGCGATTCGCAGTGATTGTTTCGCCAGGTTGGAGCAGTTCGGAGTACAGAATTCCTTGTTGGTCCCACCATATGCACAGTAAGACCTTCTTCCCGTGGATGTTGGGTTTTGCGGTCGAAGTTGTCGGTTCACCGGGACTAACCCACGATTTCTTCGCTTCGTCATTTCGTAGTACCCTCGTAGTGTAAAAAAGACTTTCTTCGAAATCTGTCCAGCAAGATTTGTGAAGTAGTTTTTCTCTGCTCTTTGTTGCGTTCTGAGATCTCATAGGTCATCCATTTTCCTTCCTTTTGAATCTTCCCCATTGCTTTCAATCGATGAGAAATTGCTTTTTGCGTGACGCCGAGAGATGCCGCGAGTTGCTCCTGTGTTTCTGTCGAATCTTCATCCAACAAAGCCTGAAGGTCTTCGTCTTCAAATTTTTTTGGCTGTTCTGATCGGTCTTTGTCGTTGACGTCAAAATCTTCCGATTTGAAACGCTGAAACCATTCTTGGCAGGTTCTTATGGATGTTGCAGCCTCGCCGTAAGCTTGGGCAAGCATTTGGTGCTCGTCAGTGGCTTTCTTCTTGAGTTGGAAAAGGAAAAGAAGAGCTTCCCGCAAATGACGTTTTCCTGTCACAAAGTGTACATATTCTGAACCCAAAATAATGATTTTCTATAATGTACGTGAAGAAAGTTATATATATATATATATATATATATATATATATATATATATATATATATATATATATATATATATATATATAAGTAGAAAGCTGATAATACAGAGAAAATTATAAGATAAAATTCTTTATATAAAAATAATTTCATTTTGACGAAAAATCAACAACAAAAAAAACGCGGAAATTCATTTTTAGACCTAATAATAGAGTTTCATGGCTGAAAACTATAATTGATTAATATTTGGAAAAAAATAAAATTTAAATTTACAAACTTGCACTGGTTTTCAAAAATATTCCTGCAAAATATTATTTTTACGTTAGAAATAATCTAAATTCTACTTTATGATGACCATAAAACATATTCTTGTATAATCTATCTATAACATGTTTATTTTCAAAAAAAACACAGACATATATCATATGGGTGTAATGCTGATAAAAAATAAAAATCACTAGTGGTTCCCTGCAGAATTCGCCAAAATCTAACAAAAAACCAAGTAAAAACATTAAAACTTCAAAATCTGCATAGTACAATAAATCAATGAATGATTAACTTGAAATAATATGGTGCAAATGCGAGGTAATTGGTTTCACTCTCATTCCTAAACTCCTCGATTTTTGAGAATCGAAAATTACATTTAAAAAAACTCGAATGTAATCGATTCGTCTATTATCCTCACAATAAGCACGAAATTAAAATTATTTAATTTATGAAGGCTCTAACGCACGTTGTTGTGTGTCGAACGCATGATGTGGTGTGTAGTTATAATAGTCTGACTCATTGTATACATTGTCACTGTATCCACTTTTGATTGTGGGAACGTTAAGTGCATTCCCTATTTGACTGCAAATGTCAATGATTTTCTGAAATTAAACAAATATTGAAATAAAAAAATGAAACAGATTATGACTGACAAAATGGTTTTCCATACATTTTTTGGCAGCTTTATGAATTTTTATTTCTTTATTGAGACGGCAGATCCTTGATCCCAAGGTGTTCTGCAAAGAATATTTTTCAAAACTTGTCGCGGTATAAACAACTAACAGTATTCAATTTTGACGTTCTATCCTTACGGCTATCACGCAATTGTTTCATTTCTTTTTCGTACTCTTCCAGCTTCTGAATAGTTCAAAGTGAGAGTTAATATTGATATTTGCACGTTACCGCATTGTTCATCTTGCAAACGTTCGTCATTTCAATTTGCTCACATTGTGAATTGTTGAATTTTATTTCATACTTCTGGAAAAATGTTTTAAATAAGACACATTATTCAAACCAAAAAATATTACCAATTTCTTTTTCAAGATGTCTTTGATTTCAATTAGTACATTTGTCGATTTCTCGATACAATAATCGATGTTGAAAGGCTAAACATAAATTAAAAACATAATTTTAAATGTAGGCCTGCATTTACCAATAATTGATTTTCTTGACACATTTGAATATATTTTTCGGATTCATGCAAATACTTTTCCATAATCCGGACCGAATTGTTCTTGGCTTTTACAAAATTTTGCGCATTAGTTCGATTTCTAATCCTATCCTGTTCGTTGCACTTCTTCGCCAATTTCTTAAATGTCTTTTTCTTTTCTTTTCTCTTCAATTTCGCATCATTCAAGTTATTGTCGGAAGGCTGTTCGGTTCCGATAATTTCACAATGATAATCGATGTTGTCACGGTCAGTAATAATGTTATAATTATGGTTGTTAAAATCCATAATTTGTCCAATCTGATTCTTAAATTTTTAATTTATATTTTTGATTTATTTAAATAGTGTCTTAGCTACTTACATTAGAATGATGTTGTTCGGTATTTTGCTCGTCGAAATTGTTGACGTCGATCGATGCCTTAAACTTGTTCTATTGATAATTTTGTAAATTAATCTAACGATGATATTATCCTCCGGCTCTTCAGCAGGCTCTAGCAAAGGTACTCCGTTCATCAAGTTCATACTGGAGTCTTCCATGAGAATCTAAATGTTTTATTAATTCAATCAAATTTTAATTCCAAACCGGAGAATTGTTTCCAAAAATTTGTTGTTGCCATGATAATTCGTTTTTCGCTTCACAATGGCATTGGTCCACAATCAATTTCCAATCTTGATCGTTATTAATACATTGCACGTCCATCTGCAACGTTATTTCAACCTTACCCGCTTAAGTTACGGAAGTCAATATAAACCTATAAATATGTAATTTTTTGAAAAACTATTGAAAAATGTTTTAGCGTTTGTAAGCAATTTCGAAATACTTTAAAGAAAAGATACAGGAAAGACAAGAAAACTACAGACTAATATGACTGTTTTTTTTTTCAGTTCTATATAAAGTATTCACAAAAAGTCCGCCGAAGAGAATGCCGAAGAAGCTAGGAGAAGCTCAGCCCGTCAAACAAGGAGAATTCCGACGAACGTTTTCAGTAGTCTACGTTCACAGCGTACGGCGGCTACTACATCGAAATTAAATTCGAATATTTCCACCGATAATCATCTTCATCGCCTTCCAGAAGGTTATTTATGGCAAACCTAAGAGTACAAAGCATCAAAGAGGGATACTTCAATGTGATGAATAAATGAAACACTAATTGCAATCTCTTATATCATTGCAAAAGAGTGGATCCTAAAAATTGCAAATACTTGGTTAGAAGATGCAGGAAAATATGAAATTTTGTTATCTGCGCTCACACAACGCAAGCGAAGCACGGATCGAATAAGTAATTTAATAAGTTAGTTAGTATCGTACGTCGAAATGATTTTCTTCGGTATTTTGCTCACGTGAATTGGTTCTGTCGATTGGAGCCTAAAAATTATTCTATTAATAATTTTTAAAAACTCAATGTAAATCTAATTATTTGATTAATTCAATCAAATTTTATTCCTAACCAGAGAATTGGGTCCAAAAATACGTTCCTCCTGCAATATCTCCTTCGTCACATCACAATAGCATTTTTCTACCAGCATTTTAAAATATTGATATTTTGGAATAATGTGCGCTTTCAACATCTAAATTTCAAGCTAGTTTCAGCAAGATTTTAAAAGAAATAAACGGAAGAATCTAAGAGAGATTGTTTCGATCTCACTTTAGAGAAATATTGCGAAACTAATCGCATTGTTGACGTAATGTTTTTTTTCTAATTAAAGAAAGAAACTTTTTAAATTTTATTGAATAATGTTATGATGATAAAGATAAAAAATTGGTTTTGAGAGAGGATGTGCAAAAAACGTGCGTAAAACAAAATTGCTCATTATCGTGAAACACAGTGTTATTTTTTTGGATAGTTGAGATAACATCTCTTGTTTCGGTCTGCATCAACAAACAAAATTATCATGTGGTACGTCGTGCAAAAAATAAATGTCTGCAAGCTGTGTATATGATGCATTTTAATGTTAAGTACCTATGAAACATTTGTGAACAAACATGAATTACTGATAAATTTGGCGTATCAGTGACACGAAATCAGTAATAAACGGATGTATGACTAAGATTGCATTCTGTTTATCATTGAAAATTGTTTTTGAAACCAATTAACGGTATTGAGTGTAAGGCGTCCATGAAGGCGAAAAGAACGAATTTAAGTACGACTGTTTGAATGTTAGCATTGCCTTCTCATATCTCCATCTGAAGGCATTATTGCAACTTATTAAGAACACAAAATGAAAAATTATAGTTCTTTTGTGAATTTCAAGTGTCTTGATAGCCAACGAAAGATAGTGGAGTACCCGTTGTTTAGGTGACCGAATAAATGACAGTCCATACGTTTAAAATCTTCAGACAGATTCGTTCATAACGATATATTTTGTAACGTTCTTTTAATCGTTAAATTTGAAACCTTTAAATATTTTTAATATATTCAATGTTCAAAAAAGATCTTCCTAAAAAAGGCATTTTGAGATAATATGAATAAAATTTAAAGAAAATATGTATAAAATAAATTGTGAAATAATAGTCCCTGGCGGGGCGACCAATGGAAGGCAACCGATCCTTTACATACGTTTTCTCCCCCCGCCCACATCGGGATCTTAGTCAAAAGTGTTTATTGTTTTCCTGATCACACATTGAATTGTATCAATGAAATCTTTTGCAAAAAAACCATATTAGGCACATTCAATGTATCCACTTCTAATTCAATTAGTGCTCTCAGCGGAATTTTTTCTGCTAAATAAATATTATTACTAATTATCTATTAATCATCTTCATTATCTCAATAACAAGGAAGCAAACTGCAATACATGTTATTGATAGCTCTGATAAAAGATCAATGTTTTAAGTTCGACTGAAGCAAATAAGGGATTATGTTGTGTCCTTGAGTTCCGCGTGTATGGTGCCGAAGCGTAGAGATCGAAGTGAACAGTGATGTAGAGTTGGATAGCTTTATTATATCCTTAGATGAACACTACAATGTATGATGGCCGGGTATTTATACTAGTGGGGATGTGCTTCTAGAATGTTCTACAATACACGTGTGGGGATATTTACGTGAGGCTTCTAGAATGTTCTACATACAATGCACGTGTGGGGATATTTACGTGAGGCTTCTAGAAGGTTCTACAATGTGCGTGTGGAGATGTTTACGTGAGGGACTGGGTTCTAGAATATTCCATAACCTACGAGATTACAATAGTTTACGTGAGCGTGCTCACAACAGATTACAACCAATTTTACATGGAAATTGATTTGTCATATCTTCATTTTGACGTAATTTGCATGAAAGCGAGTATAGTCAAAGTAAATTTTATTGGAAACTGATGGTCGTTTGGTCAAAATCGAAATCGCTCATTAAAAAGCTGTTCAAATTGTTTTAGGGTGAAAAAACGTACTAGAGACTTATTGATGGTTAAAATTAATATTTCGAATTATTAGTAATAATAAATATGTTATTTTTGAAAAATGCGAATTTTGTAAAGACAGAAGAAAGAACACCTTTTAGGGAAGTTTTTTCCATCGTATTGGATTGAAGATAAGAAAATCTGAAACAAAAATTTTAATAAGAAAATCTGGAGTTCCTTTGAAACGATATTTTATATGAAAGAAATCAAAAAAGAAATAATATGCGATATTTCTTATTTAATTTTTCTTCTCTTCCAACTAGTTTTTAATACAGGAAGACTTTTTTCTTAACTGATTTATTACTAATTGATTTCATTTGTAGGTAATTCATTCGTACCATTGTTTGGTCTATTGTAGAAAAACGTCAACAACCCCATTGCTAAATCATTCGTTGAACTTCCCTATCTATTCAATCGAAAAATGCCCCCTCTTTATCTGCTGGTTTATTTACGTTCACACATCGGTCAAAGATATTTCCGTTTGATCGCCATGTCAGATGACTCAAGCAGAAATATAATCGAAGTCAAGTATAACTTTTTTAAGTGTTGAGGACTTTAATCAATCGGCAGGAATGATACTGAGATATAATTCGAAAATTTTAAAACGTATTTATTCATGCATAAAATTAATTAACAACAGAGAAAATGTTACGAAACAATTAAATTTTCAGTTATAAATTATTATAAAAATAACGAATCCATACATTTAAGTTGGTCTGAGAAAAATCTTGAAACCACAAGAACGACAGAAACGACATGAACAAATACATTTTATCGAGATTAAATTGCAAGTAATTACTCATGCTGATATTAATTATAATTTTTCTGATTAATAATAATATTAAAATTTACAAGAACAAACTACTTTTATTAGGATAATAGCAAAATGCTATACAAATATGAGAAAATTCGTTTGTACAAGAGCTGATGAAATGACAGGAAAAACAGAGATGACAGAGTTTTCTAAAAATGTCACTCAGCAAAATTTCCTCATGTTAAACATAACACTGAAAATTTTCTGATGAATATAGCTGACAGTTTGGGATATATTCGTCTTCGTTGTTTTCGTTTATATGCTGCTCATTAAAACAATAATAATTGGCTTCAGGCAAAAATTCGAATGGTATACTCTCATTTTTCTCATTCGACAGTTCAGAAGTTATATCAATGATTTTCTGAAATTTTAGATTGAATTGAAACATCGCGGCTGATATCAACTAACTTTGTAATTATCCATTGATATTTTTGCGGCATTGCATATTCTTATCTCTTTTTTAAGGCGGCAGATTTGTGATCCAAGGGTGTTCTTGAAAAATATTATTATTTTTCTGTCTATTTAGATGCCTCATTTTCGATCAGAATGATTTTAATATTTAAACTACGTAAAGAAAAAAAGGAACTATTCTCCTCGAACAACTCCAACGAGATAAAACAACACATTTCTTGTCCATAAAATACATTGAACTCTCGGTTACCAAAACGAAACATTTAACTAACCGCTTTCAGCTTTGATGTTCCATTTTTGCGACTCAGAAGCAATTTGTTTAATTTATCCTCGTTTTCTTCCAACTTCTGGAAAAAGTTGGCTATAAATAATAATTCAACAATTACCGGCAAGGTTTTCGAAAATTTTTTTTGAATGAGTTCCAATTCACATTTCGAATTTCGGACAGCATCACTTATCTCGAAGTCCTAAATATCATTTTGATCATTGGCCATATTAATTAATAACTCACAGTTAATTTCCCTTCTTGAAAATTCTCCATAAGTTTTTGAGAGTATTTCACGTGATATTCCATATATTTGATCATTTCGTTTTTAGATTTCACAAATCTTTGTGCATTTGCTCGATTTTGCATTTTAACGCGATTTATCCGCTCGCATTCCGACATGAATCTGACCCTCATTTTCTTGGGGGTTTTCTTTGGTATTGAATGTTCGTTACACTTCTTTGCCAATTTTTTTAAGGTGTTCTTTATTTTTGTTCTCTCCAATTTCGCATCATTCAAATTATTGTCGGAAGGCTGTTCGGTTCCGATAATTGCGTAATGACACTCAAAGTTGTCATTGTTCGAAATAATGAGATTAGCATGATTGTTAAAATCCATAATTTCTCCAATCGAATTCTTGAATTTGTAAGTTATACTTTATAAATATTGGCATGGTTACGTACGTTATAAGGATACCCTTCAGCATTTTGCTCGAAAAAATTGGTTCCGTCGATTGCCTTAAAATCATTCTATTGATTATTTAAAAAAATCGATCTAACGATGATATTATCCTCCGGCTCTTCAGGAGGCTCTAGCAAAGGTATTCCGTTTATCAAGTTCATATCGGAGTCTTCCATATGAATCTAAATGTTTTATTGATTCAATCAAATTTTAATTCCAAACCGGAGAATTGTTTCCAAAAATTTGTTGTTGTCGTGATAATTCGTTTTTCGCTTCACAATGGCATTGGTCCACAATCAATTTCCAATCTTGATCGTTATTAATACATTGCACGTCCATCTGCAACGTTATTTCAACCTTACCCGCTTAAGTTACGGAAGTCAATATAAACCTATAAATATGTAATTTTTTGAAAAACTATTGAAAAATGTTTTTAGCGTTTGCAAACAATTGTGAAATACTTTCACAATACTTTCAGAACATAAACAACCAGGTTATGACACGTTTAACTAAATAGGTGCGAAATGTTTTCGATTAGTATCACATCCCTCCCCTTCCCCTGCAGAAAAAGACAACAACAGACTTATCTATGACATCGGACTTTCATGCTATTCTAAAAATGAAGACGTTTCTAATGTTAGCATTTTCTCTTAAATGTCATAGGACATTTTGTTTCAAACCAGAAAAATTGTTGATGAAAAGAGAGAAACGCTGTTTCATTTGGTAGAGATTGTGTGATTTACACATTTTTTCCGATCACATTGCTTAGCAATTGTATCAGTTGGTGTGAAATAAACAAGACCCGTGCGATAATGGTATTGACGTAAAATTAAACATGGGAAAATATAAAAGCGTTGTAATTGAGGAAAAATGGAACTTCCGATTTTCAGCATTAACAAAAAAAGAAATGTTAAATGAAAAAGAATGGGATTCAATATATTTTTGTGTTTGTTTTGATGATTTGCTAAAAAAACAATGTTTTCAACTGGTTTTAGAATGAAATAACATTAATAGCTTTTTGTTAGAATTCTATGTTAATTTGTGTTACAAACATAAAAAAATGTGTGAAAAATCCCCACAAATTAGCAAATTTTAATAATTTAAAGTGCTTGAGATTTTGTTTTGAAGCAAAATAAACATTCACAATTTACAAAATACAAGTCGCATTAGTCTAAACAAATGTGGTTATCAAACCTATTCAGTACAATTTATATTTTTTTTTTATATTTTCTTTCGAAAGGTAAAGCAATTAGTGCAATATAAAATGATAATATAACGAAATTAGAAAAGGTAAAACATATTACGAAAGTAATTAATTGACAAAAAAAATCAAAAAATTCATTTTAACGAAAAACGTGCTGAATACTACTGATAACGGTTCCTATTTGAAATAAAAATGAAAACAATCATCTGTAAGGAAGTGTATATCAACTCAATATTTTATTGGAAAGACATTTCCATCAAACACAGATTGACATCAGCGAACCATAGACTTGATTAACTTCGTGTGGTTGAAATTCGAATATTCTTATAGGCTTCGCCAGTCCATGACGACCACATGACGATGCTGGAATCAGAATGTGTGTATATCAAAGTAATTGAATCTTCATGAATCTTAAAACACCGTAAGGAGTGATGAAGAAATTTCCTTAAAAGCTATCAGATGACTCTAAAATCAGCATTTTTCTCGGAACTTCAGAATTGTTTTAGTTGTTTTTATAATTCCTACTTTTTTCACTTTTTCACCAATAACTTCGTTGCAGACAGCTTTCGACAATCATAATATGCAAACAAATTATATTTCATGAGCGTTAGAAAAAAGAATTAGAATTAGAAGAAAATGGCGGAAAATAAGAACCATTTTTTATTGTATTTAACAGGCCATGACAGAATTTTAACCAAGATTCAATCAATTCGTTGGCTCATTATATGTGTTTTCGCGCCATCTCCAGAAATTCAAAATGACTTTTGCGTCTGCGTCTTTTCAATTATTAACTGTTGTTGCTAGTACGCTCTGTTTTTTTTTCGGACAGAACGTCATAAAATTTCATTGTTTCGTCTTCATAATTTTCAAAGAATTTGATTGAATATTGATTCAAATTTATTCATTGTATTGAGTTGCTTCAAAAGTTAGCATTGTGTTTTTAGCCTTTAAAATTAATATTTTCTTTCAGATGAAACTTGGTATCGTGACCGCAGTTTCGTCGAAAAAGGTGTTCACTGTTTTATGCGGTGATGAGATTATTCGAACTCCACACCAACATCATCGCAGTGTAATTATCGTTGGAGATTTGGTTGAAATTGGTCCACAGAATGTAATTTATTCGGCTGCCGGAAACAGTCATAATATTGATAGGCGAGACCCTCTCGAGGTATTCCGATTTGACAGGATTCCTATTTTATGAAGATTTTCAGATTACGATAACTAATCATACTGTAAAGCCAGAGGAAATCAGCCGATGCAAAATGTTTTTCAACCATCCTTTATTTGGACGCGCCAAATTGAATAAATTTAAATTGGAACCAAACGAGAGGTTATCAAATCTGTTTTAAGTGATAATGATTCTTTAAGATGCCAAAAGATATCCCTAAAATATGCTCCAGACGAACATTTTGAGTGGATCGTGACTAATATCGTCGTAGAGCTGGATGAAAACTTGATAAAACAGTTCGATTCGCTTCATTACACATTGGTGAATGAGAGAAACCAAGAGTATGAATATCAGAAGAGCTGTTGGAACGCTATCGGGCTATGCAAGCTCGTCTACATTAATAATGATGATCCTATTTATGGCCGAGTCCCGCACTTTGCACCTCTGAATAGACTGGATGAAAGGGCCGCCAAAACTATTAAAGAAGGTACATTGCTTAAAAAAAGCTATATCCCAAAAATGGGAATGATAATTTTAAGGTTGCTTGCTTTATATAGTCAACGCTAATGGGCCACGAAATGCTTCCACTCCGAAGGGTGTTGTCAAATCGAGCTACGATGTAGGACATGTGTTAAAACGCATAATTAATGGATTTTCAGTTCTCGATAATACTTAATAACGCCCACAAAGCATGCCAACTTATTGTGGGACAAAACTACAGATTTGAACCTATAGTTATAGAAAAGACGTTGAAATTTTGGAGTTCTAAAAAGTATAAGGAAAACAACCTCTTTTTGAGAACTTACGACAAAGGGTATTGCAAAAATGAGAAACAATCCAGTGCGCCGCCAAATGTTCTTCGTGAAGGCATCGAGCATCGAGGAATGATGCGATATCATGTTGATGAATTAACACACTCGATTGCTCTAAATTCTGATCAAAGAAAAGCTTTTGAACTAAGTTGCAACGGAAACAACGAAATCGTGATTATTCAGGTATTCCTGTTTATTTTTTAAAATATTAAAATTCAAAGTGAATTTGAAGACCATAGTTCTTATTTTGTAAAAAAGTAAAATTTGAAACTTTTAAGAAACCATTTTTTAAAATAAATTATTTTAAAAATTGCAATCTGTAATTATTATAATCTTATCTGTTTTGGGTTTCGCAAAACTGGCTCGTCTAAATATAACTATATTACAGGGACCTCCTGGAACAGGGAAATCCATTACTATTGTTGAAATTGCTTGCGAATGTGTTTTGGCAAATCTGAAAATCTTAATTCTTACACCTTCAAAAGCATCCATGTCTCGCTTGGTGGAATTAATAGACAAAGACAACCGATTCAATCTCGCGGATGGCTGTATGTTTGCTTCAACTTCATTTATATCTGAAAGCAATTCCAGATGTTGTTTCTCCGGCGAAGCTTGAAGACATGGTCAGAGATCATGAATTTTATGATGATATTCTGAATCTGGTGGGTATTTGTTACTTAAAGTGAATAAATATTCAAAAATATTGTAGAGATCTAAACAAGACAATTATGACATAACAGATAGTACGTACCGACATCTTCAAGATCGCATAATGGACTACGAGAAAAAAATTAAAACCGACATATTGACCAAATCTAAAATCGTCATTTCGACAGTGAACAACTCAATTGTGCAAATAAGTGAAGCTGCTGAGTTTGTGGCACATGTCATACTTGTAGGTTGGTCAGATCATTAGCACTAAATACCTCGTGATAACCAATCAATTCAGATGAAGCTGCACAAGTTCCTGAAGCGCAGTTCTGGAACATGGTACGTGGCAATCAACGCGTGGTTCTTGTCGGGGACCCTCAACAATTGCCGGCTTTCGTCAGAACTGAATCGTATTCAGAATAATCAAGTTCACGACAGTAATTTGTTTTTTAGGGCAAAGAAACAAGGAATGGCGGAATCGTTAATGGAGAGGCTCTTATTGAAAAGATCTCAATTTGCTTTCATAATGTTGAGAAGACAATACAGGTTGGTGATCAAACCACAAACGAAATTGATAATGGAATAATCAGGATGAATGAAAGAATAATGCGATGGAGCTCCGATAATTTTTATTTCGGCAATCTTGTTGCTGACGATTCAGTAAAGAATTTAGCCATAAAGTGAGGATATCTTCTGTCTTACTTTTTATCCTTACTCATTTAGACAGCGACATAGAGAAATTCGAGCTTTTCCATTTCTCTTTTGTAACACAGATAGCGAAAATGATCCTGAAATTAAGAAAATGATGGTTGAGAAGTCTGAAAATGACTCGTTCATTAATGAAGGTGCCGATTTGTGACCAGCTTTCCTTATTAAATTGATTGTAGGAGAAGCTGATCTTGTCATCGATCACCTGAAATTTCTCTTAAACGAGGGAATCGACCCTTTTGAAATTGGTGTAATTACTCCTTATTTCGCGCAGGTAACTCAATATAATGCAATTAATTTTCACAAAAACCCATAATTTTTAGAAATTCCTTATCGAAAGAAAAATTAAGGAACAATTGAAGAAATTCAGATATTATGAATTTATTGCTGTCGATACCGTCGATGGATTCCAAGGCCAGGAACGTCAGATTATTATTTTTTCGATGGTTCGCATGAATAACAAAGGTTTTCTTGATATTATAGAGATAATCGTCAATCGGAAATTAATTGACATATTTAATAATTTTTCAATAATCTCTAGTATTTTTAATTAAAAAAATTGAAAAGATAAAAAAAAACTGAAATTTCAGGAAACCTGGGATTCCTAAATGATGTGAGACGATTGAATGTTGCAATAACTCGTGCTGCTTGTCAATTTGTTCTCATCGGATCGGCTTGGATGTTGAGCAAAGCGAAACCCAAAGCTATTCAAAACCTTAACAGGTCAATTGGTGATTTACTCTTTTCTTTTTAGGTATTTTGTTTCAGATAATTTGGCAAGAACGAGAATAACGGAGGCATTTGTATCACTCCGGATGACCTACGTGGTCCAAAGAAACCCGAGTTCCCTCATTATCGTAATTCGTCAAGACATTAAGCATTCGCAAAGTAAAAAATTTAAACGAATTTCTCAATAGGCTTTCAATTACATATTTAATGATTTTTTTCCTTCACGTTGCTTCGTTAATTCTGTTTTCAGATTGCATCATTGTCGTCATACCTGTGCGAGCTTTAAATGATTTCTTTGATTTTCTAAGAATTTTACTCAGTTTTCTTGTTTATTTTTATACCCATGTAGACATTACCAATAAAAATGAATACTCAGTTTCCATGTTCTGTTCGAAATTCACTGTATTTCAAATGTTAAATTATGTATATGCCGCACCAGAGACTGTTTAAAGTCTTAGCTGCGGTACATATACAACGCACCTTCGGACAACCTTCTGGGCCAACAAATATGAGGCGCGCACGTCATCCCAAATTAATGATGCAAGAGTTTATGAGTGTATTCCTCTCATTGGTAGAACTCTAACAGAATGTGTCGTGTTTTGCGGTTTCCATTCACTTGACAGTGCAGTCGAACGGTAGTGATTTCATCATGTGCCCTCTCAGTTTCAATTTTGTTCCAAATGTGAGCAGTTCTTATGATATTTCTGAAGTCTTCTCGGTTTGTAATTGCTTCCATTATACGTATTTACTTCAGTGAATTCAATTCTTTCGTTGATCGGAATAGTTTGTCATTCGTTCACATTGTCGAAACCATTCAGCTCAGAAAATTAATTTATTTATTTAAAGTAAAGAAAATTTATAGATCAGAAAAATGATACCAGCAGAAGGCACGTGAAATAAAGATTTGATTTAACGAGTTATTGATGGAAAACCCGTTGAAAAATAAATATTTGGTGAACAATGGTTTAAACAAAAATCCCAAAATAAGTTATCAGTTGCAATTCAAAGTTCGGTTTTGTCAAGATCAACGTCAGAAAGATCGATATCGTCAACAACAGGAAGAGCTCCGTCCTTTCCATCCCATTTCTCTTGAGTTTGGACTGTTGGGAATTTGTCGCCCTTAAATATTAAATCGCTGAGCATAAAATATAACAATAGTTATTTCTTACTCTAATTGAAGATGTTCTTCCCTTTCCATAAGAAAGATCGCGAAGAAACTCGTGAATCCCTTCCTTTCCAAAGGATCCTTTAAGAACGGCAAATTTGTTTTTTCGTGCGTTGAAAGCCGTCATTGCTGGGTATCCGAAGCCTCCAACCTCAAAAGCTTCCTCAAGAGCTGGTTGAGAACCTCCCTCAACCCAGATCCATCTGAAAATAGTTGAGTGTATTCAGTAATTGATAATTTCTCTTACCCCCAAAGATTCTTCTTAAATTTCTCAGCTTGCTCCTTGAGAAGAGCGATGTAATCATTTCTGCACTTCGATTGACAGTCCAAAATGTGAGGCAAGAAGGCGAAAATGCAAAGTTGCTTATCCTTGCAGGCTCCTTCGACAATCTCCTGGTTGTATCCTTCAAGAACCTCTGGCGGTGGAAGGTTTTCTTGTGCACGACTGTTTGCCCAGTTGACGATATCCGATGTGGTACGTCCTCCATCATAATCTTGCGCGTCAGAAGCACTAGATCCAGGAGCGAAATACTTGATGGTTGGGAATCCGCGAATTCCGAATTTGTTGGCGATAACTGTATGGACGGTAGCATCTAGAGCACCAAGGCGGACCTTTCCTTTAAGTTCCGAAGCTGCCGCCTTCCAGTGTGGCTCCAAGTTCTTGCAGTGTCCGCACCATGGAGCAAAGAACTCGACAAGCCACATATCCTTGCTGTTCAATACGAGCTCTTCAAAGTTGGAGTCAGTAAGCTCGACAACATCGTTGCCTCCGCTTCCACCGCGCTTTCCAGATCCTCCGCTGCTGCTTCCTCCAGATTTTCCACCAAGACGAGCCGACACAGTCTTCTTGGCTTCAGCAAAAATCGCATCGGTTATTGCTTGAGCAGTTCGTTGCCCTTAAATTTAACAAAAAGTAATATTGATCCAATGACCCGCGATGATGAGAGGCTATTGAGCAAACAGTAACGCATTGCAGGCCGACTGTTTGACGTGGAAGTCCATTACTATTTGCTGTGCCGCTGTGTACCGCGCTATTTGTTCGCTATCAGGACACGTTTGAAAAAGGAAAAGGTCAACTCACCGTTAAAATCAACAGGTTTCTTCTTATCGGCTCCAAAAATCTTGAGAGTCGGAAATCCTTGCACGTTGTACGGCGATCCCACTGATTGATGTTGGGTCATATCAACGGCTCCAACCTTGGCGATTCCTTTGAGTGCGGTGGCAGCTTTTTTGTACTCGGGAACAAGATTTTTGCAATGTCCGCACCTGCAAAATATTGAAGTAGAAATGAGTAAAGCATTCAGTTGCTAATTACCATGGTGCATAGAACTCAACAATCCAAATATCGTCAGATTTTAAGACTTTTGAGTCGAAATTGGATGCTGTCAGCTCAATTACGTCATCTTTCTTGGAATACATTCCATAGCAACCGCTGATTGCTGAAAATTCGATATTAGAAGAGAATTAATATCACAAGGCGGATAATCATTAAATTTTGAAATAAAATTTTCTTTAAAAGATTGTTTTTATAAAATATACTCGAAATACCTACCTAGGACAGCAATAAGAATGTGGCCTATCATGTTGACGATCGACTACCTCCTAGCCGAGCAGAACGCAACTATGGATATAATAAAGAGCCGAATGAACTGGACGCCAGGGCGTGGCCAATGGTTGGTGTGTTATTCGATGATTGGCTGACGTGTTATTTGCGATGTACAGTGGGGCGCGCTTGTCGATTGCAACAATGTGTGCTTAGGAATATTCGCGAATTTGCAAGCAAGTATGGATTTATATGGGGAAAAACTAGATTAACAACGGATTAAAAAAGGCGACATTCAGTGTGTATGAAATAATTTGCGAATGTGTTGATGAAGCCGACAACTTTTAGATAAATTCAGTATGGAAATATAATTTTCGAACTTAAAAATATTTTGATATTGGTTATTTTTTCACAGCTGCTACTTTTACTAAATTTTTGCATTGAATAATTTTACTTTTACTATATTTTTGCATTGAATAAATTTTACTTTTTTGTTTAAAAATAAGTAAAAATGTTTAGAAAAAGCAAGAAATATTAAGAGCACACTATTTCACAACAAAAATTGTACAGCCATAAATGTTTATTTAAAAAATTGATTTTCTACAATGACCTGTATGTGTAACCCCTTATTACTTAAAAAAAAACACATTAAGCATGAAATTATTGAACTTTCTAGGTCGTTATTGATCCTTTTCGTAAATTTGGCGACCACCGGAGCTGCTTGCAATCAGATTTGCAATCACAATTACAATTGCGAGGATGTGGCAAATGTTAACAATGATCATCGCAATTCTGTACAAGGTGAACGTAAAACATCTTCGAACGTTTTCACTATAATAATTATTGATTAAACTCGTTAACTTCAGTTCAAGTATACGTAAGATCGTGTTTTGGATTCAGCGGCAAGCAAGGCCAGAAGAACCGAAGTTTCGTGAATTTGACGATTCCCCATGAAAGAGCAACCAATTTTATCCAGGAGGAAAAATAAACTGGCGACGCTAGAGACAACCGAGGCTCATGGGTGAAAAGAATATTCATCAATGCTGGCAGTGGAACCTGCAAAAATTGATGATTGGTTGTTTGAGATGTTTCTTTTCGAGAGAAAACAATCGATTGAAGCAAATGTTCACACGCAACGTATATGAATTTCAAAACGGTGAAATTTGCGTTTGAAAACAGATTTTATGAAAAATGTTTACCTCTTCGAGGGCAACGACCATGCTCTTTGCCAGTCTTGCATAAAAGACATTCTCCTCGTCGTATTTCAGCGTTTTGCAAACATCTATCATTTCGAAAAGATAGACAATTAGACTGATCGCTGTGAAAATAAAGTATCCATATGCTGCATATATGGCAATTTTGCTTTGAAAGTTCCCCAAAAACTCGGCTATCCTACAAGATGCCCAAATATGTTTTCGGTTCATGATGTTTATCCACCTGTTACATACTAGCAAATCTGCTAGAACATCAAGTGTTGAAGCAATTAGTGTAACCACAGCCACCACTCGAACCGGAGGGGCCCACTCGAGACCATTTCTGAAAAAAAATCTCATCGTAAGTTCTTTAATGAGAATGTGATTGCCTATGTGATAATTGGTTGTCCCTTGAACACTAATTTTTGACAAAAACTGATATAACAGCTGCAATAGTAAACAAGTGTCAAAAGTGAGGAACGGGCAGTTTTTTTAAGAGATGAAATACCCCGAGAACTCAGAAACAGTGTGACGTAAAAGTTGTTGTCAGATTCTTTCTTTTGATGAAACTCAAGAAAAACCAACAAAAAAACTTAGATTAGGTGACCTGTGTTCAGCTCATGTCATATTATTGAGACCATATGGTTTAGAGTTCGTTCTCGTTTACTCGTGAAACCTGTGGGTCCATTGTCAAAAATCTGATGTGATTTTATGTCAACAAATCATTCCAGAAAATCATAAACTTTCAAAAAAACGGAAAGTCTATATGCGACAAAAAAAGAAAGCTTAAAAGCCGCAGAATATTTTTTCCAGTGTTTTCCGCGCTAGAAAGTTGTAAAATACTTCTAAAATTGCACCATTCCTTCTTACTATAAAATCAAAGTTTTCGTTTTCCTTAATCTACAATATTCCAACGTTACCGTTTTTGTTGGCCTAATTGGTTTTGTAGTTTGTAGAACTGAAAGCAGAAAGAGATATTAGCCAAAAATTTATTGATAGCCTAATTTCAATGAAATATAAAGAAATCAATATATTTTGTAATTATTCTTCTAATCCACATATTTTTATATACCAATGAATTCATTAATCCTTTCAGTTTATATATGAGTTTATCATTAATAAGTGACCATAATCAATTTTTGATCCAATTTTATGATATAAATTTTTTAAGCAAATAAGCTACAGATAATGCTTAACTTATAACTAACCTCTCTTCCAAAAATTATTGAATTAGTGTCATTAAATAAACTTACTTTGGTCCATTATCTGCCCATGCAAGACGGATTCCCATTCCAGAATCAAGCTGACGATTGAATCCGACTCAAAAATAATGTAATATTGAGGAGAATCGAGTCGCTGATATGAGCTGTTTGATTCAGCGACACGCTGTGAGGAGATGGGTGGGCGGTACGAACACAGCTGTCAGCGGTTGAACAGGCAAGACGTCACCAGATCAGTTATCTACAGTCTATTCCAAACGACTCGACGACCAATCAATCATTCCACGCTGGAAGATGTTTCAGAAACATCTTTTTTGTTCCTCGTTTCACATGAACACTATAGAATGATGATGAGCATTTGCTTCATCAATTTGTCATTCTTGAGTTTAGGACGTCAATGAAACAGAACCATTAGAAAAAATCTTGACATTTATTGTTTTCTTTCAGAATAAAGACTCAACATTTGAAAATTGGTGCAATGTTTTATGATTATTGAAATTAAATTAATTACAAGCTAGCTTTCTTTTAATACTTTATCAATATATATATATATATATATATTCAGATATGTGTAACCTGGACATTATTAGGGTAATATAATTTTATTATCAAGACATTCGCGTATTTCTGCAAAGAAAGACTTTATATAGTTTTAATTTTTTTAAATTAATATGTTCTTATATTGAAAAATATATTATAGAACTGCAAGTTTTCAAATATCTAAAGAAAAACTTTCAATATTTCGAAATTTTTCAGTATCGCTTATTTATCATCATATCTATAAGCGTATTTTTCAAAATAAAATCGAGTAATTGTTTTTCAGGTACTGCAAACGCAGGAATTGTATTTATGTGCAAGTACATGCTGATGTATGCTTGAGAACTTCAACGGTTTAACAACGTTAATTTTTGATCTATCTCATCATTGCACATCTTGCAGAAAGCCATTAGTCATTCTCTCGTTACCGACCCACAACAAAAAATGTGCTCGACGATCGAGAAAAGATTCGCTGAAGAATTGTAATAAATTTCACAAGAAACATTAGCGTTTCAGTAAGCAGTTTTTCGAATTCGATTTCATCACACCAGATGAGCAATCGACAGGTGACCCAGCTCATGCGGGGGACGATCTGTTGACGACCTGCCTTCTGAACTGCTTGCAAAAAAAACAAATTGCACCCGATGACATCAAAGAGTGCTCACATTTATAAAAAAAAACCATAATTGATCATGGATCAAACCTAACGACTTAAAATTTTCATATAATACATAATTAATGAGATACTGTGAACACCGGCTTTCCTCTTGAATTCTGTGTTACTGAATCACACGGTACGCTTTTGCATTTTTCCGAATCTGAATCTTTTCCACTTCCACATTGAAGATCGCTATAGTTAATAGGGTATATTTAATAATACTTAGGATCAATTACCCGCAAGGACAACGCCTTCGTCGCATTCGGCGACCTTCACCACACGACACCGTGCAGACACTCCACTGAGACCATCTTGTCCAATCGCACTATAATTTGAAAAATAATAGTATTAATATCGAGTCAAATTGTCTCACCTTGACGCTTTCAATTTCACTAACCACCTTTGTTTCGGCGTCTTCGTTTTCGATCAACTCGCTTGACTTGAGTAGCTTGTCCAAATTTGAGTCAATCTGAAAACAGATAAAATAGTTTATTCAGCAAATGGTGTTGTTATAATAATACTTCACTATCGGTTTCTTCTCGACTTTGAGATATGAATCCAAACTCTTTTTCTTGACGACACGATTGTTCTTCTTGCGATTTGCCGACGCATTCGCAATTGCTGACCAACTCGGAATCTGAATACAACTTATTGAAAATAATAATGTCGAAGAACAATTGGCTACTCTTTTCTCCGACACAAAAACGTTTTCGCTCTCGTGTGTTTTCTTCTCCACAATCACTCCAATCTGACCACTGAGACCAATGACAAACCTTTACAAAATCGTATTTTAGAAAAATAAAGCGAATAAGCGATCTTTTTATAATAAGCTGACACTTTTCGAAATAAGAATTTACCCTATAAGGGAAGTCAGTTGTTTGAAATGCGTCAGGAGAATCTTTCTTTCCGTATGATTGTGATCTTCCTTGCAACTTAAAATTCAAAATGAAAAAACATCACAAATTTCTGAAACTACCTGAACCCTGCCAATAACAGAATCAATGGGCACGTATCTATCATCATCTCGAGATGTGGTACCATCATTAGCGTTGCTCTGATCATGTTGAGATTTTGATCGAATTAAAGTTCTAGCACCTGCAAAAACATTTTACTGCAATACACGTACTAACTGGTTACCAAATCTTTGCTCTGGATTGCTATTAACATAACCTCTTGAAGTTTCAGAAAATCTGTTGTTGTTATTATAGCAGTCCTAAATTGAAATTTAACAACTTGTTGTTAATAAAACTTCAAACTCTTTCTATTGGACAGCTGCGTTCTTCCGTATCTCTTCCTGGACCACAATCACAAGTTGAGTCTGGTTTTATTGGACCGTTAACTGGATAGCCCCTATCACAATATCGTCTTCGAACTTCTTTTCCGTTCTGAAAAAAAATGTTGTTAGTCCAAAATTCCGTTAAAGGATTGAGTACCCTGCATGGCGAGCAGCCGCACCATTCTCCCCAATCGGACCATTCACAAGGCGCTTTTGGATCTTCACAAGGTGGTGCCGTCGGACATTTTCTAGTTTGGAATGAGTCACCTGGACAATGGCATTGCTGGCGAGCTGTAATAAAAAAAACATTTCATGAAAACGTAGAATCAAATCGAATGTACCAGAAATTCCCACTAATATCTGTCGTTTTCCGCGGTGTATTTCAACAGGAACAATTGGTGAAAGACCCGCCAAGGATAAACCTCCAACTAAAAATGTTGAATGATTTTTAAAAATTGTAAAGATAGATTTCACCTCCCGGTGGTGGTGTTAGGTAAGCTTGTTGTTCAAATGTCCGAGTTTCCTCCTTAAATATGAGGAATTGCATAAAATTACTTTATTTTTTTTACCTGAAAACTTAAGGGTGGTGGGGCTGGAGCTTGCCCATCCATAGCGCAAACACGATTTCTTTTTGATACGGATTCTTGTCCACAACCAATACATGGTGACCATTCTGTCCATTGATCCCATGAACAACAAGGCCCAGCATCGCAAACTTTTGTTTCCGTCTCTGGCCCATCACAAGATCCTTCAATTGGTTTGTCAAATGGCTTTGTAAGGAAGGGAGAAAGTCTTGTCTGTAGGAGCACTCATTAAAATTAATTTATCTATTAATTCTTCTACCTCGTTACTTCTTCTGTACTTTGAAATTGTTTTAGCGCGAGCTATGAGCGCTTCTTTTGCTTCTAAAATATTTTCAGATTTGATATGAATCTCTAATTTGCAATACCATGCTTTTCCAAAGAATCATCTCTTTCGAGATCATCGAGGCTTGGAAGTTGTAGGAAATCATCAGTGATACATTTTCGATTCCGTTCACATACACCTCTTCCGCAACTCACAGAGCAACCACTCCATTGGCTCCATTCTCCCCAATAAGGGCATGACGCAATTTGACAGAAACGCATTTCTTCCGAAGGACCCGTGCACCCATTTCCGGTTTCACATTTTCGATTTCTTTTCTGTACACCTTGCCCACATGTGGTTGAACAGTCCGACCATTCCGCCCATTCTTCCCATTTTGGACAATCGCGGTATGGACAGTTTGATTGGTCTTGGGCTGGACCTTCACATGCACTATTACTATCAGCATTCAAGCATTTTCTGCAAAATAGCCAGTCATATAAACAAACACGCACACACAAATTAAAAGAATCAGAAGACTACCGATTTCGTAGCCGAATAGTTTCTTCGCCACACTTTTTGTCGCAAACTGTCCACGCTGTCCATTGTGACCATTCCGGACACGGCTGTTGATTGCAGAGTAGCTTTTCTTCCGATGCACCTCCGCAGCTATGTCCGCCAATACATTCTCGTACCCTAAAAGTGTTTCCGCCCCCACATGTTTTGCTGCATTCTTCCCACGGTCCCCATGGTGACCAATGTGGGCAGAGTCCGCGATCACAGGGTCTTTCTTCTGTAGATGGGCCAGGACAAAGAATGCCGTTCTAGTTTAATATAATTATTTTGGTGTTTTCGCGGTGACTACTTACTTGACATTGTCTTGATCGTCGTTCAATTCCCTTTCCACAAGTATTTGAGCATCCAGTCCAAGAGCCCCAAGAGGTCCATTCGGGACAAGGTAAAAGTGCTTTGCATGCTTCGATTTCCTGAACGTTTCATTTTCTCAAGAAAACTGATTTTCAATTTTCGTTTTCGGCTAATTGTTGCTGCGAAATTGCGCAATACACGTTATTTCTGGTTTCGCGACCAAATTGCCACCAAAAGCGAAAGTAAAGTGAAAAGGAATGTGTTATAAATAATTTTTTTAAGTGAGTTAATAAGCAATGTTCTTTGAGCAGACAACAATCGACGTACAATGCTGGGACCCTGACAATTGCGGCCAGTTTGACAGATTCGGGTTCGTTGCTTTTCGCCGACACCACAGCTTGCTGAACAAATTGACCAAGGAGTCCAGAGCGTCCAAGATTCACATTCAGGCAATTGACAAGATTGCGTTGAAGGTCCCGGACAATTGAAACCACCTAAAGTGGAATAATGTTATGCAACCAATTTAAATATTCCATGCCTAAGCATTGTCGAGTCATTATAGCTAAACCGCAAGTCGCCGAACAGGCACTCCATTCAGTCCATTCTGCAATTGGCGCTGAAGCTTCCGGGGGTGCAACATGGTAGCAGTCATCAGACATCTATATATAATTTCTCAAAAGTGAGATGATAAAAAAAATTACACATGGTCTTTTTGGAGCACAGGGATCTCCCTGTCTAGCTGGACATGGAGCATTATCTAACTGATACAGGGTTCTCGCGCAATCCGCATTAGCTGAAAAAAATGAACGCGATTGTTTGAAACTTTTGTAATGTTACGTAAGCACGGATTTCCAATGTGCGCTGAATGTGCACTCATTAGTTGTCCTCGATGGGTTACATCTGGATGAATTGGAGAATCATGACGATCTACGGTTAATGTACATATTTCTTTCACATTATATTGCCGCGTTTACCTCTGACATAATCTCGATCTCGTCCCCGTTCAACCTCTCGAGAAGATTGATGGAACCGTGGACCATCATTAAAGGGATCTCGGGGAAGCTCAATTTGTTTCTTGGCGGCATCGATCTCAACTTCTTCAACTGCTTGCATGACCTGATTTTCAATGAAATAGAAACCATAGCAATGAGATTCTATACCGCATATCTATCAATATCAACGTGGAAATCGTCTAGACCACTAATATGATCTTTCTCGGGAAAGAAAGCATCAGCGAGTCGGTTTCTCATCAATTCTGTTAGAGAATTCATAAAATTTCAATGAGCTTAAAAAATTTACCCGAATCCCTGCCGTCACTCAGTGCATCCCTATGCAGTTTTGAAATTCTATGAGTTATATCACTTGCCGTGAAAGGTGTACATTTATCAAGGAGCTCGAAAATCACCGATGTCGGATCAACTGTGGCATCAGGATGAATTTTTTCGCTTTCAGCTTCGTTATATAGTGTGCAAATTCCGAGCAACTCAAATTTTAGATTGAGATCAATGAAAACTTCAAATCTTACTTTGTCTTCACTTTTCACGAATTGGGCAATAAAACAATATTGCATATTTTCAATGCATCGCTCTACACATTTTTCAGCAGAAGCTGTTTCAACTCTAAAAACTCAGCATTCTTATTTTGTTCGCACTGGATATCTACCTTTGTAAAATAGCAGATGAATGTACTTTAAAGCGACGACGTGTGCAAACCCGTAGTGCACAACCTTAACAAATTTATTAACTAATATTCACGACATGTTACTCTTACTGGTAGCTATAATCTGCAGAAGCAGAAGAAATAGTAAATGCTTCCGCATGAAAGACTGATGTGAATCAGGGATAAAATTTGATCAGCTTCTCGGTATACCTCCAATAATGTCGTCGAATTGCGTAACGAATAATTTATTCGCGGGCCATTGAGAAGACATGCAAATTAAAGAAATCGCACTTGTTTGAAGAAAATTTGTTAGTATATGGATGTGTTAGCAATGTCAACTGCGCTTTTCAGGGTAAAACCAGATGTCATATTAGGCAACAAGACGGCTGACGAAATGGATTTGCCTCATAGGTTACATTTCTTCAGGTTTTTTCACGTCATAAAGATAGCGCAAATATGGAAATTCAGAAAAACGTGTTGCAAAATAAATAATATCCAGAAAAAGAACCAACCTTTTTGTCAAAAGCTAATTGTTCGATGAATGTTGCCTTGACAGAAAGTACAAACTTCAATTCAAAAAATATAAGCTGAAAAAAATAAGAGTAATTTAAAACCGGTCACACCGAAACTTCGATATTTTTCTCGTCACACGGTAATAAAAAAAATACATTTTGTGCGTAATGAACTTTAAGTTTTGTCACGGCAGTGACACAAAAAAATGAGAAGGTGAATCCAGATACAGAATGTCACTATAGAACCGTGGCTGGCGCTCGATGAAGAGGCGAAAAGCTAAATTGGTGTGTTGAAAGCGAAACGGTGGTCCTCGAAAAAGTGACGCTCGTTTTTTTCTTTTCTATTTACCTATACGGAATATGTATTATGCAGCCGGTATATATGTACGCACTGCAGATCATTGCGTCTAGAACATCCTCTCCTTGCGCTAAACCAATTATAATTTGAATTTGTTGCGCAATTTGTTAGCACTTGGGTTGGCATGGATGGGTGTCAAACCACATCCAAGCATTTTTATCGAAATCTAGTTCTTCTGAATAATGAAAGTCACAAAAATTATTTATTAATAACACGACAACCATCAATAATCACAGTCAAAATGGACATTTTCAAGTAGAGAAATATTGATTTAAGAAAAAAAACGTCGGGAATTTATATAGGCATTTATTTATCTTTCTTGGATTCTTCTTCAATGGCTTCGGTGGCGGTTTCAACTGGCTGTGGAACACCGTTCTCATGCTCCAAAGAGGTTCCGAATTCATTGACACGAGTTGGATCAACACGGTAAATCCATCTTTGATAGAGGTAGATCTGAAAACCAGTGATTTAAGTCGATATTTCTGAATAAATATTACGAGGAAGATGATATCGTCACGGAAGCACCCGATTCTATAAAGCATTGGCATTTTGATGACAAAGGCGAAAAGATCGTCAATGAAGGTGTTGATGAACTTGTAGGTAAGCATTCTCCATGGAAGATGGGCAACAGATTTCAGTTTGTAGTTAATGAATAACTGTGGTGTCATGGTAATGAATCCGAACATCAAAAGATATCCGTAAAGCATGTTGAGCACCCAAGAATACCATCCCTTCTGTTCAACGTAGATGATGGAATAAATTGCGTATCCGATGAGAAGAGGAAACAATACCCAGGAAAGGTAGCGGAAAGCCATCTAAATATTTTGGGCTTTAAAATGGTTATTTTATTAGCAAACCTGATCATAGGTTTTGGTGTCACTCTCAACGTAAGAACCTTTGTCGCTGAACTTCACGGATGGAAAAATTCCCATAATTTTATTTTCGTGATCAACCTAATTTTTAAAAAATTCAATCAAATTTCCATAACTCGTATTTGAAAACCTCGACGTTCAACACTTTCGGAATTTTCCAGCATTCGATTAATAGACCAATTCCCACGCTGCATTTGACGACAAAATTGGTGTCATTGTCACAAATGTAGAGAAAAACGATGAGAGACTGAAAACAAAGAACAATGAATTATGTTTTCAGCATTCAATTGATGAACCTGGAATATATTAAACAGAACGGATCTGACAGAAAGTCCGACAAGGTCTTTGCGTGATCTCCAGAATTGAATATCGTTTTTGAATGCCAAAAACTCCAAAACAGTGTGAAGAAGTGATACGACAACCGTGATACCTAAACATAACTTCCATAGTACAACGATCCCCATGTTGCAGTTTACCAAGCAGGATTGGATTCGTTTCCAAGAGTGCTTGTTTCACAGAGTCCTGATCATCGTCCTCGGTCTCCATTTGTAACATCCCACTCCATTGCGATTTCATCTTAAAGAAAAAAAACACGTCAGCTGTTTGTACGTTTTCGTTTTTCTACCGATTGGCTAGCGTACATCTGATATTTGAACAAGGATAACGGATAATACGTAATAGTCAAGTTCAACTCTTTAACGGTCTCATTGATGGGCATATATTCAGCTCCCAAGTTCCAGTATGTGTTGAAAAAGAGAATCGGATGATATGCTTCTCCTCCTGGTGTGAATTTTATATCTTTATCAAGTGGTGGAGGAAGCGCTCCTTTCGACCAATTAGTTTGATCATCAACCAAATTGATGGAAATATTGGGATGCCAGAAGTTGAGAATTTCGAACTTCATTGTTTCAGCCTTTGCCAGGTCTTCATCACTCTGCTCACTCAAGCCAGTTAGAAGATTCGCAGTTTTCTTGTAGAACTTCTTCTTGTACTTGTTCAACTGTTTGCATCCATAGATAACTTCTCTCTTCACAAAATTTCTGTCTTTTGGGTTTGGAGATTGTCCGGATTTCACAACAAACGTATGCATATACAACGAGTTATTGCGTAGAAGAACGTCCGGCGTTTGAAAAGTCTTATGGAAAACATAAGAGCCGTCCTAAACACGTTTTCATACTAATATCTACACGAAAGGAGTTTTACCTTGTTGGGTCCTGAAGTCCAATCTCCATATCTTAATCCTTTTTGAAGCCAAAATATATCTTTATCGAATTTATTGAAACGTTGATCCTGAACAATTTTTTTTACTACAATTCACAAATGTTTAATTATACCGATTCGTCAAGATAAATATGCAAATCAAACAATTGCCCAGGGGAAAATATGTTGTGTGCTGGTGGTAATCTAGATCGCGATACTGATGTTGAATTCGTCCCATTAGTTGGCCCCCCAGAGAAGCTCTGTAATGAATCATATACTCATTAAATGCCGATGAATATTTAATTTAATTACCTTAATTATAGAGCTGATGAAATAAAAAACCAACATTTGCTGAATCATCGAACGAACGATAGTCATCCACCCTCGTTGTTCCGGTTGACCAGCATTTTCTGCTGGAGCCGCACCTGCTGGCGCAACTTCATCCGGCATTCTGAAAAGTGATGTGGCGTTAGTAAAAAATGTCATTGTAAGAAAATCTAATAATGTTTTAACAAGAATAATGTCGTCCTTTGCGAAAATTTCCAACAAAATGTTACTACGCGGCAAAAATCTATACGAATCGCACGAATCGATGCAAATTTAGGTACTGCAATAACACTATTACTTGATGCACGCCATAGCATTGCTAACACTGTGCGATGGAGCATACTTGTTTCGCAATGATGTAGGTCGCATACGTAATAAAAAGTTGCCTTCCCAATAATTGTTTATTATTAAATTTCTTTATACATTTATAGAAATACTTTTTTATAATTATAAAGGTGATGTTTGTAATCATATTATTAGTCACTGATTTGTTGAATTTGATATTTCCTCTCATAATCTTTAAGTATAAATATTTTGTCAGACTCTCGAAACCTGAATAATAATGCGAATAGTGACGAGATGGATTAAGTTCAAAAACAATTCCCCAATTCATTATACATTAGTTTCGTTTATTTTGAAAGTATTGCGATATTGCATTCTCCAATGTAGAGTTTTGCGGGAAGAATTTTTAAATTTAAAAGTATTTTCCCAAATCCACTTCAAATAAATAACATCTAATGAATTTATTTAAAAATATATGAGCACATATAACATTGTCAACATTTATTATTGGTTTTCAAGTTTCACGAAAAATGAATTTATAATCCGCGAAGGTTGTCGATGCGTTGATACAACCTTTGAATGTGGGCCTTTCTCTGAAACAAAACAAATTGGGAGATGTTAGAAATTCGCCTTTATTCACTACAGCGTTGTGGTAAAAACAGAGTTGGACGCTTTCATCTTCACCATTTGGGCAGTCAATGCGCATGTTGCAAAGGTCAACATATCTGAAATGTCGTATATGAATATGCCAATAACTGCCTATTACCTAACGCATGGCCATTCGCTGTCCGCCTTCTTTGGTGGACCTGGGCATGGAATGCTTGGGGTGCCGTACTCGTCTGGAACGCAGTCTAAAATTGATATTAATTGTACATGAAACATGTTATTTCGATTCACTTGGATAGTTAACCGGCATGTTAGCCACATCAAGAAGCGGTTTCTTAACCTATAAGTAATAATTGAATACTTGATCTTTGGAATATATTTGACTTACTGTGCCCACAGCGCAGAAAGCGACAGCGACAACGAAGAAGAGCACGAAAATCGAAGTAGACTTCATAGTTCTGCAAGCAAGACCGTTGACACGAATTGCAACAGATTCAATAATGAAAAGTTTGAGTGTGGCTCTAAAGGGAATTATGATTTCAAATTATTAATAAAAACTGGTTTTCATTGTTAGGCTTACTCATCACACTGCTTTATTCATGTGATAATGAAATCATAAACAAACGAAGCGGGAAAAAACGTGAGCCCTTTAATTGTGAGGGAAGGAGCTCATGCGTGCCAATTGACTTATGAATACAAAGGCCAATGTGATTTTTGGAAAGCGAAAGCGGCTAAGGTTTTTTTTTTAAATGAGTGGATTGTAAAAGCTGAAGGAATTATGTTTATATAGGAAGTGCATTCCAATTTCAAACATTGCCAAAGAAAGGACTATATTCGTATTTAATAACATATGTAGAAAAGATATTGGCAACATAATCATAAGATCATAATGTAGAAAAATGATTCATCTGAAATTGGTATACTAAAAGCTTTTATCACTTAGAATGAAATTAATGAGGGTTGTTTGAGTGTAATCCACCATTCTGAGATTCTAATCTGTTCTGATCATCCAATAAACTCAAGATTTAAGAAGAGATCAACCCACTCAGATACGTTCTATTTTTAAAACGGATATATGAAGTGGAGCCATCATCTCACTTTCAACGATTACAATTTCGTTTATTTTACGTGACATTGAAGACTTTGAGTTTAATTAAAGCTTAATTAGATTATACTTCATGGACTACGATAATCACGGGACACCTCTTTTGTGAGGAATCACATATATTAACTAAATAATAATTTAGTATGCTTTCAAATTACAAGTGTTATTTTCTTAGTATTAAGGTATAACCTTCAATTAATGTCAACAGATTTTTGATTTTGCGGACACGAAAAAGTGGAAACTGCTGTAAAAATGACAAATATAGGAATAAACACCAGAAAAATGTTTGTTTGACTAAAAGGTTGAATATACATAGATCATGATAGCAACATTAAATATTTTATAAAAATAGTAGATTTTATTTAGATCAACTAATATTAATGCTAAGTATCTGCCAAAAAATAATTTGATCAAACCGTACGAGGCTTTTAAGCAAACATTGCTAATTAATCAAATAAAACTCTAATTAATCATCCTACATACAAATGCAAAGCTAACAAAGGTATTGTTGAAAACAGTGACGGCAAAATTTTTCAAATTGAGCCAAGGCAGATGAAGCACATCAACCAACATTCCAAATTTAATATCAAACTTGACGTTTTTTTTAATATGAGATGCGAATGGTGGTTAGATTAAAAACACTTTCTTATTGCCGACGAAAGAAAGCAATAGTTTTAGTGATCAATTTTCAAATTATTTAGCCACTATGCTGTGAACTAACTCAAAAAATAACGTCTGCAGGTTGTATTAGTTCACGGTTTATGTTGAGAAGTCGAAAGACGTACGCGTCGAGTTTGTATTACACAACGTTTCAAATTGTTGGGATGCGGCGAAAAAAAGCAAAGGATTTGATGTCCTCTACACATTGAATGATGAAGGGCACGAGGCTGTCGATGTTGTCGCGAAAAGTTCAAAGGTGACCACCGGAGAAATGCAACAAAAAACGAATGAGAGTTCGTAATCAATTCTCGATCTTCCTACTATACTATGGCTCTGCACATGATACGAAATATTGAACTGACAATGAAGTTAATTTTAAACGGGGGAAATGAAGCTAATATCAAGTTCCTCAAAAATTATTTTCTTTATAAAGAAGATAGGCGTTTTTAAAAGTCCAACTATATGGCAAAATTTTAATATAGTTCGTTTAATTTCTTATCTCTAGCTTTCATGATGAAACAGCCGATTATATTCATAAACGCTCCAATTGCTAAAAATTAAATGTCTTGATATTAGCACACAATACGTAGTTTGAACATGTCATGCAAAATCGTTGCATCACGTTTGAACCTGAAAATCATTTTTGGTTATCTCAGGAAAATAAATATATTAAAGTCTAAAATAAATGGAAAAAACATGTCTTTATCAAAAACAAAACTTGCATGTGTATAACACCCAATTTGAAGTGCTCAAAATGTGCTTACCAATCTCTTCCGACAAGTGATTAGTTTCTATTTTTGGCGTGGAATTTGTTTCACGCGAGATTGACAGATATTTAATCGAATTCATATGAAAAAAATAGATTTTCGGAAATTACAAAAATAAAAAAATGAAAGCATTATGTTGTTTATATTAAATTTCACAATTGCATTTTTTTAATAAAACAATGTTTTTTTTTTCAAAGTTTTCAGTTTATAGTTTATAGTTTTTTAAATTCACTTTTTGTCAGGTGTCAAACCGACTTTTCTGTGTTTTTTTTTTCATTTTGATTCTCACATTTTCAATTAATATAAAATATTTTGCCACTTCCAGACCCATCTTTTTTTATACATCTTCTGTGTTTCGGAAAGCGATGTTTAAATACATAAATAGCAAATGAAATGTAGAATGTGTTTGAGACATTTTTTCAACTGAGGAATTTCATTTTGTCGTCTATTCCATTTTGGTTTCAATTTGGCCAATCAGCAATCAGATGAAAATTTTTGCCTTAATTCCACCAAGAAAATAATGTCTGTTGCCTAAAAAACTACTTGTTTGAGGAGGATAGAGTGTTTTATAAGGAATGCAACTCAAATTAATGAGATTCTTATTCCTGATGCTCTCATAAATTTCTGATTCGGCAATATTATTGAGCAAATATAATAACAGAATATTGTTTTTTTTTCCTTCTCTTCGTATCGCCATCATTTTTTGCCCAGATCGGACGCTTCTATCCAGCCAGGCTACTAACATAATTATTGTTGCTCACTTTTCTTCATATCGAGGCAGGTTATGCACTTTTACGCACTTCTTTTGCCCCTCATTCACTTTTTTCTTTTTTTCTACAATAAACTATTACTAATAAAAATTCTCAATTTTATTGATTCTGAGATATTTGACGACGCGTTTACTAATGACATAGGAAATAAGGGTGTTATATATCAGATTAACTAATACGCAGAAAACTTAACCTCATATTTCTCCCAACATCTTTTCACATAATAATAGTAATAACAAGAACGAAGCACATTTAATAATTATGATGTGCCTCACTTCATCCTTTGTTCACTTAGTGTTTACCTACACCTAAAGGAAAAAAGGAAACCTAAATTATTTTTCTATCTCTCAAAAATTACTATCCTTTTTAATTTTTCTTACCAAAAGCTTTGAAAAATCAGCAAACACCTGGTAAATATCTTAAAATCAAATCTAAGCTGATTTAATCAGCATACAGAATCCAAATATGATTATCTAAATATACACAAACTACATGATAATTTACGTTTAAGTATGTTTGTATGATGGCATTCGTCTCCACATTTGAAACTTAAAAATACTAGCTTCATTTCTTTAGAATGTAAAGGAAAACGTGAGACATTAAAAATTATTCTAAATTCCATCAACGTACTGCTAATCGTATTAGCTCATCACGTTTCCTGTTGATAATAACTTGCATAGCTCGTCAACTACTCAAAGGTCAGGCCAATTTCACGTATTATGATAGAAAAGTTGTGTTTGAATCCCTACTTGAATTGTAATTGCCCACTTGATCCTTAACGTATTGCGACGTAAGGGGATAAACAACCGAAAAAGCCTGAAAGTAATGCATCTAATTGGAGGAAGAGCGACCGTGACTCGGTGGGGGATTGCGCATAATTTGTCACTTGATTTTTCGCATTAATAATTTATTTTCTTGATGAGATAAACGCTTGTAATTATATAAACTGCCCACCAAATTTTAGGCTCTATTTATTTCTTTCATTTTATTTTTGTCTAGTAAGAGTAATACCGAAAATACGTCAAATTTGTCAAAGTGAAGACTGCAGGCTTTGTAGCCAACGTCGTTAAGATGTGGAAAAATTTCTTATTTTCAATGTTTGCTTTTAAGACAATAATTTTTCTATCATCGTCCTAGTTAGTCATATAAAATAAAATGAAACTGCGTTTTTATGAGTTGCCCTCGAATTCAATTAAAATGAGGAACAAAGTTTCCACCAACTAAGCTTTAAAAAACCAATTGAACTGTCTTTTTGGAAAACTAGAGAATAATTTAGCAAGCTCCGTGTTTCAGCATGATCGATTTTGAAAAAAAAAAAGATCCACGTTGTATTCTTTCTTGTCATCTCATATTCAATATGATTTAGTATTCTGTATGATGTTAGAAACTTGTCATTGTTCGCACCCATTCTTCCATCTACTTCCTTCATATACATGTATATATATATAATACCATTGCTCACGCCAACTCTCATTAAACAATGAAACATTTTTATTCTCGAAAAATCGTAATATCTGTTATTGTTCTACCTTGAAAGTTTTTGGTAGTCTATTGACTTAATACATGGTTTTAAATCTTCAATAATGACTATTGGTAACATTTAGCCAATTCGAAGATTTTCTTTCGGAAAACTTTGCACCGCGTCTCTGTTATAAAAGTTGGATATATTGCCATGAAATGTCACTCGTCTAAAAAAAGATGGCAACTTCCTTGCTGTCACATCAAAAATTAAGGGAACTGGTCTAGATCTTCTTGGAGAAAAAACTACCAGAGTGAAATGTTGAAAACACATTTGTTTTGGAATTCAAATTCTATATTTAATTTGAACTTCAAAATATTTGGAAATTGAACAATATTACCCAAGTAAAACAGGCAGTTGACTTGAACATTTTGAAATACACAACGCGTCGATAGCGCAGCAAATAAGGCATGCCCGTAAATCTACCCCACCACATCAGTTTCACAAAACGACAACTGCAATTGTTTCTAAAAACCAAGTTTACCCAACTGAACATCTTTGATAAAATATGAAATGCCTCATGATTGTTCGCCAATCTCAGAATATATATATATATAATTGGGATTTAAGAAGCGAAGTCATTTAGATCGTCATGGTTATTTTTCTCTATATTTTCTATACGAAAAATTATAT